TTCCAATGTTGCAATAGCACTGGACACAATTGAAGAACTTCAGACTTACAAAAAAAAAGGGAAAACACTTATGGAGTGGGTGGAGATATTTACCATTATTTTCTTTGACTACTTGTGACAGACATTCAGAATCATTAAAAACAAAGGGGAAAAAAATAATGCAAACCTAAATTAGTATATGACAGTAACTCAAACCTATTAAGAGAAACTAGCTGGGCAAAATGTTTGTAAGATTTTGAAGTGGAGTTCTCGTATTTGACCGTAGTGTAGTTTCTTGCGCAGACTGGGCCGCTTTCTCATCTAACTCTCACCATGGATCAACTCTCAGGATCATCTCCTACTTAGCCCCGCCCCTCCCATCCCCATCACCATTTGTGAGGAGCTGTGAGTGATAACGAGCACCTCACAGTCACAGTGGACCCACAGCCACCCAGACCCCAGACCCCTGCACCCTGCCCAAACCTGACGGGCTGAACGGTGGGTGAGATCTTTAATATTTTATATGTACCATGCATGATTTATACCCAAACTGATGCTGTCCACTCTAAAGCTAACGGGAAACAGGCTTATGTTTCGTTTGGATTCGTGCTTTTTGGACCACAATCGAAACACCGTGAAATTTTACTTTATTTATTTATTTTTTCCATGTCTAACTAATATTAACATAGGCCCTAGTTTTATCATTCTAAACTTGTAGTGTGTGCCATCACCACTGGGTAAAAATTTAATTATTCGAAAAAAGCTAATGCCTATACCACAAAATAGCCTAAATTACAAATTATAGCTCTTTAATTATTCTTAATTCTTGGGTTATGGTTCTCTGTGGTTTATGGTAAGTTTCATTTGTTACGGAAATGAATCAGAATCAGATTAGTTTACTGGTTAATGGTACTTTGAAGAAGGTTGTAAAATGATTCCGTGATTGCTCAAGTTTTAGACAGCAGCAGTTCTGTGAAACTTTGGTTGGATTCTGTAACTTTTCTCTTATTCATTAACAGACTAGATCAAATAATGTAGCCCTTCTATTGAGCCTTTTCACCAGTGAGTCAGCTATACAAAACACTGTAAACACAACTCAATGTAGAATGTATTTTTAAAATTATGTTTGTCAAGGGTTGTGAGAGTTATAACAATACAATTACAATACAATTATACAATTATACAATTATACAATTATATATGCCATTCAGATAAATTGGCTTTACATTTTCCAAGAAATACTGACAGAGACTAGACTTATTTTATTCCCTCTTAATGAAACCAAGGGCACACATGCAGTGTGATTATTTCTCAAATTTCGCAAATTGAGTAATAGAATCAAAGAGTTTCATTGGCATTTCTGTGTATTTATGTTTTTCCTCCTTTTAAAATGTATTTTTTTTTTTACTATGAGCAAATGTCTGGCTTTGAGAGCTAGTCATACGTTCCATTGCTTTTGGGAGACATCAGACATGACAGCATTTGAAATTTGTCACCACCCTCTTGCACTTACAGCTATAGGCCTGTCACGATAATCAAATATTCACTGATTACTGATGCGTGAATCAAATTATATTCTCTCTCTCTCTCTGTGTAGAATAAGATTTGAGGTTGCAAGGTTGCAGAGGCTAATACAATTTCCATTACTCATTGCATAGTAACTAATTACTGCTAAGTGAACAGTTTTTCAGTTAATCCTGCTCTAGGGTTGTGCGAGTGGCTTTAATTATTATAATATTATTCATCATTTCAGTAGTTTTGACAGGTTAACATTTACTTGATGATCCAAACTTAACATATTTCAAGGTGTTTCTCAAGATTCAAGATTCAAGATTTGTAATCAGTAAAATGCTGACAGACCATGTGTGATGTTTTGACACCCTTTTACATTTAATTTGCCATGCAGGTGGTAATTGCATAAAATGTATGTAATCATGTAAAACATCAGGGGGCTTCAGGGTCACTACAGATTTTACATTTGACTATTTCCTGCTGGGAAATTTAATGGATGTTTCTTCAATGTTAAGAGATCATAACCCTTATATATATAGTCAAGCCCAAAATTATTCATAACCCCTGACAAATTTTGCCTTAAAGTTACTTTTATTAAACCAGCAATTTTTTTTCTTGATTGGAAATGACACAGGCGTCTCCCAAGATATTATAAGATGATGTACAAGAGTTGTTCACGAGTGAGGGAAGGACGGAACGGGAGATTGACAGGCGGATCGGTGCAGCTTCGGCAGTGATGCGGTCGCTGTATCGGACCGTTGTGGTGAAGAGGGAGCTGAGCCAAAAGGCGAAGCTCTCGATTTACCGGTCAGTCTTCGTTCCTACTCTCACCTCTGGTCATGAGCTCTGGGTAGTGACCGAAAGGACGAGAACGCGGATACAAGCGCTCGAAATGAGTTTCCTTCGTAGGGTGGCTGGGTGCTCCCTTAGAGATAGGGTGAGGAGCTCAGTCACACGGGAGGAGCTCGGAGTAGAGCCGCTGCTCCTCCACATCGAGAGGAGCCAGTTGAGGTGGCTCGGGCATCTGTTCCGGATGCCTCCTGGGCGCCTCCCTCGGGAGGTGTTCTGGGCGTGTCCCACCGGGAGGAGGCCCCGGGGAAGACCCAGGACACGCTGGAGGGACTATGTCTCTCCGCTGCCCTGGGAACGCCTCGGGGTCCCCCCGGAGGAGCTGGAGGACGTGTCTGGGGTGAAGGAAGTCTGGGAGTCCCTGCTTAGGCTGCTGCCCCCGCGACCCGGCCCCGGATAAGCGGACGAAAATGGATGGATGGATGGATGGATGGATGTACAAGAGGCATTGTGGAAAAAAAAATATATATATCAGCTTTTATTTACATTTTAACAAAAAATGGCATGTCCAGAATTATTCATACCCTTTGTAAACTGTCAGAGTCTATGGAAAAATCCAAAGTTCTATATCATTCCAAACAGCACAAGCTGTTCTAAAACTTCCTAATTACCCTGATTCACTGGGAAGAGCTGTTTTAAGCAACTAAACGGATGAAAAAAAGCAGGTCTTTGCAGTTGGTTTGTGAACAGTCATGGCTAAGACAAAGGAGCTCTCTGAGGATCTGCGGCTGTATATTGTGGCCGCTCACAAGTCAGGAAAGGGCTATAAGGCCATATCTAAATGTTGTCAAGTTCCAGTGGCTACAGTGCAGTATTATTAAAAAATACAAGACATTCCACACTGTGGAAAATCTCAGAGGATGTGGTCGGAAGCCGAAAGTGACACCTGTGCTGGCCAGGTGGGTAGTGAGAGAGGTGAAAAAAAAATCCACAGATCACCACCAAGGCCATCCAGGTGAATCTGGGCTCTGCTGGTGGCAACATCTCAAGGCAGACAATCCAACAGACACTACATAAATACATACTGCTGAGTTTCACGGACGCAGACCAAGGAGGATGCCACTTCTCCAGATAAGGCACACAAAAGCTCTTTTAGCCTTTGCAAATGCTCATCTGGACAAAGAAGAAGACTTTTGGTCTTTTGTTATATGGTCAGACAAAATAAAAATTTTATTGTTTGGCCACAATGATGTATTGAAGATTTGGCGTAAAAAGGGAGAAGCCTTCAACCCTAAGAACACCATCCCTACTGTCAAACATGGTAGTAGGAACCTAATGCTTTGGAGAAGTTTTTCAGCCATGGCCAGGGAGTCTAATCACAGTAAACAGAACCATGAACAAAAAGCAATACGTCAAGATTCTCAACAATAACATCAAACAGAGAAACCTGAACTTGGGCACCAGTGAACATTTCAGCATGACAATGACCCAAAGCACACTGCAAAAGTGGTGAAGAAATGGTTATTAGACAACAACATTACCATTTTGCAGTGGCCCAGCCAGAGTCCTGACTTGAATCCAACTGAGAATCTGTGGAGGGAGCTAAAGATCAGAGTGATGGCAAGGAGACCTAATCTGACAGCATTGGAGCTCACCGCTAAAGATGAATGGGCCAAAATACCAGTGGAAACAAACAAAAAACTGGTCAGCAATTATAGGAAGCACTGGATTGCTGTAATATCCAATAAAGGCTTTTCTATTGATTATTGAGAAGGGTATGAATAATTCTGGACATGCCACTTTTCGTTCAAATGTAAATAAAAGCTGAGAATGTTTTTTTTTTCCACAATGACGCCTCTTGTACATTATCTTATTATCTTCTGGGAGATGCCTGTGTTGTTTCCAATCAAGAAAAAAATTGCTGGTTGAATAAAAGTAACTTTAATCAAAATTTGTCAGGGGTATGAATAATTTTGGCCTTGACTGTATGTTACTTAGTAAGCAGTCACCTGTCTGAAATTACGGTGCTCATTTACCTTCTTGTTGCTGTGTGTTGAACTAGTGTAAATAGAGAGAGCTTTAAATGATTCATTTTGTAGATGTCAGTGATAAAAGATAAATACTCAAACTCTGCTGAACAAGTCAATCAAGATCAAATTCGCATCTTTGGAAGTGTGATACTGTGGGGAAGCTGGCCAAAGTGGTCAAAGCAGGAGGCAGACAAAAAAAATTTCCCTTTACCAAAATATTTATTTCTTCCTTCACCGTGGAGTTGTGGGCAAAATTTTAAAAAATATATATTTACAAAAAATAACTGTGCTTAAATAAAGACATAAGCAACAGAAATGAACAAAACAAAGGAAAATACCCACATGCACACGGCTGCACTGATGGTGATGAACCTCAAATGGCTAAACTGCTCCCACTTTTATAGTACCCAGACAGGAAGTCCCTCTGACTGGGTTTGCACCAACACACACAGGTTAGTCTGTCTTAACTTCCCTGTTTCTAGGTGTGCTATATTATATTTTTGTATGAGGGCCTAAATCCCCTTTTAAATAATAGTGCTCCAAATAAACTAGAAACACTGAAACAAAATCCTACAAACCAAATCCATAGAACAAAAAAATGAATCCGAGTCTTCCCTTCACATGGTCTGGCCCAAAACCTCCCCCAAAGCCTTTAAATATGGCTGACGATGGCCACGCCCCCTCTTTGTATCCAGACCGTGTGGAGTCACAGGTAATGTGGTAAGTTGTAAAGCAAAATTAGTAGATATAACCAAATAAAATTAATTTAATGTAACTGTGTGAATAGTGATTAATTTAACTAAACAAAGACTAAATAAAACAATCCTGGGATAGAGATATTTAGCTGTTTAGTGGACTTATTGAGATAGATGTAAATGAAATGAAAAGTGAAGAAATGGGGACAAAGGCCCTCTTTGTCACAGATACATTTCTACAGACCATGACAGTAATACAACAAAACAGTGGTTAGTGTTTATAATGAGTCACAGAAGTTATTTAATTGGCATTCAAATAAAAATTTTATTGTATTACAAAAAATCAGTTAATAAAAAGAAAACCCCTACTAGTGCATTGTCAAGTCTTTAGTTAAGGAATGCAGGTCTGCTTGAAAAAACAGGAAAACGGACACAAGGCTCAACTCCGCTTGAAGACTTTTATTGAAACTGTTCAATTTCTTCAGCAGTAGTAGTGGTAGCAGTAGCAGGTCGAAAACCATTAAAGTAAACAAATATGCGTAATAATGAAATTTACATTTTACATTAGTAATTAAATTAATTTGCATTTTAATTAATATACTTCAATTATATATATATATATATATATATATATATATATATATATATATACCTTACATTGTTTAAAATGGTAGCCATTTCAATTAATCTGTATCATTTTAGCGATTTTAAATCTTAAACATTTTATTTTTATACTATTTTAAATAACTATATGAAATAAATGTTATATTTTATTATTTTAAGTAAAATTTTTAATGAATTAATACATGAAAAAGTTTTTAATTGCTAAATAATATATATATTTTTTATAATTTAGTGCTACTTAGTACATTTTACACCATTTACCATAAATCTGATTGTTTAAACAATCAAATGCCAATTATGAAATAATTCAATTATTCAACTTAGCTTAAACTGAATTTATTGGTTAATCTACTTTTTAACTTAAATTGCAACATTTCATTAAATAAATTGGCCAACTGCATTTAAACTCAAATTAAGGGTTCTCATTGTACTACTTTTTAAATTAAACAGAATATTCATTTTACATAGAAATTAAAGACAGATTATTTTTTACATGGGTTTTACCACCATTTTACTGTTTTAACAATACTTCTAAACTAATGTTACAGGTAAATCTACTCAGTGGTAGTGTCTGTGTTTTCCCCTCATTCCTGGTTTAGTTTGTGTCTGTGCACCTGGGCCTAGTTAAATGATGCAGAGACACACCAGCTTACCTGTATTTTCTGCTGCCATGTACTGGCCAGACTAGAAATAAATAATAACGGGAAGGAGAGGAAAAGTGAATGGGCTCAGGAGTGGAGGTGATGACTAGGAGAAGAGGGGCTGGGCTTATTGACTTGACATTCATAGATTTTTAACTCACAATAAATAAACGGGAAATAATGGATGGAAATAATGGTCCATATCTCATTTATTAAACAACAGGCCTACATCTATAGAATGCCAAGTACATGTTACATATTTTAAGGCAAGACACTGGACCCACATTACCTGTGAATGTACAATGCAAATGTAACTGATTTTGACTGAGAATCAAATTAATAATAGTTACAGTTGAACTATGTTAGTATGACTCCTACCCTAGTCTTAACTGGCCTTGTGCTAGATGGCTATATTCCAATCAAAGGGACAGACAACACTTACAGACAATAATACACTGGAAAAGACCTGTAACTTGGCCTGGTGGCGTCACCTAATTACATCCTTTACCTAAAAACTTGCGTGTCTTCATACTTTGAAACATTACATTTAGGAAATAAACATGTGGCACAGCACACAAGTTATGTTATTAGGTTATTTTTTCAGACCAAGAGTTTGTTTTCATACAGTTTGGACTGCTCACTAGCAGTCTTCCTCAGAGTGGTCACGTTCTATTTCGTGTGTGCTCCGCCCACCTACGGGCTTCGCTATTGGTTACCTCTCTCTGGCGCCAAGCCAGCCTCTGAGAAAGATCAAAGCAGTCACTGCGCCAATCATGCCCTCAGCCTGGCACATGCCCGCGAACCGATGCTCTATAAATACCGGACCGCTAGCTACATAACTCCCTTCTTCTCTCTGAGCTCTATGAGCTCAGCTTCTCTGAGAACCTCTTCAAGATTCGTCGCAAGAGGATACAGAAGATGGATTCTGCCCGAGATTTGTCACCTCCCGGTGTCGGGCACTTAAGATGCCGTTCGTGTAGAAACCTGCTCCACCGCGAAGATCAGCACGATTGCTGTTTCGGCTGTCTGGAATGGCACCGTCAGACTCAGCGCTCTTCATGTGCGGCGTGCCTCGCACTCCCCAGAGAGGAGTTGGAGCGCTGCGACGCCTTCATGGGCCCCGTTTCCCTGCTCCATAGCGGTGCCGGTTCAGGGCCTGCTGATGATGACTCGCTCACTGTTCTGGCCCCTGTGGACTGGGCAGAGACGAGGGAAGCTCCCGGGGCTCCTGAGGCTCCCTAGACTCTGCGGAGAGGACGAGCCGCTGCGAGGACTCAGTCTCGATCGCTTCTGATTCTTGAGCATCTCGCTGCGAGCCAGTAGACCTGCTGCCGGGGTTGTTCGTTGTCCACCTAGGCAGAACGGGACCAGAGAGGCATTCTCGGTCTGCCCCTCTCCACGGCTTTTCTGTTTGGCCCAGATATCTAGGCTATCATCGATTGTTTGGAGGCCGCTACTAGAGGATCTCAGCAGCTAGCTCCCCATCTTTAGCCCAGGTGCGAACAGCGTGGTTTTCGTCGCCGTGAACCAGACAGAAGGAGGACTGGCACGTGGGGAGCCCGGGACCGAACCGCTGCCCGTGTCCCAGCTGACTCCGCACCCATGCCCAGAAGTGCTGGCCCAGTGAGGGGGGCCACACTCGGCACGAGGGGAATGACGTTTCCTTGCGCTTTTCACGTGTTTCCAAATATGCTAATAAAGGCTGTCAGGCCCGTTACTTTGCCCAAAAGGGCAGGACCTCTTTAGCTCCAATACATGCCTTTTGCCCAACTGCTACTAATGCTGGTAGCACTTGGGGTATTCCCACAGTGGGCTCGAGTCGCTCTTCTGTGCTCACTCCGCGCAGGCGGATCAAGCTTGAGGGCAATAGCCTCTCGGTGGCTCCGGCCGCGGTGGCAGTGGACACCACTACGGCCAAGACCCAAAAACGTAGCGGCCAGTTGAAGGGGAGTGCGGCGGTGGTTTGTAAGCTCTGAAACTCCCTGACTCTCCTACCGCAGCATGTGAGGCGGGTACAGTAGACTCTGGGCCAGGTGTCGCTTACAGGAGCCGGGCCCTCACCTCTCCGCCAAGCTCCCATGCGGCGCACCACTGCGAGGATGAGGTCTCAGTGGTCTCGCATAGACACCATGGTTCGCCGACCGCCACCTTAAGTGCCGGTGTGGACCGGCCCTTTCTCAGAGGGTCCTCACCTCCCGACCCTCTGCAGGGCTCCAGGAGAGCGGGCGGGCCCGTTCTGCCCCGCACAGTGCAACCTCTAACTATCTTCTTTCCAACATGAGTGCAACTGGTTGGTCCACTCGCACCCTGGTTGACAAGGACGCTGAGGAGCGGCTATGCGTTACAGCTCTCCCGTCGCCCTTCTCCTTTCAGCGGCATTCTCCGCACTCAAACAGCCAACGATGCGGACGCCGCAGCCCTTCAAGAGGAAATATCGTCGCTCCTACACCGCGGCACCATTACAGAGATGGATGCTACAGAGGCGGAAGCAGGGTTCTACTCTCCCTACTTCCTGGTGCCCAAGAAGAGCAGAGGAGTGAGGCCCATACTGGACCTGAGGGTCCTGAACAGTTATGTGGCCACCAGGAAATTCCGCATGCTGACAGTCAAACAACTCCTGGAGAGCGTTTGCTCAGTAGATTAGATAATAACGTCCATAGATCTCACAGACGCATATCCTTACCCATATCCTGGTCCTTGCGTCCTCTCGTCACGAGGTGGAGGAACACACAGCCCTGATTCTGCACCACATCTTCAGGTTGGGTTTTGTGGTGAACAGAGAAAAAAGCGCACTCCATCCTGCTCAACGGGCCACTTACTTGGGAGTGGAGCTGGACTCGCGCACAGTGCATGGACGGCTCACCAGGGAGAGGTGTGGAGCGCTACTCACCCTGGCCACGACTCTTCAGCCCTATCCCACCAAGTATGGTCTGTCTTGGGGATGATGGCCTCGGCCCACCCAGTGGTAAGCCTGGGGCTACTGCACATGCGCAGACTCCAGCGTTTGTTCACTCGGCTCCATCTGCACCCTACGAGGGACAGGCAGAGAGCAGTGACTCAGGTTCTGGCTGGCCCCAGGTCGCCTCCAACAGGGAGTGCGCATGGTCGGAGTCCCCCACTACGTGGAGGTGTTCACAGGCGCCTCACTCGCCGGGTGGAGAAGGACTCTTGGCCAGTTGGCGATAGGTGGCACATGGGAGTCGCCACCGACCCACATCAATTTGATGGAGATGGGAGCAGTGCAGAGGGTGCTCCTGCACTTTGCCCCCAGGTTACGCAGGGAACACGTCATGGTCAGGTCAGACAACATGACGGTTGTGGCCTACTTGAACAGACAGGGGAGGCCCAGGTCTCCTCCTCTGCATCGGAAAGCAGCGGAGATCCTCTTGTGGGCCGACTCTTGCCTGGCATCTCTGAGAGCACGCCATGTACTCCGAGTACTCAGCATCGGGGCAGACAGGATGTCCCAAGAGGGGCCTCTGCCCGACGAATGGAGCCTTTCACCAAGCATAGCGCTTCAGGTCTGGGAAAGGTTTGGTCGCCCCAGGGTCGACCTTTTCGCAAGTGCAGTGAACGCACAGTGCCCACTCTGGTTCTCGCTCAGGTCGTCAGACGAGTCACCACTTGAGGTAGACACTAGTGCACCGGCTGTGGCCCGTGGGCCTACTGTACACCTTTCCACCGCTGCGTCTCCAAGGACCCCTGCTTCACAGAGTGAGGTTGCAGGGTCTGCATATCCTGGTTATAGCCCCGGACAGCCCGAGTGCCAGGTGGTACCCGGACCTGGTACAAATGGCGGTGATACCGACATACCAGATGCTCTAGTACAGATGGGGGGCACACTACGGTCACGCCCCCTCCTGGGCAGGAAGCTTCTAATCTGGAAGTTGAAAGGGGAAGACTAGTTGGCTTAGGTCTTCCTCCAGAGGCGGTGTCCACCATTCAAAGCGTTAGGGCTGGCTCCACAGTCAGAGCGTATAACAGCCGTTGACGGCTCTTCTCCACCTGATGCAACAGCAGGGGGCTGGACCCCAGCACCTGCTCAGTTGGTGGAATTTTGGAGTTTCTGCAGGAACTCCTGAACAAGGGTCGGGCTTCTGGCGGTGTTTGCAGCAGCCATCACTGCAGGTCATAATGGTTTTGGTTGCTACTCAGCTCATAGTCATCCTTTGGTTAAGCAATTTCTTCGGGGTGCCTCCAGAGTGAGACCACCCTCCAGACACGTTGTTCCACCCTGGGACCTCCAGGTGGTTTTGGACGTCCTGTCAGGAACCCCCTTTGAGCCCTTGGAACGGGCTGAAACGCAGTTCCTTTCCTACAAGGCTGCACTTCTTTTGGCCTTGTCCTCTGCCAAAAGGGCGGGAGATCTATGTGCGCTCTAAGTTCACCCCTCTTGCATGTCGTTCAGTGAGGATGGATGTTTGGTTCACCTTTGGCCCAATCCTTCCTTTCAACCTAAAGCCATCACCTCTGGTTTTCGATCCAGGGTGATCAGGCTTGCATGCATCCGAGAGGGATTCACGGCTGAGGTTTTTGTGTTCGGTCGGAGCTCTACACTGTTATGTTGAGCGGACGGCAGCCTTTCGCATTTCGGGCCAGCTGTTTGTAGGGTTCGGGACCAGAGGTTGTGGGGCCCCAGTGTCGTCCCAACATTTTGCTTACTGGATTCGTGGAGGCATTATGGCAGCATATGAGGCTTATGGTTGCCCCCCTCCTGTGGTCATTAGGGCGCACTCCACATGTGGTCTTTCCACATCTGTAGCCCTATGCAGGGGCGTTACAGTGGAAGAGATTTGCGTGGCTGCTTCCTGGTTCTCTGTGTCTACATTTGTGCAACCTTATCTGTTAGATGTTTCAGCTGGATCACTTGCTCGTTCTGTGCTTGATGGGAACCAGGCTTCTCTCTCCTGAGAGGGTGGCCTTTCACATTGCTGGATCTCCCTCCCTGCCCAGTGCCCAGGGAGGGAGACATTTGTGGGCGCCCTCTGGGTGAGGCTCATCCACATCCCAGCTTGATACTGTTTGTTTCTTGTACAGTTATGGTGCCTTGGTCTGTCGGCCCTGGCTCCATGAACCAGAGTATGTGGGCTGTACTTGGAGTATCAGGTCCACAGGACTTTGTGTTACCGCGCCAATCTCGAGAGCCTATCCAGCTGGGGGTACATTTATTGGTGGGTAACCAATAGCGAAGCCCGTAGGTGGGCGGAGCACACACGAAATAGAAATTACAGTTACTTGACGTAACTGTAGTTCTATGAGTGTGTGCAGGCCCAGCTGGATCGTCTCCCTCTATGAGCTAATTCGAAGAAGGGAGTTATGTGGCTAGTCCGGTATTTATAGGGCACCGGGTTCGCATGTGCCAGGCTGAGGGCATGATTGGTCCAGTGACTGCTTTGATCTTTCTCAGAGGCTGGCTTGGCGCCAGAGAGAGGTAACCAATAGCGAAGCCCAGAGGTGGGCTCTTACACACTCATAGAACTATAGTTACGTCAAGTAACTGTAACTGATGTTGCTGTGATGTGTCTGGTCAGCTGATTTATACAGGACTACAGTACACAAGTACTTGGCAACACATCTTGCATCTAGACTTGATACTTTTAATTAACATCTGGGGGGATGTATGACTATAGAGAAATGTTCAGCAGTAACCATGGTGACACAATGTACATATTACCAAACACTGATATCCTGATACGTTTGATTGTCTGAAAACTCAAAACATAAAATATCAATTTTAAGATAATTTGTTTGGAAGTCCTTTAATTGGCTAACTCTTATTTTGTCTCCACAGTTCCTCTTCATCATGCAAATCAGATACCCCAAGACACTATTTTTTTGTGTGCTTGGAGCTTTGGGGATTTTAATGCTTTATCTATATATAGACTTAAACAATTTTCCAAAATTTCAAGATTTTAGAAAAAAGTTCCAAGAAAGTGTTGAAAGTGATGCGGAGGAAAAGCCTACTCAACCTGCAAAAGTCAACTCCTATGTGTACTCATGGCCCAAGTGTGAACGAAACATGTCTGCAGTCAATATCTCAGGCTTTAGCAGTCTCCCAGAGCGCATTCAAAACTTCCTCTACTATCGCCACTGTAGGCACTTCCCCATGCTCCTGGACATTCCCGACAAATGTGGAGGACCTGAAAAATCATCTGAAGTTTTTCTCTTGTTGGTGATCAAAAGTTCACCTGGGAACTATGAGCGGAGAGAGGTGCTGCGCAAAACATGGGCCGAGGAGAGACAGCACGACGGTTTATGGATACGAAGGATTTTTATTTGTGGTACAGCAGGCGAGGATCAGCAGAAAAAGAGGTTCAACAGGCTTCTTCAGGTGGAACATAAGTTTTATAGAGACATCCTCCAGTGGGACTTTGCAGATTCTTTCATTAACCTTACTCTGAAGCAGATTTTGTTTTTGGAGTGGGCAGAGAGAAACTGCCCCAACGTCCGCTTTCTAATGAATGGTGATGATGACGTTTTCGCCAACACAAACAACATGGTTGAGTATCTCCACGGCCTCCAGGACAATGATGGCAGCAAGCATCTCTTTACAGGGAATCTAATGTATGGAACAGGTCCCATAAGGTCACCACCAGGAAGTAAGTATTATGTTCCAGTTCAGGTGGAAGAATCAAACGTGTATCCTCCTTACTGCAGTGGAGGGGGCTTCTTACTGTCCGGCTACACTGCTTCAGTTATTTATAACATGTCCAAGTCCATTGTACTGCTTCCGATCGATGATGTTTATATGGGCATGTGCCTGGCCAAAGCTGGTTTAGGCCTTGAGGCACACCCGTTAGTTAAGGTTTTCGGATTCCACATTCCCTCCAAAGAAGATGCATATGACCCGTGTTTTTACAGACATGTCCTGCTGGTGCACCAATTTCCCCCCATGCACATGTTTCTCATGTGGAACCAAGTATTCAATCCAAATTTGAAGTGCAGTAACAGTTTCAAAATACTGACATGATAAATGGTCACATTTATATATCGCTTTTCCACTTAATACTCAATAGGGGATGTAAAGCTTTCTGTGTTTTGAGTTTTCTGTTAAATGAAGTTGCACTTTCATTAACGGCTGTTTGAGCAAACAATTCTCAGCACTCCAAAAAATTTAATGTTGATCCTAGATTAAAATAGTTAGTAATCTTTTGTACAATTTAGTTATAATAAACTTTGATTTTAAATGTCCCATCTTATGCAAAATTGAGACTTAAGCCATGTTAAAATGCTGTTACCTTCTCAAAAGCATACCTGGAGTTTGCATACGATGTTCCGCAGTATGGCATTAAACAAATATATCTTTTATCTGTTCAGTTACGGGTGTTCTTATTTCTCAAAACTAAAAGTGCAAGTAAAAACATGCATTATTACTATGAACAGGCCCGCCTCTCCACACATCTGACCTTGAACTTGGCCCTGTGACGTGGCCTGCTTGCCTCCATGGAGATATTTAAATTAAATGCCATCCTGCAGAATGTTCTGAAGGAAATACATTAACATACATGGAATCAAGGTCCCTCTACCCTCTTCCAGAAAAGTTACACAGTGTACTTTAAAACATGTTTCAGCTAGGTGTGTGTCATACTAAATGTTGTCCAATTTGAAAATGAATAACTTTAATTACTTTTTTGTTTGTTCTGGGTATGCAATGTTTACAATGTTTTTATATGGAAAGTTGCTATTTTTATGGGAACAGTTAGATCCTGGTTGAATACAATAAGATTCGTGGTTACAATTGTTAAGTAAGAAATTATATATGGCAATAAAAGTGGTTTTGTGGAGTCTTGGTTCCTGTTGCATTTGTAGATACACTTTAAACATTCCTATTCATCTCATTAATGTTTAATTAAAATAAGGAAGATCAAGCTGAAGTTGTAGTCCATAAATTTTCTAGAATATTTATGTAGATTTTTATTTTTATTTTTTTTACTTTCATTGACACTATAGTCATTGTGGTAGGAATAACGCTGCCACGCCTATTTTGGATTAACTTTATGACGTTTTACATTTATCTTCAAGAAGTCACATGATAAGTGGGTGGTAGATTGAGTAAAGTAAATTTTATACTATTTCCTGCAAAAGGCTGCTCACCTTCAGTACACAAAACGGAGTTACGTCCAATAGTCAAAGTACTTTATTTTAGGTTATTAGGTTCTTTTTTTTTCAGACCAAGAAATTTGTTTTCATACCTGCCAACTGTCCCAAATGCCAAAGTACATGGAGAAACGTTCTATTTGTTTTAATTAGTCATACCACTCGAAACGAAACTCTCAGGTATGAAAACAAAACTCTTGCTCTGAAAAAAGAACCTAATAACATAACTTATCGGAAGACCAAATTAACCTAATTGAACTGAAATACTTTACTTACTTTTTGTCTGAGTAAAAGTACAGATCCACTCGTGACTCCTGACAGTCACGAGTGGAACTGTACTTTTGTAATCTGCACGCAACCTCTGTGTTCTGAAGTGAAAACGGTTTACAGCACTGTCGCCCGCGTGTCAACATAAGCACTAACAGAATAGCGCTCCATCTCTCTGACTGCATTTCCAATTTAAAAACATTTATAACAGGCCTACACTAACACTAACGCTAGATGTCAGGCGTTCGTTGGCTTCAGGCTCATCTCTGTATCAAACAGGATCCTCATTTGGGATTGTGCGGGATTTTTGCAGTGCGAGAGCCTCCTGGTGGCCACGGGAGGCGCATGCATCCATACTGTAAATTAGTAATCATTACTAAAACCGCGCGTGGTAAATGATTGCACTGGGATGTCTAGTTTTTACAATATCAAAAACTAAACAAATCAAGCTCTGTGTACATAAAGTCTTCTGTCCAAGATAACCTATTACTAAAGAACTTAAGTTTCTAAAACTAATGTTTACAAGTAATTAACTAACCATTAGTTGTGTATTACAAGTAATTACTTATTTTTATCAGTATGTATTTCTCATATTTATTGATTATGTTTATTAGTAATAATAATTAGATGCAAATCATAAATCATATATATATATTTTTATAACTGACATAAAATGACAATTTTTTTCTCACAAGTTTATTGCAAAAATAGTGCAATAGTAACATGCTTAAACCTGAATAAAGTGCAGTCTTCTGTTTGTTCCCTGTAACAGCATTTGCTTTTGTGTTTTACATTTCACAATTCAAACAAGGGGTTATAAGAGTTGTCAGCTTGTCCATAACAATTTCACCTTCAATGATGATTTTCAGGCAGCTGGGTGAAGATCTGGTGTTGGAAGAGAGACACCTTCAGATTTACTAACAAGATCCCAATGTCCATTTGGCGAAAGGATTCATCTCCATCCTAAAGAAAAACAAAAAATTTATGCCAGAAACATAACCATTAGTGAATGAAATTACTGAACTACAACAGAGTAAATAAGAATGACAAAACATAAATTGTATGAAATTCAATTTATGCTGACATGATAACTATTTGGTCAAGCATTTTCAAATGTCCAAACAAATATTTAAAAATCAATAATAATCTGACTTTAAGATAAATAATATTCATGGAATGGCTGAAGCTCGTAATGTACAGACTACTTGTCAGTTTTGGCATATTCAAATTATACAATAAATGTCACATTCTAAAAGTTTCACATTACAAACAAAATGTACACTTACAAAGCTAGATTTGAAGAATTCAGTGGGATTGTCTCCGAGTAAGTAAGGAAGCCCTCTGAGTGTGACTGTCCTTTTTTCAGTAGAATCCAGTGACTGTAAGACAGAAAATGGATACTGTATAAGTTAAAAGAAATATACAGAGATGCAAACACTTTTGTAAATATACATTTAACCATTAATATGAACTATGTATTTTAATAAAAATGAATTATCTTTTTATCCATTTTAGATTAACTATGTTATGAACTTATGCTTTTACTGCACATGTGTTTTTATCCAGGTTACAAAAGTTTTACCTGCATTTTCTGCAAAAGCTGTGCCAACTGTCACCCACGTTGCCCCTCTTAGCTTTAAAACTTTCAATAAAACGGGTAGCGTGGTTATCAAGGGCAGAATAAAATTCCTGGTGCAGGTCTTTTCCCACAATCCTTTTGAATTCCAGACAAATCTAAAAAAAAAAAAAAAAAAAAAAAAAAAAAAAAGAAATTAGTGTTCTGTAGTGTCTGAGCAAGTAACCTCTCTTATCACAGCTGAACTCACAGTATTTACAGCTCCACAGCATGTCTGTAAAACAGAAAATATGTTTTATTTATAAAACATATCTATAAATTGTACATCAAAAGAAAGCAAAATCTCAGCTATTTTTTGGTCTTTTCATTCTATCTCTCTGTATTCCTAGTATTCAGACCTAGTGATAAGAGTTCAAAGACTCAGCATCAGTTCCAGTTATAATTATTCCAGCCTTTCTGAATCCTGTCAGGATGGTTTCTGTTGTCACTGAAGTCTAGGCTTTATTGATCCATCCAGTGACTTCCAGGAAAGTTGCATGGTGCACCCACCCGGTTGTCGTGAAGCTGTGTCCTGTGTTCCCATCCCCGTTTTCCGCCAGTTCCTCATAAGTATCTCACTCACTCCAAACTTTCTTTCTGCTGCTCGATTACCGTTTTTGGCTGAATATGTCACTACTTGCAGCAGGACAGTAGCTTTTTCTGCAGGAGGCATGCATGAAGTGACAATGGTACAGGAGTAATAGGAGTAACAGATACTGACACACAAGCCTAGAGCGCCCTCTCACGTTTGTCAGTGTGAAAATTTTAAAATACACAGATGTGGACAAAATTGTTGGTATCTCTCTAGTAATGAAAGAAAAATTACCAATGGTCACTGAACTAACTTGAAACAAAGAAAAAGCAATAATAAATAAAAATTCCCTGAAAAATAACCTATACAAATCAGAAACAGTTTTTGAACAAACTAATGATGGACAAAAATTATGGTACCCCTAGAAAAGATTGTAAGTAACTGAACAATAGGGACATGTTAAACTTTGGTGTGTCCTCTAATCTGCATCACATGTGTCTTCAAACTTGTCCTCAGTCAATCTGCCTGTTTAAAGGGGGACATGCGTCATTGTGCCATTTGGAGACATGATGGATACAACACTGAACATGGACCAGAGAAAGTGAAGAAGAGAACTAGAACGAAAATGATGGACAAGCAGGTTAAAGATAAAGACAATAAGACCATCTCCAAGCAGCTTGATGTTCCTTTGATTACAGTTGAACAGTTTAAGGTCCACAGGGCTGTAGCCAGCCTCCCTGGATATGGCCGCAAGAGGAACATTTATGACAAATTGAAGAGATGGAGCATACAAATGGAACCTCCAAACAAATGAAATGTGAACTCGAAGCGCAAGGTACATCAGTGTCAGATTGCACCATCCATCACTGTTTTTTCCAAAGTGGGCTTCATGTGAGGACACCACTGCTGAGAGTAAATCATAAAAAAGTGAGACTGGAATTTGCCACAATACATATTGACAAGCCACAAAGCTTCTGGGAGAATGTCTTTTGGAGATATGAGACAAAACTGGAGCTCTTTGGCAAGACACATCAGCTCTACATTCACAGATGCAAAAATGAAGCATACCAAGAAAAGAACACTGTCCCTACTGTGAAGCATGGAGGAGGCTTGGTTATGTTCTGGGGATATTTTGCTGCATCTGGCACAGGGTGTCTTGAATCTGTGCAAAATACAATGGAATCTCAAAACTATCAAGGTATTTAAGAACGAAATGTGTTGCTTAGTGTGAGAAAGCTTGGTCTCAATCATAGGTCATGGGACTTCCAACAGGCCAATGACCCAAAACACACAGCGAAAAACACACAAGAATGGCTAAGAACAAAACATTGGACTGTTCTGAAGGGGTCTTCTGTGAGCCCAGATCCCACTCAATCCCACTGAACGTGTGAAATGAGTTGAAAGATGCTGTCTGGAGAAGGAACCCTTCAAACCTAAGGCAACTAGAGCATTTTGCTCACAAGAAATGGGTCAAAATACCAGTTAACCAGAGCAGAAGTCTCACTGACAGTTACAGAAATTGCTTGATTGCAGTGTTTGCCTCAAAAGTTTGTGCAACAAAATATTAAGGTACCATCATTTTTGTCCAGGCCAGTTTCATTATTTAGTTTTTTCTAATATTCTGTTGAACCACAGGTGAAAAACAATGTTTGATTTTTGTTGGAATATTTTCAGTAATTTTTTATATATATTTGCTTTTTTTAGTTTCACGTTATTTCAGTAATTATTGTTGATTTTTCTTTCATTGACAGACGGGAACCAACAATTTTGTCCACATCTGTAAGTCACACTGGAGGATGAGTCACAGGACCACCCAAACCATGAAAAAAATGCAACTTATAGTCCGAAAAATATGGTTCATTTAAGTAATGAGTGCACAGTGTGATGGGGCATCTGGTTCTGACCTCTGATTTGGGTCAGCGCAACTAAAGAGACCAAACCCTGTGAATTGTGTTGTAGAGCTCACATTGTTGTTAAATTAACTTAGTGTCACTAGAAAAATCTCCTTATTCATATGTGAACATTATTCATTGATTTGGGTGATGGGACAACTTGCCCCAGACCCCAGGTGCACTTCATCTGATTGGTTTCTTTTTTTTTCTTTTTTCTTTTTTTTTTTACCAGGTCCCGCTTTTTCAAGAGAGACCTGGCCAAGGTAGCAGCCAACACAATCAACATAAAACAGTACTATCACAAACTATCACATTAGAAAACCATTTGCATCTCTCGAGAAAAGCATTCACGTATCTTTGTCACCACACTTTTTACAATTTTCTTGAACAAGAAACATCATAGATTACAGTTTACGATATTCCTGTAAATTATTCCAAGACCATGGTGCTGCACAGGAAAAGACAGATTTTCCCAGTTTAGAGAGGCATCATGGCACAGTGAAGAGTAGGAGGAGCAAAGCCAGTAAATAAATATTAACCAATGCTGTTTTCTGTCAATTGTTAACTATATGCAGCCAACTAAATCATAGAGAGTGCAGTGGTGTGTGAGAGACTTAGCACTGGTGATAAATCTTACTGATGCATGATACAGTCCAGTTTGTGCAGACTGGAATAGGAAGCATTCATACACAAGGTATCACCACAATCCAGAACAGAAAGAAAAGTTCCACCAGTTTTTTTCTTAGCACTAAAAGAAAAGTTTGTGTCTAAAATAGAAACCAATCTTTTGTTTGAGTTTTTTTTTTTTTTAGGATTGCAATACTTTAACTGTAAGATGACCATCCATTCATATACCCAAATATTTATATGAATGAAACTGTCTGAATGACTTTCCCATCAGATAGTGAATAGTGCAGGTGCTTGATCCTTGTGGGACACCTCTCACTATATTGAATGACTCTTATCTGTGGCCCTCGTCCAGCACATACTGGGTATGGCCTGTAAGATCATTTTGGAACCATCTGATCGATTTTTTACAGAACCCAGTTGATCTTAGTTTATTTAAAATAATGTTTTTTGGATCTTCACTTCTGAATTTGAACTTATTTGATCTTTGTTTGCCTGAGATATCTCCAGAAAAGCATTTTTCATAGTTACAAGTAATTTTTTTCAACATCTTTCCAAAAGAATTAATAATGTAGTACATATTTGAATATTTAATAACAAGTATAACTTTTTTCTAATGATCAATGAAACTGAACAGATGAAAGTAACTTTAGCCACAGCCCAGAGAAGTGTGCCTGGGGGTATGGGGCACATTGTCACAATCACTGCGGGGCAAGATGTCCCATACTTACAACCCCTTTAAAAACAAAACATCACCAAAATCAATGGGTAATGTGCACAATTAGATTTTTCTAGTGACACTGAGTTCATTTTTCGCTCTGACCCAAACCAAAGGGCTGGACTTTAGTCACACTCTGCCTTCATTGCTTGAATGTATTTTTTATTTTTTTGTATAAACTATTATTGTTCCTAAGATAGAAAATAAAACTCATAAAAATATATTTTTTTTTAATTTTTTAAATTATTGATAAAAAAAGAATGTGACATCTAACCCTGTGATGGGGCATGTTGCCACAGCCGTCCAACCTTGTATTTGAACTATTGTAACTGTGTGTACGAGACAGAGATAGAATGAACCAGCTCTTTCATTTGGCAGACATTTTATATTTTAAATTTATGTTCAGTTTCAGAAGTGTGACAACATGCCACGGTCTCCCCTACCTTTTTTAAAAACAAGAGTCTCCACAGGCTACAGGTGCTTTAAATAGACCTTCTCATCCTAATTGCCTCTACTTTCATTTGTCTAAACTAACGAAATCAACGACTTGCGCACGTGATGTTCTGTGCACTTCCTCCTCCCCCACTGCGTGAGCGCGCGTCCTCGGGTACAATCTCCTCTCCCTCCGTCTCCTCTAGGGCGGCTCCCATCGATGAATCTACATCTCTCCATACCTGCTTCACAGACTCAAGTAGATCGCAGCCTACTGGGTGTCTACATCACATTTTCCGCAGCAGGTGGACTGTACTTGTAAGAAACATTTGTACAAGGCGGAAGACCACGATTCTCATCTTCTAAAACTCATCATTTATACGTAAGTTGTCAGACTTTTTGACTGTTTTGTTTTTAAATAGACGACTTGAAACTACAGTTAGCGGTGTCTAGACAATCAAAGAACCTAACGACATCACTCTGGTTGCGCTCTATAGCCTAAGTAAAGGTCCGGTTGGTGTATCACTCGTGGTCACACTTGGTCTCTTATTTATTTATGTTCTATGGAAGTGTTTGTATGGTGCTTTTGTTGTTGTGTTGTCTTTTCTTTGTGATGAAGCATGTGATCCCCTGTCTCAAGACAAAGTTCTCCCATGGGAGACAATAAAATATGATCTTATCTTAAATAGATTAAAGTGAATAAGTGCTGTGTGCGTATCGTCTGCCATTTTCTGGGCTCTATGATACACACTTCTTCAATACTTGCCGAAATGAGCTCTATACAGGCTATATTAAACATAAAAATACAGAAAGATACCATTCTGGATTTGCATGTTTGGCATGTCCGAAACCTGCTTGCCCCATGTGGTTATTATTGCTTTTCCTAGAATGTTTCACAGTGTAGCCGACCATTACACATGAACAGCACCTTACGCCACAATGGCAATTTATAGGTCAGAACTGTGGAAAGGTGACCCCATTGTAAAAGGTATTTCATCAATAAGACCGCTGTAATTAAATAATAAATACCAAATATACATTCATTTGTGGGTTATCTTCATAGAAACAAGCAAGTGACAGACAGAAAAGTTACATTTCCTCTAAAAAGCTTTAGATCTAATTAGCAGAGCCTACTCTTGGCTGTATATTGATGCTTACAATGCCCAACTTTTATTTAAATGATTTATTGTCAAATGTCCTATATTACACCAAACAGACTCTTGTGAGCTTTAAGTCATGTTATAGTGTTGTTACCTCATCAAAAATATATCTGGTTTTGTGTCATTCAGTCATATCTGAGTAAACCATTATTATTAGTCTGTCTACATCTCCAAAGCTCAAAATGTTCTATTTGAGTGTTTTCTGTTTGAGACTAATAATATAGGGTTACTCAAGCATGTGTGAATGAAACAAAACACAACTCCATGTCTGTTTTTGATGAGGAAACAACTTAACATAGATTACTACAAATAGTGTAATATGGGCCCTTTAACTTTAGATGTATTTGGGAAATAGTTTAGCCTGTGTCTTTTGTCTATAACATTTCATAGACGTTGCTTCAATACAAACAAGGCAACAATATTATCCTGTAAATCAATCAAAAGTTGTTGTCCCGCAACAAACAAGTTCTACAAACTCATAGCTTATCCTCTCTCTTTGTCGTTCTATGAAATGTTAATAGTCCTGAAGTTCTTTATATTGCAAACATCATTGCAGTGAGGGGACTGGCACAAAATAATTTTATAGTTATATTTTGAGAAGTTTTGTGGGAATTATCACATTTGAAAGGCCCACATGTTATAATGTTGTTTCCTCATCATAAACATAGCTGGAGTTGCGTTTTGTTTCACTCACACGTTTAACCCTAACCCTGCATATTTTGGCTGTGTTCTTTTCTCAAACAAAAGAACACAGCCAAACTTCATACACCTTCATTAGAATCAGTTCTATGATTTCAGACAAGGAATTGCTAATCTCTACAGAATAAAAGATAAAAGGTAGCTGTTGAAAATAGGGGTGGGTATTCGATGAAATTTTCTTAATCGATCGTCGGAAGAATTAACGATCGATTATCGATTAATCATTAACGTTTTTATATTAAAATGATCATCATTATTATTACTAGCTGCACTACTAATCTGCATAAATAAATTCAACTTTACAACAAATAAACCGTAACGACTCTAGAGCCACATCAATCCGTTTGACATTATAATGTGTTTAAAACTTAAAACCGCATCGCTAATTTGCATAAACTCAGCAAAGATAAAACTACAGCTCTTGTGCACTGATGTGGTCAATTTCTGTCGGATTAAAAGACATGACTCAGTGAAGTACAGGGTAGGGTGACAATATTTGCGTTTGTCAAAACCAGGACACCGTACGGGAGGTGGGAAGTGGGGACTCTTCATCGACATTGCGCGACTCTCACCTGGTAAAGCTTTTTCCCACTGGACACCGAAACATATGTGCTGCTTTATACACTGTGCACAAGGACTCCTACTTGTCCCGAACGCAACAGAAAGTGTGGAATTTCTTGTACAAGTCATCGTTAAATACACATTTGTGCTTCGGCACGCTGCAGGCTCACAGACTGTTTGTGTTTGCTCGCTCCTTCTAAGTGCAGAGAGACACATGTACGGACCCCTGTTTGGTCACGCTACGCTACGCACAGCAACCTACATTTGGTTTGTCGATTAAAATTAACGTAATCGATGAAATTCTTAATGATCAATTATCGATTAATCGATTAATCATGCCCATCCCTAGTTGAAAACTAACACTACATGACATCACAAGGGGTAATATTTTGATCTGTAGGCATACTGATAAAGGATTGTTCAAACACATGTGAATGAAACAAAACACAATTCCCAGGTATGTTTTCGATAAGGTAACAACATTGTAACATGGCTAAAAGCTCCCAAGAGTCCGTTTTGCATAACCTATTATATAACTATTTCATTTTTTCTTTTTTTTTCAGTGTCAAGATGTTGATAAAACTACGGCTAAGCACCTTTTTCCCCATTGCCGCACTATTACTCTTCATTTTGTTTTGTGTCCAGATGAATAACAATAACTACTATGATAACTTAAATAGCTACAGTGAAAATGTGACGGAAGAGGAGATTGTGTATAAGAGAGTTATAAGGAATTGGCCAAAATGTGAACAAAACAAGTCTGCAGTTATCATACAAGGCTTTAGCAGTCTCCCAGAGCACATTCAAAACTTCCTTTACTATCGCCATTGTCGGCACTTCCCCATGCTCCTGGATATTCCTGGCAAATGTGGCGGACCTGAAAAATCCTCTGAAGTTTTTCTCTTGTTGGTGATCAAAAGCTCACCTGGGAATTACGATCGGAGAGAGGTGCTACGCAAAACATGGGCCAAAGAGAGGCAGCACGACGGTTTATGGATACGAAGAGTGTTTATTTCTGGTACATCAGGGAGTGGTAAAGACAAACTGAAATTAAACAAGCTTCTAAGAGCGGAGCAAAAGGAGAACAGTGATATCCTGCAGTGGAATTTCGAAGAGTCCTTTTTTAACCTGACTTTGAAACAGATTTTGTTTTTGGAATGGATGGAGAAAAATTGCCCCAAAGTCCGCTTCCTGCTTAATGGTGATGATGACGTCTTCGCCAACACAGACGGCATGGTTGAGTATCTCCGAGACATCCCTGGAAATAACGGGAGCAGTCATCTTTACACTGGGTTTGTTTTTGAAAATACTGGACCAGTTCGAGATAAAAGAAGCAAATACTACATTCCAGAGCAGATCCAAAAGTCTGCTAAATACGAACCTTACTGCGGAGGAGGAGGCTACTTACTTTCAGGTTACACAACTATGATCATTTACAACATGTCCAAGTCCATTGAAGTTCACCCTATTGACGATGTGTATATTGGTATGTGTGTTGTGAAGGCGGGGTATTTGCCTACACATCACATAGGGGTGAAAACACTAGGATTGGTGATATCAAACAACCAGAAACTAGATGAACAAGAGCCCTGCCACCTTAAAGGCCTGCTGCTGGTGCACAGATTTTTACCTGCTCAAATGTTCCTCATGTGGCACAAAATAAATGACCCTCAACTCAGATGCGGCGTGCAGTTTTGGGAAGACATTTAAAAAGTGAGAAATTAGAATTTAAAGGGCCTATATTACACTGTTTTTGATCTATGTTGTAATGTTGTTCCCTCATCAAAAACATACCTGGAGTTGTGTTTTGTTTCATTCACTCAACACACAAATCCTGCATATTTAGGCTGAGTTCTTCTCTCAAACACTCTGATCCACTTTGTGATGTCATGTGGTAACACAGGAGCTGCTCCAGTGTGCTTTTAAACATACAGCCTCACTAGAATACTTTGGATAATGTCAGCCCTGGAATTTCTGATCTCTACTTAACAAAAGGTAAAAGGTAACTGTTAACTTGAAAAGTACCACTTCATGACATAACAAGGTGGAACGGAGCAATAGAGACAAACTAATGCTAAAGGGTTACTCAAACATGTGGGAATGAAACAAAACACATCTCCAGGTATGTTTTCAAGGAGGTAACAGCATTATAATATGGCTTAAAACTCACAAGTGTACGCTTTTCCATAATATAGGCCCATTAACAATTTAAAATTGAATATTATACTTGAAACAGGAAAACTCCTCAGAATGTTCCACATAACCGAAAGCTGAATCTCACAAACAGGAAGAATTTTTAAATCTTTGGACCGTGAAAGAACAGAAGCACTTTGCTGTTTACAGTATAATCAGTGGATGCAATTGTCGTCTTACTATATGCCTTACTTTTATGTGTGGGTGTGTCATGTTGTCCACCAACTGTCCTCTACAGCACTTCCCCATTGTCACTCTAATGTGTTTCCAGTATGATCAGTTTACCTTTGATAATAATCAGAATAATCCCAGGGTTTCTTCAACGGTCTATATTATGTTTTTTTGTTGTTTGTTGTTTTGTATGTTATAATGCTGTTTCCTCATCAAAACAGTACCTGAAGTAGTCTTTTGTTTCATGAACATATTAAGCACAGAAACAGAAACCATTCTATTCCACCTTGTGATGCTATGTGGTAATACTGGAAGTGCCACACTGTGGTGTTAAACTCTATACACTTCATTAGACTCATTTGGATCATTTCAGCGATGGATGGAACAAAACATTTTGAGCTTTGGAGATGTAGATAGACTAATAATAAAGGGTTACTCAAGCATGTGTGAATGAAGTAAAACACAACTCCAAGTATGCTTTTGATGAGATAACATTATAACATGGCTTAAAGCTCATAAGAGTCAATTTTGAATAATATAGGACCTTTAAATCTAACAATAAATCCTATGAATATTTTGAAGTTAGACAGATCTGTTACATGCTTGTATATTGCAGTTGTTAGTTGCTGTTGTAGACACTGGAGAATGTTGAAGTAAAGGCATAGGTTCAATAAGCAAATTCTGATACAAGACCAAGTGAGCTTCTACAGGATTCATTTTACATTAGTTTTTAAGTAACTTTTTTTCCTCTTAACCATATTGTTTTTAGTTTGTGCACGGCTGTTCTGTGTACTGTGAATACAGACTATTTGTTGTGCTTATAATAGTAATGTACTTTGAATATTTTGTATTGATACTATTTATTAACATATTTACATTCTTGACAATAAAATTAAATAAAAATAATATAAAAGACAATATTGCAGAAGTCTTTTGCAGAATGGTATGAACAAGACAAAAGGAAATCAAGTTCACGCCACTGTTTACTCTGGTTAAGGACATCATGCAAATATATCTTTGCAATGTGTGGAGCGGAAAATGCATTTACAAAGCAAGAAGCAGAGTGCATACTTCAGGTTAGTCTCATTTCACTAAAACATACCTGTCATCATTATATTTAAGATGTCACTAAAAATCTTACCTAGTTTTTCTAGTTTAGTAATTTCGATCAAGTTTTAGTCTTCCTAGTTACCGTAATGTAAATAAAGGCCAAACCTAGATTACTAATAGTTAAGATTACTAATAGTTTTTGTTGCTTTTACTGGTAACAGAAGTAGAGGCATTCTGTTGTAGAACTCACCACTACTTCCTGTTAACTTTTCCTCCACAAACTGCCGCTTAATACCACAGTGATGTAGACTAAGTCTACTACCGTCTCAATGTTTTTTTCTGTTTACTACTTTATATGAAGTAAGATGTATCAAATTTAGTATCAAAGGCAAATAAACTACTACTACTATTACTTTATTACTAAATATTTTATAACCAAATCCTAAAATTAGCCACCCTTTCTTTTGTTGAAAAATATTCAGTAGAGTTATGTAACTTTTTTCTTTACTACATAATTCCATATATCTCGCTTCATACATTTGAGGTCTTCTATATGTACAGTATATATATATAAAAAAAAAAAATTAAAAAAAAACATTGAATGAGAGGGAGTGTCCAAACTTTTGACTGGTAGTATAAAACTATGATAATATGTACCACAGATACTATTTCAAGCAATAATTGAAAAAGAAAAAAAAAAAAAAAGAAACATGTCATATACACTGAACTTTAATGCACTGTAAACACTTTTACAGATATATAATACAGTTGAGATTAATTTGAATTTGTGTTTTGGGGAAGAGTAATGCATGTTCACTTTGTATATGTTTTTATACTGGAAACAAAACATAAAAAAGTATAATGAAGCAGTCATATCTCAAATAGGATTTCTGTAAAAAGGGTTTCTTCATTAGTAGTTTAACTGTTCAATGGGTCTTAATGATTAACCTAAACAAACAGTCACACCCATACCATAAAACATTCCTCACCTCATCTATATTATTTTATTGATTCAATGTTTTACCAGGTAGGTCCATCTATAGAGTTTCCTTTGTAAGCAAATGAAACAAAGAAGCAGTCTTTTCAGCTTTTGTGGAAACTATAATTTATGTAAGATCCTGACTATGAAAGTAAGGCTGGTCCATGGTCTTGAATGTAATTTTGTCAAGGAGTGAAAACTGATACCAACAATTACTATTATAATACAATCTCATAATTAAAATGTCTGAAGGGTTACATATTTTAATTGAAAAGTCCTGTACTGTGCACTCTTGTGAGCTTTAAACCATGCCATTACCTCCTCAAAAACATACCTGTGTGTTCAATATGTGTGAATGAAATAAATCACATCTCCAGGTACATTTCTGATGACAACATTATAATATAAATTAGACAATAAAGTAATATGAGCCCTTTAAAAAAATTGAGCTTTTGAATGTGAGTGAATGAAAGTTTGTATGCACGTTAAATAATAAATCTGTGCTGTGAAGCCCAGCCTAAAATAGCGAGAAGAAGCTAATTCCAATTAAAAGAGCAGCAAATCAAAACAATATTTATTTATACATTTATGGGAATAACATAAGAAAATATAAAAACACACTACAACATGTTATGGCAAGAATTATGACATGGCATGCTTGGTTTTGTTATAATAGACAGATATAAAAGTAACAAAAAGTCGGATACTAATAGCTACTATAGAAACTAGCACAGAAACTATATATTCCTATTCAAGTATCGATACAAAAGAAAAAAAAAAACAGATACATTACATGTGACATTTCCTGAACAGTCTTGAATGGTTTTGAGTTTCATCAGAACTAGTATAAAGTCTCATGGTAACAAAAAGGAAGTATGTTTTGTGTTGACGACAATGGGAGCAAATGCCAGTTTTTTATTGGTTCCTGTAATTTGTCACTAAATATCCAATATCACAAATCTGATCATTTCTACCAGTGGCTAGATCAATTAACGTCTTGTATTACAACAAAAATCTGCATTTTAACAATATCTATTTTAGCTGCCCCCATCTGTATTAAGTATTATTGATCTATATAGAAAGTTATGATGTCATCTGAAACCCAGCAACTGTGTAAAAAATGTGCATTTTTAAATTAGCTGTATAACCACTATAGTAAATCTGTGTGACGTTTATCTCTCTTCTTGTATCATAGCTTCAATTTGTTCTTCCAAACCAGAGAAGCCAGGACGGTCCTCATAGTTGTACAACCAGCATTGCTTCATCATACCGTAAACCTGTGTGATAGATATAAGAAGTGAATTTCTTATTTCTTAAAATGATTCTTAGTATTGACGTGATTGCCATAGTCAGAACCTTTGTAGGACAGTGCAGTGGAGCAGGCAGTCTCCACCCATTCTTTATAATATTAGCCAGATACATTGAGATAGATGGTCCCTGTACTCCGTGTCCTATTTCCTGCATGCACAACTGAAAAAATAACATTGATGCAAGTTTGATTCAAAAATAAGAAAGCATATTAATATGTTAATAATAATAATGTTTGGAAAGAGAAATGCATATTTACTCTTTTTGGGTTAAAGTTTGCATTGCAGTAAGAGAAAAGCTCATGAAGAAGAACTCCAAAGCTCCACACGTCAGACTTGGATGAAAACTTAAACTCAGTTAGGGACTCAGGTGCGTACCTATAAAACAGCTGTAACCACAGAACTTGATGCACATTTTAGTTTGTCATAGTTTATTACCAGAATATGGGGCTTTCTCCAGGCTGTGTGACTCGATAGTACTCTTTATCACAAGGGATGACCTTTGTAAGGCCAAAATCAGCTATTTTAACCCTTGAATGGTCTGCAACAAGAATGTTTCTGGCTGCGAGATCTCGATGGACATAGCGTTTGTCCTGGAGATACTTCATGCCCTAAAATTGATGATATGACAGAGCAAAATAAATCCAAGGAAGACAGAGAGGGTATTTAAAGGACATATGCCAGGTCTGAACACTAATTTCACATCAAACAACATTAATATAATTTTTTTAAGACTTTACTAAAAATCCTGCCTATTTTTTTCTAGTTTGATTATTTTGGTGAAGCTTAACATTTTGCTTAGTTGGACATGGGTAGCAGATATAACATACATAAAGGTAATTCCAGTTCCATTATCTAGAAACCATAATGTTAACAGGGCCCAAAACGTTTGTCTAAATTGCTCAAAAATTATGATTAGACTAATAAAAATGAAAAAATACCTTTATATAGTTATCTTTTTGTACTTTTCTTTTCAACTGTGACCTGACAGATGTAATGCTGTGAGAAAGAATTATCACAGGCCCTACTGCACCAAACCAAGTAATAATCGGAAAAACATGAAAAGCTGTCATATTTAAAGTATATGACAACTTTAGATTGTTGAAGTGACTGGACTTAGTACCTTACAGATTTGAGAGGCAAAAAGCAGCAGCCTTCTGATGTTCACACTGTCAGGGAATTTCTCCATGTAGTTAATTAAACTCCCAAACGGCAGGTATTCCATCACCAGGCTCATGTTAAGGCGACCTATGAACAATAAAAGGCAGGTACTAAAAACCAAGGCAAATGATTAATAGCCCTCACATAAAAAAATCATGTCTTATATCAACAAAGTTAATAATTGTTCCTGTGATTCACAGTGAATATCAGTTTACCGGTTTGAACTGTTGAAACACCTGTCCAAGAAAATGAAACCTACACTGTCAAACGCCTAGTATTTATAAGACAAGTATTTGCCCTATTATACAAACAAAGCACTGGTGCTTGTTAGTTGTTTTAAGATGACATAATATTCATACTTCACAAGCTGATAGCATTAACATTCCCTGAGGGGTGTACTGCTACCTGTAAGAACTGTTCTGAGATTTGTTTAGAGTAGATTAGATTAGATTAAATAGATAGGAGATCTGATTTGTGCTGAAACACAAGTCTCTCTCAAATAACATTAGTTACCTCGAATTCACACCAGGAGCTGCAGCAGCGCTTAACGTAGGCGTAGCTGCACGTACGCGTAAATTTCAAAGTTTCAATTCACAACAGAGCGTCAGAGACACTCCTGCTACGCAGCCTGCACATCTTCTCACTGTTTTCAGACATCACATTTTGTACTTGCTTTTTATTATTTATTTTATGTTAAAGTGTATTAAGTTAGAATGTGTATTAAGTGTATTATGAATTAAGTGTACAACTGCAACGCATTTGCGTTTAATGAAGTTTAAATCTATTAGCACGCACATTAAACACCTCAGGTTTTTTTTTTCCCTTAACAAGGTAAAATCACGTATAATTAACATACATTATGAGTGTGATTAAAATCATATGTCCGTCTAGGTAATAATGGATGGATAAGGGAAAATAGTCGCTGAAACGGGCGAGTTTTAACGTTCTGGAATTTTAAGAGCGAGTCAGGACTAATTTAGGTCTAAACCAGGTCTAAACCATGACTAAGCCCGGACTAAATCAGGTCTAAACCAGGTCTAATCTTGGAGAGAGAGAGAGATAGCGAATCCTAGCGGAGCAGGTGTCCGAAAAGCGCGACGGCTGCACGTACCTCTTTTCCAAGCTCTGCACTGGTCCTTTCGCCCGCGGACACTCGGGGCTACACGGAAGGACCTCCGAGTATATTTCGACAGTGAGTGCTGGTTTAGTCCTGGTTTAGTCCTGGTTTAGTCCTGGTTTAGTCCTGAGTCCTTGTAGAACTGGTGTCTGACATCGTAAATCACGTGCGCGTTGTTTACGTCGCTGTCTTGACTTTGGTTAAATTATTTTGAAAGGGTATCGGAAGTTTATTTTGACTCCGCGTGTTTATTTCCTGTCTTTCCCCTGCTAAAAACCTTGGAGACGCACCATTGACGCTGCAAAATTAGAAGTCCAACCTCTTGAGCAGCGCGTCAGCGTCAGACACTCGTTGGACGCGCGTATGACACTGTTGGTGTGAACGGTCAGACCGGTTAAAATGGAGTTCTAAGGCAGCGCGTGTGCTGCTCGTGTTCTGTGCTGCTGCGCTTACGCGCCGTTGCGCTTTGGTGTGAATTGGGGGTTACAAGCTAGCCAGCATTACCCAACAGTTTCTCAGTTAGTCACTCTCACTTTGTATTGTATTGTACTGTACTGATCACAGGCTCCTGAAAATGTCCTGAAAACTTCTTAAAAAAAAAAAAAAAAATCTTAAAACTTTTTGGCAGTGTTTGCTAATGTGTGCATTGTATCACCATGCTAACTCCTAATCATTCTGCCATACAGATACATGTAGAAGACCCCCAGTGTGATGTCACTGCAAAGTATCAACTGGTATATAATACATTTAATTGTGAAGGATTTAAAGTACTGTACCTTATGTGTACAGTTTCAATACTTTACTAGTACACTGACTAATTAGCATGCTGGTTATTGCAGTAATAATATAACTAAGTCCTTGTGTTACATTGAACAGAAATATTGATCAGAGTGTAGGAGAATTTAAGTAATTTATCTTCCACGTACATCTCAGTTTAACATTGACTCACAAAAGCTATATTTACACCATGATCTTCCGTTGGCATACCATTGGCATGCCATTATCAGGCGGCCCACAGTGTCTGCGTACACTGGTGTGTGAATGTGTGTGTGACTGGGTGAGTGGTTCCTTGTTGTAAAGTGCTTTGAGTGACCATTTACCATTATCTAAATTGTGGCATATTGCCGTCTAACCGGTGCCTACTGGCCTTCTCCTTTGGAAGCACAGAAAAGGGACTGAACACTCAAAGATTATACTATGTTCACTTTTGAAATCATACTATGTTGATTTTTCAAGCCTTTTCAATTATTGATGATTACTGATTGATAAATAAACTTCTCCTGCTTAAGACATCCAGTTGGTCTCCAGCCTTTTACTTCCAACCTTTCTTGGACAAGCAGAAAACTTCAACAACACAGAGTACTTTTAAAAAGTGCACTACTCTGGTGGAGAGTCATTATTCCACAATATGGAGTGAATCTCCATGAGAGGAAGCTACAGGTTAGATTTGTGGTAAGGCGACCCCACTAAGAATGAATGTTTTTTTTTGTTTTGTTTTGTTTTTTGAGCAATAAATAACACCTGCAGCTGAATAAATGAGTGCGTATAAATGTACATCAGTATTCCGGTTATGATCAGGTTTTTTGAGTATCCCGGTTTCTTCATGGTGCATGTATACGCCGTACCCTGGTTTCAGTATCAGTATTCAGTATAGATACTGTAGCTGGTTTATTCCGATAGTAACCGGGATACTGTTGCATGTATACACAGTATCCCGGTTACTGCAAAATAGAGTTGAGTGCGCATGCGTCCAAAAGACAAACACTTTCCAGTCTTTTCACACAATAGTAGTGACAAAATAAAGTGACCAACATAAATACAGTGACCATACATGAGCGAAATGACTAAAATTAAGAGCTGCGCTAAACCTGCACACGTACAATCTGCACTCTCGTATGACCTGCACGCGTATAATCGCCGAAAAGCTAAAACATGAACTATCTCCTATACAGTGCAAGCACAGAACAGACTTACCATCATTAGCATCTCTTCTGTCAGAAAAAAAACACATGTAATAGACAGAGTCGTGTTCTTCAGTCCGAAAGAAGCTGATCGCATCAGCGGCACAAGAAGCGAGCTGTTTTTATTAACCATGCAGTCTTAAGTTTTGTTTCTGTAAAACGTAAACAAATGTGATCAAAGCTGAATTATATTATCAAACGGACTGATGTGGCTCTATAGTGGTTATGGTTTATATGTTGTAAAGTTGAGTTTATTTATGCAGAAGATTTTAATGAAGAATCTGTTCGGTTTGATCTTCGCAGTGGATTGTGGGATACTTCATAGCTCCTTACCGCTGGTTAAACCTCCCGAGCTTCCTATGCTAAAGGAGCTCATGGTTTGTATTTTTCTTGGTTTATTAAATTGATTTAAGTGAATTTTTGCGCTTGCGCATTTGTAAGATTATGTCAAGAAACCGGGATACTACATTTGATCATGTATACAGGGATATGAGTATCCCGGTTTCTCAGCATGCACGAATACTGACAAAACCGGGATATAGCTAATAACCGGGATACTAATGTGCATGTATACAAACTCATTGTAAGACAGATTAGTTTAAGACTATATATTGTGAATTTAAACCAAAGCAGTAACATCCCCATGAAGACAAACAGGTTGGGGTCCTCCTCCAGAAAAGTTACACAGGGCACCTTTAATGTTGCTTAAAAAGAGTGTTTTTACCTGTGCTGTAGCAGATTCCTCTGTACTTAACAATATAATCACAATTCAATGCACTCAGAGTATTGACTTCTTTGTGGAAATCCTCAACAGTGGACTGCTTGTTTGGCTGCAGCTTCTTCACAGCTACAAGATCACCAGTGCTGTCCCCCAATGGGTCATAGCGACAGAGTTCAACACTGCCAAAGTTACCCTAGCAAATATAAACAGAGAAAGCCTTTAATTAGCCTCAGGTGATGTAAACATGACCATTGTGGAAACAGTTTGTCCAGGTCACAATATAACATAACAGTAAGAACTTAAAAAATCACAACTGTGACAATTAAAAAAAAAAATTATTATACTTATTTTTGCTAATGTGTGCTTTGTGTCTCCATGCTAACTGGAGAACATTCTGCCAATAGCTACACATACATTGAGCACACCCCCGGCATGATGTCACAATTACCTATAGAAATGTTGATAAGGGATTATTCTTTGTATTTTAGTACCTTTCCAAGCAGTGAGATGTAACACAGGTGACGCTCTTCAAACAGCATGTCATTTTGCTGTGGAGTCAGGGCTTTCCAAACTGCATTCTGTGATACAGAATCTGTCGCGTGTAGTATCACATAATCTACCAAACAGCAAGACATTTGTGCATGAAGCCAGGTGTAATTCTTGATAAAATGCCAAAACAGATACAAGACCAGATACATACCTGACGTGATGAGACTGTTTATTTGTCGGATAATGCTGCGTGATGAGGGTCTGAAGTCTGCCTGGTAGTCCATGCACTGACTGATCAGATCAGCTAACTCTGTCCACTGTGAGCGAGGCAACTGCTGGAAAGACTCGTAAAACTGACGCTTCTGATCAGAAAATAAAAAATATATTTAGATATAAATATATAGGGAACAGTGCAAATTAATGAACAGTGGCGGAGCGTGCATTTCACACCTACGCCTTCAGTAGTGCTCCGTCTGAAACAATACACTCCTCAATAACAATTTTATAGTTATAAAAGCATCTTATTACACAGAAATACAGTATAAAGAGCCGTGGAGATTCCGTGCATGTAGAAGTGAGGAGAGTGGGGTGCGAGGTGCACGGGGAAGTAGTGAGGAGCACTAAGGTGCTAAACCAGGACTAAACCAGAACTAAACCAGGACTGTTTGTCGGGACTGGCCCAAAGGTGCGCCCGTTTAGACTGTCGGGTGACCTCAGACGAAAGGACCACGCGGCATGGCGCTCCGCGCTGCACGGTGCTCAGTGCAGCTGTTGCCCGATCAGGCTTTGCAGACACACTCTCACTCTCTCTCGCTCTCTCTCAAGTCTAAGATTAGTCCTGGTGTAGTCCTGATTTAGACCTGGTTTAGACCTGGTTCTGCTCCTAATGCATTTTGCTGCTTTGGCTTGTTTTGCTCTTCTGTCCAATCAATGGGTCTGAATCCGGTGACGTCATATGCCTGCTAGAAGGCCCTGGCGATACCAACTCAAAATCTGATTGGTTGAAGCAACAGTTTCATTGACATTTATTTTGTGTCCGAGAGTCTTCAGAACGGATTGTGAAGGCCTAAGGGACACTTCTTTGACTTTGACTCTGCCTAGCAACAAGTGACGGCTGAAATGTGACTGGTCAAATGCTTTAATATGAAAATGCACGTGTGGAAGCAGCACAACCATCGAAAAAGCTCTGAAAGGAAGCAGACGGACCATTTGGAATTATTTAATAATAATATAATTAACATCAGTCTGTGATTCAGATATTTTTTTAGGCCAGCAGAAAAGGCCTTGAAGGCCCTGACGCCCCGCCACTGTTAATGAACATTTAGACAAATATAAATATGACTATATGACAATATGATTATAGCCTTATTTCCATAGTATGGTTATTGTAGTTTAAATCTGATCTGTGTCATGACTAGAGCTAGATAGTCTTATAAGGATTATGTGACAGTATTCTAACAATGTCCAAATATTGTACAGAGAGTCAGATCATAGTAAAAATGTTCTACGGAAGTGTATAGAGCAAAAGTAGAAGTACCCTGTCTAAGTCCCAGCCTCTCAAAGGAGTGTTCCTGTTGAAGATTTCCCACAAAGTGGCACCATAACTCCACTTGTCTGACTCCAGGCTGAGCTTCTCCGGAGCCTCCACCACTTCAGGAGCGACCCAAGGGATACGGTCCAGAACCACTGAGGAAGACAATCAGAGGTGAATGTGAGGAATTGGACCAGATCAAAGAAGATAATCTTGCACTTGCAAGATAAAATTGCCTTAAGATAGTGCACACATGTGAAAAAATTATCTTGAGATTTTTCGTCCAAATGTTTATATTTTGTATAAAAAAATGGATCTCTCCAAAAATCATTGCTTCAATGACAGCAAAACAAGCACAAACAAAATGAGGCAAAAATTGTGAACTGAACAGCATCTATTATAAATTATGTCAAAATCTCATCTTGTCTCATTTTCAATGAACCTAATCTTATCTATTGTTTTATGCAAATTGTGCCCCATCCAATCCCTGGTAAATATTATTTTCTTAGAATACACTTTTATGACCTCCTCACCATCTTTGCCCAGCATGGCCACACTCACGCCAGGATCACTCAGTTTGATGAAGGGCAAGTCCCCCTGTGATGGGTCTCCTTCTCGAGCCAAAAGCAGATTTTTAGCACAGATATTCCCATGGACTATGTTCTTTTCTTCCTGAAATGTTTAGAAAAGCAAACATTTTTCAACTCTGATTAAATTATTACAATATGAAGTTATTTACAATTATTTGCATTGGGATTCAAATCTTTGACTCACTAGGAAGTTGAGTGCTGATGCAAGCTGTTTTGCTACATCAAGTTTCCAGCTCACTGAGACAGAAACTCCTCTCTTCAAGTAAAGGTCTAGTGCCCCGTACTTGACAAACTCTTGCACCATTATATCTGAAAAACACAAGAGCAGCTCAGTGGGGAGTATTATTTTACCCCTCATAACAAGCAGAGGGTGAAAAACAGGTCACATAAAGACATCCAGCCGCGGAGGTAGTTTGAGGTCACACAGTTTTTTTGTACTTGATTACACCAGATTTTGTGGTCAACATAATACTCACTCTTAGCAGCATGTACACTGACACCATACACAAGAAGGAGGTGCTTGTAAGAAACCTGACTCATAAGGCTGGCGGCTTCGAAGAAAGACTAAAAACAACAACAAACAAAACACATTCACAATAAAAAAAAATGTATTTATGTGTTCATTTTCTGTTTTGTGTTAATCATTAAAACTTGCCTCCCAGCAGTTCTTGTGAACCACATCTAGTTCTTTGAGGAGAACTTCTGTCACATGTTTCTCTCCTTCATTCATATCAATTTTGGAGCCCTTAAAAATCCTGGTAAAGGATCCCTGTCCAAGGCTATCACCCTGACAAATAACAAGAATTCATAATGTATTGTAATCTAATTGTGATTACAACAATGCTTTTTGTGACCATAGCCTGTATAAAGAAGTGGACTAAGTGAGTGTGATGTCACCCATAGTGTTCAGCTCTAGTCAAATGAAGTTCACGATGTTAACTGTTACAGGCGCGAAAGTGGACTCAAGTTCCATAGTAGGAATAGGTTTATTTTACAAAAATAGTGAAATAAAAACACCATGATCAAAGAGCAGGTTAATACGAATATTTTAAAATCAAAATGATGAATCTAACATCAGCATTTATAGACAGAGGGATGACAATTTTTCAGTGCAAAGTCATTTGGAAACTGAGTCAGTGGAGCTGGAAGCATGCCCATGTTCACATCCTATTTGGAACATGACAGCTAACAGGTTAGCTATGTCCATTTATATAAACAGTCTATGGTTCTGACACATCAAGACAGATTGAAGTTAATTTAATTTAAAAAAAATCTAAAAGAGTGGCAATGGCAGAGCGTTTGTTCTCCAGTCCGAAGCAGGAGTGTAGTGGGTGTGGTACGCAGAGGTACAATGTCAACCAACTTCTCCCGAGATATAAGAAAATAACAAATATAAAATAGCCTACAACAAGGTATTGGCAATGGTGAAAACAACCTGCATAAGCCTATGATATCTCCAGTACTGTCCTATTGTGACCTGCGACATGAGGGGACCAGGACTGATCCCAGGACTTGTCCCAGGACTGAGTGTCTGGACGAGCCAGGAGGTGCAACCACATAGACCATTCGGTGACCACAGGTAAAAGAACTCAGCACATCAATGACGTCACGAATAACATACCCCCACTTTAAAAAAGAGAAAGTTGGTGGTTCAGTTCCAACTTTGACACACTGCCATTGTGTACTTTGGCACAACACTCCTTGTCACATTTCCTGCCTGTCCGTCTGTAGAATGGATCTCTCCCTCACTGTGGTTCTCCTCAAGGTTTCTCTTTTTCCTACTGTATTTTTTTTATTTTTTTTTTCCTGAGGAGGGTCTAATGAGGGTCTGGGACAGTATTTGGTTCCTGTGAATGTATGTTTATCTGCTTATCTGTTGTGTCAATATTGTCACTGTTTGGTTTTCTAGCTTTTTGTGTTTTGTTAAATCTTGTGAGGCGACTGTTGCTGTTGAATTTGGGCCAGGTGACATCTCTGCTCCACCACCACCCACAGGTACATCCTGTTTTTGTTATTCAAGGTTCTGCTTATACAAAATTGACTCTTGTTAGACTGTTTTTACCTCATCAAAAACATGCCTGAAATTGTGTTTTGTTTAATTCACATATGTTTGAGTAATCCTGGATTATTGGTCTGTCTACATCTAAAAAACTCAGATGTGATGTCATGAAGTGGTGGTTTTCAAGTTAACAACTACATTTTACCTTTTGTTTATGAGAGTCTGGCAATTTCAGGGCTGAAATTATCAAAATGATTCCAGTGAAGGTGTATGGAAATTAAAAACACAGTGGAGCACTTCCTGTCTTACCACATGATATCACAAGGTGGAACAGAGTGTTTTCAGTTTGAGAGAAGAACTCATCTTAAATATGCAGGATTTGTGTGTTAAACATGCGAGAATGAAACAAAACACAACTCCAGGTATGTTTTTGATTAGGAAACAACATACAAACAACAACAAAACTCACCCATTTTAGGTCCTCATATTTGATCATGTGAAACTGGATGTGATTGAATTTGCTTCTTTCAGGGCAAGGGGAGTCTTGCTCTTCCACTGAACTGTTGCCTCGAATTATGATTAGATTTGTGAGTTCTGTAAACAAAACAAGCATATCACCAATAGTTATTTGACTGATTAACAAAACCATTATATTAACAATGTAGTTTTAATCTTAAATATTACACTGTTTTCGTATTTTCCTTTTTTCATTGACATACCTGGAGTTTTGTTTTGCTTCACACACAAACCCTGCATATTTAGGCTTAGTTCTTCTCAAACAGAAAACACTCTGTTCCACCTTGTGATGTCATGAACAGGAAGTGCTCTACTGTGTTTCTAAACTCTATACACCTTCACTAGAATCATTTGGATAATTTCAGCCCTGGAATTGTCCATCTCTACTAAACAAAAGGCTTAAGGTAGCCGTTAACTTGAAAACTACTAATTCATGACATCGCAAGATGGTACAGAGCATTCTGAGCTTTGGAGATGCAGACAGACTGAGTAATAAAGAATTACTTTAAAATGTGTGAATAAAACAAAAACAACTGTGGGTCTTTTTGTTGAGGTAACAACATTTTAACATGGCTTAAAGCCCACAAGACTCACCTTTAGGCTTGGGGGGACAACAGCGACCTAGTTTAATGGGAATGTCGGCCAAAATGATTTTATTATGCTGGTAAAAGCTTGTGAGCTCCTTTAAACTGGAAAATGATTTTTGGACCCCAGGAAGACTGAAGTTTTCATTCTTTATGATGAGACAGTCTTTGTAGTCCAGTCCAATCGGGGTCTTATGAGACAAACCAAACTAAGATCAGCAAAAGTGTCATATTATGCAAAAACATTTATTATTACAAAAATAACCTGAATGCAAACAGTCAGGAGGTAGTTGTCATAACTCTTAGGACTTTGTCGTAAGAGAAATGCGCCCCCTCTAAATCCAGACTTTTTCAACTTGTTCATGGCAAAGTCCGATCTGTTTGAACAAAAATATGTGGTTGTCAGTAGTGGAAAGGTGGAACAAAGTAATGGTGGAATATGTTTACTTAAAGGTGCACTGTGCAACTTTTCTAGTAGAAGATCTGCTATTTGCTTGTCTCCACGGAGATGTTGATGCATTGTCTGAAATGCCCTGGTATGGCATTAAATGTATCCATCTTGCATTTACTCAGTAAAATGGGGGTTTATTGACTTAAAAACAGCTTTTTTCTAAATCTATTGTGCAGCCTTACATAATACCATTGAATATCTCACGTAATGGGTCCATGACAGTGGTTTCTGATTCCCTCCAGAATACTTGGTGGAGCAATGCTTTGACAGAAGAAGTGGGTTGAGTCTGTAGTCAGTCTGAAGTAGCCATCAATAAGAGACACAAATGAGAGAGCTTCTTTCAGACTGGTGAACTTGGCTTCCTGCACAGTAAAATAAATAATAATCATCATGAAATAATAATGAACAATGACACATTTATTGGCAAGGTCGGTGAATTCAAAGTGTATGCATTTTATTTACCAAACATCTGTCATCCCTGCGAGTTACTGTGACTAATCTGCTGTCTTGTCCTGCATTTTCAAGACAAACCCGCTGAACACTAATGTCAATGATGTCTTGGAAATCACAAAACGTCTCCCATTCCTCAATAAGGCAAGAAGAAAACTGTTATTCTTTTAAAATCGGCCTGTATTTTGTATTGAGGTTTTAATTTACCATTGGTTCATCAAGCCTCTCATCTCTTTTTGTCTGAATACCAGATTCTCCACTGATGCGCACATGAGTGAACTTCGAAAAAGATCCATCCACCTGAAAGACTTCACTCCCCAAAGATGGTTTGATAGCAGACAGTTCTATCAGGTATTTGACCTTAAATATGACATAAGACAGGTTAGACCACACAGTCCCCCAAAACATAGTTAAAAGAATTATATTTAAAGGGGTCTTATTACACTATTTTCTAATCTAGCACAATGTTTCCTCATCAAAAACTGACCAAGAATTGTGTTTTATTTCATTGCATATTAAGACTGTGTTCTTGTCTAAAACAGTGTTCCACCTTGTGATGTCATGTGGTAATAAAGGAAGTGCTCCACTATGTTTTTAAACTCTAAACACCTTCACTCAAATCATTTAGATAATTTCAGCCCTGGAATTTCCAATCACTACAAAATAAAAGAAAAAAGTACGAGGGAGCTGTTAACATTAGGCTAGACTACCGCTTCATGACATCAAGGTGGAACAAACCATTTTGAACTTTGGAGATGTAGACAGTCTAAGAATAAAGGGTTACTCAAACATGCATGAATCAAACAAAACACAACTCCGGGTACGCCCCAAAACTCTAATTTATAGAACAGTTGAAAGATGAAATCACCTTTACTTTGATAAACTGTTGTTGTCTTTGCATTTTGGATGGTATGAAAAAGACAGAGGGATTACTTTTTAAAAATCCAACATTATTTGCTGTATTTTTCAATTTTCTTTATTCAACAAAATCTTGACCTGACTGCTATAAACGTATACTAAATGTAAACCACAGGTATTACCCCCACTAAACAAAGTAATTATTATAAAAATGTGAAAACCTGTCATACGTACTTTAAGGGTGCATGCATCTACTGAATTGTTCCCAAGCTTCCTTAAGAAACGCTTCAAAGTGTTTCGGATTCGGTACCGATCCAGGCGACTTCTTTGTTGGATGTCATGACGATGAGTTTTAGGCAGGCAGGATTTGTAGCTGTTAAAAAGAAATTTGTCATTATCTTTTATGATGTTATAAAATGTAATATAATGTTTATACTAGCCAGGTGAGAGAAGTAGACAGTTACTAAGGTTATGATTAAGATCCACTTTATTGTCCCCAAATTATCCTTTGTAATTATCTTGTTATGCTATCTACACTATGAGAGTGTGCCAGCTTTGTTGTGACAGAAGAAGGGCAGAGAGTACAGGTGAATTTGAACAAAGACCAGGTGAGGATAGGGGAAGAGGCTTCACATCTGCCATTTACTGGTGAAAACATAGATAACAGAATAAACTTGCAGATAGTAACTTTGAATAATATATTTTACAGTCTAGTTATACTTGACTTTTGGTTGCTCATCCCACTGTGAGGAAGTTTACAAGTGACAAAACCTTTATCTTGATATGGTTTTGATTTTCCCCTCCTTGATGACCTTAATGTGGTGGAGGGGTATGAGTGCGAGTATGAGCCCTGGAGCTATGTTGTCAGGGGGCTTCATGCCTCTGGTAGGGTCAGCCAAGGCAAACAAGTCAGATGGGTCAGACTAAGAGCGGTTCAGAAGCCCTTTATGATGAGTTCAACAAGGCCAGTTACGCTGCCCGGATGGGCATTACCGGGGCACCACTCAGGAGCTAGGCCTGGAGTGGGTGCTTGACATTGAGCCATTGAGTACCTGGTGGCTGGGCCTTCGCTCAGAGGGTCCAGCCGGGCACAGCCTGAAAGGATGACGGGGGGCCGTCCTCGCTACCCATTTCCCCACCTCCCTACCTGGACTTACCCCGGTGCAAGGAGATCTGGGAGGCAGTCAAACGTGGGGGCCTCAGCTACTGGATCTCCGAACATGGAGACTAGCTCTGGGGACATGAAATGTCACCTCTCTTGGAGGGAATTAGCCTGAGCTTGTGTGGGAGGTTGAGCGTTACTGACTATAGTCGACCTCACCTTAACACAGAGCTTGGGCTTTGAAACCCAGCTCCTTGAGGGCAACTAGACTCTCCATTTCTCTGGCATGCCTGCGGGGAGCGGTGGCCCACAGCTCAGCCGCTGTGTGTTGGAGTTCACCCCGGTGAACGAGAGGGTCACATCCCTGCTCCTTCAGGTCGAGGACAGTCTCTCAGTGTTGTGTGGGATTACGGGCCGAACAGCAGTGCAGAGTACCTGGACTTCTTGGAGTCCCTGGGAGGGGTACTGTTCTTCTACTAGGGTACTTGAATGCCCATGTGGGCAATGACAGTGACACCTGGAGAGGGGTGATCAGGAGGAACAGCCTCCCCGATCTGAACTCAAGCAGTGTTCTGTTATCGGACACTGGATATTGATAAATGGTCACATCTGTGGGAGCTGGAATCACACCACCAACCTGTGGGTCAGTGGACGAACACTCTACCAACTGAGCTAGTGCCGATATTGGATGTCCTGGTGTCATTGTGTCATATAACCTCCGGCCGCATGTCTTGGACACTTGGGTGAAGAGAGGGGCAGAGCTGCCAACCAATCACCACCTGGTTGCGAGTTGGGTCGGCAGGGGAGGAAGCTAGAAAGACCTGGCAGGCTCAGGAGTATAGCAAGGGTCTGTTGGGAACATCTGGCTAAGCCCTCTGTCAGGGGGACTTTCAACTCGCACCGCCTCTTTTTCAAATGTTCTGATTTGTTTTGTGTCTTGTGTAGCAATGGGATGAGATACAATTTCTACAGGACAAGATGAAATACAAGATTGGACCTAAGATAACGAGAGAAGACAATTTTGACATTACTTACAATAAACAGATTGTGCAATTGAGTTCCCAATTTTAGCTTCACCATTTTTGTTCTACTTAATTTAATATTTCTGCTGTCATTGTAGCACTGCTCTTTGGGACTCTAACTTATCAAAAAATGTAACCCACCAGTATTAACTCAATTTTTTTGATTCAATCCTATGTAAAAACATAGGAAATGTCTCACGAGATCATTTTCAGCACGTGTGCACAATCTTTTGTCAGTTCTTGTCCCAAGGTCTTATCTTGTTCAATTCCTAGTTAATAGTTTTGCAAAATGTACAAAAGATTTCCCAGAAAAAGTATTTAAGTGTAAAGTATATATTAGAGTAAATAGTATGATTACTCTAGCCACTACTACAGTATTTATAACTGACTAATGATTCAGTGTTTATTTACCTGACAGATCTACACAGCTCTCTCACACTCTGATGTCGCTCTTTGGCCATTCTCCATAAATCCAGCACGACCAGCCCCAGACAGTCCTCCTGCGCGGTCAAAGGTGGGGACTTTCCTGCCTCACTGTTGATGAAATCACTTCTCCACTTAAAAAAAGGCATGTGTAAATTAAAAACAATCACTGACGAATGTGTGGTAATGTGATCTGTACCTGTGCAAAGAGGTAATCAATGACACCGCAGTCTACAACAGGATTCATTCTGTCTCTGGTCAGGCTATGGCGATAAGATGTCTTTGGTTCTTGGCCATACCAATTTTCAAAGAAAAACCTTAACATAAAAAAGTGTAAATATATATTTTGCTTATTTAAAAGGTACATTGTGTAGCCTTTTAGCTGGTGTTCTGCCACCTGATTATTTCTATGAATATGTCATTGCTCTGCCTGTAATGTTCCACAGTATGACATTCAACCTTTAAAGTTCCACTGTGTAACTTTTCTGGTTGGGGGTTTGCAATCTGCTGGTCTCCATTGAGTTGTTATTGCTGTATCCAATATTCCACTGTATGATATTAAACTTCCTTATGTCCATGGAGAAGTAGGAGGTGATGCCAAAAGGCCAAGTTAGAGGTCAGATCTGTGGAGAGGCAACCCTTGGGCAATAGAAACACACAGAATAAAAAATAAATGCTAGGTAGATTCGTTTAATGTCAGAGTGTGGAACATTTCAGGCAATGCAGCGAAATCTCCAGCAGGCAGCCATTCCCCAGTCAGGAAACTTACACAGTGCGCCTTTATTTAATTTCATAGGCATTATTTGGGAATGCACCAATCTAGCTTTTTCCTTTCCAATACCGATTTCAGTACTATATTTTAAAGTACCTGCAGATATCAATTGATACCACTGCAGAGACTGAAAACAGCATTTACTTCCTTTATACAAAAAACAAAATAAGACAAAACTGATCCAATTGTGTTATGTATCTGTTACTTAAAGTTCTTTCCGGGCCATAAATGAATATATCCAAACAGGATATACAAACCTACAAACCTTAGGCTACAATTTGGTGTGTTTATACTCATGTTGTGTCATGTTTGTCCATTAACATGCTCTGTCTCAATTAAATATATAAGTAAATATTGGCTTAATCGATATTTGGAAGCTGATATCTGATCTAGCAAATTACAGTATCGACAACAATGATCGATACCAGCACTGGATTGGTAAATTCCTAGCATTATGTTAACCTACCTTACTCTAAAATGTACAAGCAGGTTTTCATCTCCGTTGAACATATGTGATGGAGGATACCAGAAAGACAAATCAGTAGACGCCAGAGCGAAAAGACTCTGATAAACTGGAAATATCCCTATAAAAAACACATCCATCATAATAACAAAAATGACATGTACTTAATAAAAATAATACTATATATTAGTATATAGTACTGTCGCAGATGCTCAGAGCTGATTTACCATTTTGTGCATTATTCATTCACCCCATACTGGGTGCTGTCAAGCTATTATTGTACACTGCAAAAAGCAATGTCTAGTTAAGTTAAAATGACTTAAATTAAGAACATTTTACTTTATATGAGTAGAGTCAACTTGACAAGTAAAATTATCTACCAAGGGAATAAGTGTGTTTTTTTCTTAATTCAAGCAACATTAAAATTTGTTTCTTATTTTAAATGCAAAGAGTAAAGTTGTTTTACTTATCTTAAATGTAGTAAGATATATTTTCATATTTTAAGTACAAAAAGTCTTGTTGCATTGGTAGATATTAAGTGAAATATACTTAAGTCATGATAAAACCTTCTTAACTCAAGTCATCTTAACTTGGCTACATTTCAGTGTTTGGTGTCCTGTGGTTGACTGACGGAAACCGCCAATGTGTCATCAGCCCTTCCAAAACAATCAGTTACTCACACGCCACATTCATACTCAGTGATGGGAAAAATACTTTGATAGTGTATGTAGATAGACAGAATACTGAAATCTGCATTAAAATGTATTTTGAAACATATTCTGATATATGGTCCAGTCAGAGTACTGCATTCTGAATACTTAGAATACTTTTACATTGAGTTGAATTTAAATGAGTCTAAGGACACAAAATAGGTTTAAAAAAAGCTTTATGCTTGTTTCACTGTTTTTTGTCATTTATTTCCGAAAAATTACACATGCAAACACTATAAGAGTGATGTTTTCTATTTTTCTCACTAATTCTGTACAGTTTTAACCCTAAATTTTGTGATCAAGTAATGTATCCCTTTAGTAAAGTAACTGTATTCTGAACACAAATGAAAGAGTAACTGTACTGGAATACAACTACTTAAAATTACCTTTCTGAATATGTATTCTCGGTACATGTATTCACTGACTTTCCAACACTGTTCATACTAGGCAAAGTGGAAGAAATATCTTGCCTAAGTACACAAGAACAATATAAAAACACGGAAGGAGTGACAGCTTCAGGGGATTTTTTTCTCAGTTCAAAGTCCAGAACAGCTACTCCTCAAGGACAAGGCTCAAAAGCTAAGAAACTATGAAGATGCCCATGTTTAAAGTATAAAATTGACCATGATAGAGTAAAAAGCTGTCAAAAAAGTCTGAGGCACTCTGGATTTAAAGGAATTTTATTTTAATTCCAACAGAGAGCCTTCACTTTTTTGACCTCTTTTTACCCTATCACAGTCAGATTTTATACTACAAGCATGGTCATCTTCACTGACTGTTAGCTTTACACAACAGCAGCGTACATTAGAATCACACCTGTTATTCCCAGCGGTCTTCCATCCAAGTGCTAACCAGGCTCAACCTTGCTTAGCTTCTGTGTTTTAATAATATGATAATATAATGTCAGAACCTACCACATTTGGCTGCAGCTTGTTTGCAGACATCTTCAGCAGAGACATGATTGCATGATATGTTTATAATGGTCTCTTCTTTGGTGCCAGGAATGAAGTATAGATGGATTTGTAAACTGTGACCTGAACTACAATCAGATTTCTGACTACCACCTCTGTCTCGATACACCAGAGGGGCACAGTCCTCTTCACTCAAATCCATCAAGCCCTGAAAAGACAAAACCACACTATACCAAATTATGTCTCTAAAAACATTATGCAAGTATTATGAAACTGGTTGTACCTTTTTGAAGCTGTTTTTATGCAATGTTGTCTTCCGGTACAAACATTGAGTTCTGGTTTCTGCCGGCTGTTAGTTATCAGGAAATGTAAAGGATTTCCTGTTTTAGAGAAAATGACATACGCCATTTCATGTCAGACGTGATAGAGATATATGATATAGACTATTCAAGTATTAGTACTACTTCTTTATTGTTTTGTATTGTATAGACAAGTTTACTATTTGTTTTCAGGGTAAATACAGTTAGGATATGCAGATAATATAATAATAAAAACTAATGGATTTTTTCAGTATTTTTTTGTGCTTGGATTACCATAACTGCAAACATATACAGATATATCTTTTCCTGAGTAATTGCTTTACTATTTCAGCAAATTACAGTAAATACACTGTAATTTGTAAAGAACACTTTACAGGTTTTTGCAGTTTTTTTTTACAGTTATTCATTGGTTTGAAGTATACAGTAAATAATTGCTCTGTAGGTTACAGCAAAACCTTGTATATTAAAAATTTACATGTATTACCTGACAATTTTGTTGCCAATAATTTCCTGTAATTTCAAATACAGCTAACCTATGGATTGTCATAAGAATAGGAATTATTATATTAAAATTGATTAAAACATTTATTTAAAAAAACAGTTAACATTAAAATATAAGAAACTATTTAAGGAAGGTCAAGACAAATGTAACTGACTCATAATTGGACATGAGCTGATGTATAAAGTCCATAAACAGCATGAAGAGAAAAGACATGAGTATTCTCACAGAGAGGAGTGACATAAAACAGTTGTGCTCAATGTGATTACAATGACTTCAACATCCCACCATTAAGTCTGTACATTAATGACTACTTACCAGTCCAGTGTACAGTAGGCTTTTAGTGAAGAAGCCAGCTCAGATACATTGGTGGGTACTTCAGTCTTCAGTATCAGAGTAAGCTGAACAGATTGACATTTTATTATTATAAATGAAAGTGATACTTATGCCTTTAATGTACCTATAATCACAGAAAACAACAGTGGCCCATATGCTATTGTAATTACAGAAAGTTAACATCACTAAACTTTTACATTAATGACATGAACACCTTTAACTGAAACCTAGTGCACAGTAAACCTTTAGTGAAGAAAGCAGTCAACTACAGAGGTGATATTCAGTCTTCAGTCTCCATGTGGTGTGGTGACACCTGAACAAATAAATATCTATTTTTATTAAAGGTGGTGTTCATTATTACACCTGCAATCACAGACTGAAACTTGGTCAATTCTTTAATTTAATCTGATGATTATCTTTACTTTAATCCAGTGCACAGTGGACTTTTATGTCTGTAGAGAAAGCTTAGCTCATGGTGAGATATAGCCTGTAGGCTGTTGTGACCCAGCTCTGCTAAGGACAGGGGAATTAACAAAAGAACCAAGGTGTAAAATGGTAAAACTAAAGTTGTTCTTTATTTAAATCGAATGTAATGGTAAAACTAACAAAAAGAGAATATTTACAATAGACAAAAGAGGGTCTAAACAGAGTAGTCAACTGTATAACTAAAAAGTGACAGAATTAAATTGTACAAACTCAAAAACAACAGAATAAGTCAGTCTTCTTCAAAGTCACAAAGGACCACTAGTGTCTCAATCACACAGAAAAGCTAGTCCAGAGACACAACAACAGTTGTAAGCAATAGACTATAGACCATTATCACGCTTCCGGGTTTTGTGGGCGGGGTTTATCTACTTTGTGAACTTCCACTTCCGGCGCAACAACAACAATGGCTCAAACGATGTCTAGATGTCACTGCTCTTTTTAAATGATGAAATAATCAGCAGGATCAATGCATATTCTTTGTAAATACTTTGTAATAGCTTTATAATTGGCAAAAGAAGTTACTGGGACCAGTTAAAGCTCCACAGCGGGAGCAGGACAAATGTATCAGACACAAAAAGGAGGAAAAAAGTCCGCTTCAAACAGGTGTTCTCGCTCTGTCTTTTTTATTTTCTCATAGCATCGTAAAGTTCATTGAAGTCCGAAACATCACGGTGCTTTGAGAAAACAAAAGAAAGCCTGGTTAAAGCGGACTTTTTTTCTCCTTTACGTGCTTGCAAAAGAGACTGTCGTATGCCGATGTTAGCTGACTGAAATTGAGAGGCGAACATTCTTCCTCTCAGAATACAAATGACATGGGTGAATTTACTTAGCCTCATTTAAAAATGAATACTCTTGCTTTTGTTGGGTATGTTGGGTAAATGCCTTATTTCCATACACCAAACTGACGTTAGCATAAAATAACCCTCCTGTTCTAAAGCATAGGCAACCTATGCCCCGACATACAGTCACTCCAACAGACCCGCACTCTGTCATACCGTCATTTCGACAACCCTCCACCCCGACATGCCCCCATTCCGACACCAATGAACCAGGACTAATCTTGAATGAGAGAGAGAAAGAGAGACAAAACCGCCATCCCATATTGGAGGGTATTTGGCGTAAAGCTCTGTGCCATTAGAGCGCGCAGAGCTTTACGCACACTGCTCTGTTGGCACGAGAGGGGGCCACATACGCCTGACCTCCTGCAGGTGAGAGCACGTGGAGGTGCCAGGTTAACGAGTGCGTAAAAGTCCGCAACTTTAAGTGCGCGCACGAGGAGAATGAGCGCTGCAGCTACCTCTTTATAAACTTTTATGAGTTTATTAACTTTTATGAGTCTTTAAGGGACCGACGCATTTCTGGGTCCCTGTGTAAGCCGCTCTGTCCTCTATGACCAGGTATAATTCTAATCTTTTAGCCCTTATTCATGAAAATATCCAGATTCCTAAATCATTGATCTTTTTGTGTCTCTATCTGACTGCGAGCCCGGCACCGGTTCACTGTCGCAACATACTGAGCTTTACAGCGCATTCTCGTGCGCCCTAGTCTTTACCAACAGGTAATGAATGTCTCCTGCTCCTGTCCATTCACAAAAATGTCCAAACTGTCACACAATTCAGTTTTTCGTAGTTTCTCTGCTTGGCCGTATCATTGCGCCTTGAGCCAAATGCGCATCACCTCCACCTGCAGTGTCACGTAACACCCCGTAACCTCTTCATTCATAAAGTTCCAAATTCTTACACATCTGTCCCTTGTAGCCGCGCTGCTCGGCTGCACTCGCAGTACCAGGACCTTTACGCACAGTGGTGCGCCTTCAACAATAGGATTCTGCCACTCCGACCAAGGGATAAAGAAATGTCGGAGTGCAGGGACGTTTGATAAAAAATGGAAATGCCACTACACTGACAATAACACGTCAATATCGGAGTGATGGTATGTCGGATCGGCAACTGTAAAGTTATGTTAGCTAGTAGCACTCACCTTCATAGTTGTAGGTGAAATTTTCAAAAAATAAACTGTGTCCGTTGTCCACTTTGGGGCGGGCTGTGATTCAATGTTGATCAATGAGACGATGTACGTTGGAAAAGGATATTTTCGGTAACTTTATAAGGGATGTAGTCTATGTAAACAACTTCAGTTCGTCCATCATGAGTTCAATCAACAGAGTGACAATTCACCGGAAGTAGGCATGCACAAAGGTCACAGAATGCGGAAGTACTACGTATCAGCGTGATAATAGTCTGTTCACAGGAAGAACAGCAGCCACAAGGGGCAGGGGGCGGGTTCTTTTGTAAGTGTGGCAGCTGCAAGTGTAGGCTCAGGATTGGCCAGGCGATAAACTAATCAGCTGGAAGTGCTCCAGGTGCCAGCTTGAATTGAATACACCAATCACAGCAGAGGCCTGGTAGTTTGAGTCATGCCCAACAGTGGGCTAACTGCGCTGACAACTTCACCTGAACAAACACATTCATAATTGTGAAGTCTGAACTGGCAGTATGTTTTTGTAGCACACACACACAGCGCATCATGATGCTTTTTGTATATAGGCCTAATCATATAAAAAAGTAACCACCAATTATGCCACCAAAAAGTCTGACTGACTCCTTAAAAACGCTTAAAGGTTGTATGGAGGATTTTTTTTTTATTTCAAATTGTCAATGAAAGTTTAAAATACCAGTACAGAGACGCAGCAGCCTCGTAATTATGATGACCAAAAAAAAAAAGAATGAAAATCTATCAACTGTGGACGTAGTGAGGCCAGATAAACATCAGCCAATAGAAAACAAGGCTACCTCATTTCCTATTGGCTGTTAGGTTGTCAATCAAACTCCCCACATTTCTAGTGTAACTGACTCGTCGGTGCGCGGGGATTATGTAGTTTATGCAGCAGTTTTTAGAGAATTTTTCCAACTGTAGCTTCCTCGCAATTCGCACAAAGTTTGTTGCGATGGCAGACGAGAATCAACGACCGGTTCGCTGTAAAAGAAAGTCAATTTTTGAGGTCGCTGAAAGAAGAAGAGAAGGGGAAAAGGAGCCAAGACAAACTGAGGTGATTCTTGGAGATTTCTTCCAGCAATTGGACGAATGAAGCAGATGAACGGTCTAAAAACTGATGCGCTGGTCGATAAATTATTTCTAAACAGGTCACTTCAACAGTAATTCTGAACATGCACTGGATGTAAACAAGCGTGATTTCTAGAGTAAAGAGGTGGGAGGAGATGTTTCTAGTGAAGGAGCGGTGGAGGAGGAAGGTGGTGTCACTCATGCACAACATTTGAAAAAGGACCGTCACTGTATGTCACTTCCCTTAAAAAAATCCTCTATACAACCTTTAAGTTCAGACGCACGCCTCACGTCTCCACTGCTCCTCCTGCCTGCTCCAATGTTCTCCGCGACCCCGCCTGGCACACACCTCTTTCCCTAAATAACACACGTGCTACCGGGCTTGTACCGGCCCAATGCTCTATGTTGTTACCGGCACACTGCCGTTAACCCACATCATTCCGCGCTCACCTCCGATCACCGCTGCCTCTAGTGTGCGCCACACCCTCTCTGCCGGAGTGTTCTAGTGTCGGAGTGTTTGTAGTAGTGGACCCGGGTCCGTCCGCACTCAGCTCGTGTCACCGACACCGCGGTGCCTCGCGCAGCAGCAACACGAAGATGAGCAGGGCTCGGTGAAGTCGGGCATTTCACTCAAACGCTCATGTAAACGAGTCTATCGCTCTAAATAGTGGTGCTGTTAAGGACCAAAAAAAAGTGCCCAATTGTTCATTTTTATGGTACAAGCATGAAACTTTGCCAGATTATTAATATCCTAGGGACCAACATTACATTTCAGAATATAGAAGCCAAGCCGACCCCGGAGCAGAGTATTGCGCATGACGCAAAATGGCCAACATGGAAACGAGGTTAGTAGCTAAATTATTTATGAAACCGCCTTTTTGGAAAATGATGTTAAATTATCACATAGGTTATAAAGAAGAATATGTATTCTCAATTTTCGATGCCATATGAGGAAAAAAAAGAACAACAAATTAGTTTCACAGGTAATGTTATCCCACTCTCACTGTTTATGTATTAAAAATGCTTATAAAAATATTTGAAATATATAAAAAAAAAAAAACATATTGGCAAATCCTGGTTTAAACCATATGTCTGATAGAGATATCAATATCCCAAAAGCCTATCCATACAGACAAAGGTGATGTTTCTTGCCAGTAGTAGTTTTGGAAGAGTAAGGGGCAGCATATATATAGAATAATTTATTTTAGGGATTATTATCATTTTAATCAGGTTGATTCTTCCTATTAGGGAGATGAACATTTTATTCCAGTTATTTAAGAGGAGTTTAATATTTTGGATCATTGGTTCTAGGTTAATGTGAGGGTTTCATCCTGCCCCTCCTACCCCTCCCTTCCCTGTTCTTTCTCTCCTTACCCTATTTGGTTTTCCTGGGCGGACCCCAATCACTCACCTGCTGAGCTCCACTCCTGATCCTCGTCAACTAATCATCTCCAGCAATAAAAGACCTGCTGATCTGCTCTCCAGTGCCAGATCGTTCCGTCAACCAAGTGGTGAACTACTCAGGCTTTTTTGTGTTTTTGAGCATTTTGATGGTTTTTGACTCTTACCTGTTTACTTTTGTCCGTTCCCCAGTTCAACCGTTTTGGAGCCAGCCTCATCCCGTTACCACCTGTTCCGCAAGCCTCTGGTCAGCCTCTTCACCATTGCACTTCAGCCAACCTGGACCTGTCCTACCTCCCCTGGAATCTATCCCCCTGTCCACGACTATTTTTTGTTAATAAATACTTTTGTTTCCCTCTGCATATTTGGGTCCGACCAGTGATTCCTTAACAGTTAAGTTGCATTATTTCCTCAAGATCTCTTGTAAGTTTAATTCCCAGATATGTCATGCCATTTGGTGCCAATCGAAATGGCCATTGAATACTGGATATATGAGGTGCTGTTGCTGAGATTGGCATTACCTCTGATTTAGACCAGTTGATTTTGTACCCAGAGATTTTAGAGAAATTATTAATCAGTGAAATTATGAGAGAGATGGTACCAGTGGGATTGGCTGAGACTAAAAGAAGATCATCAGCAAAGAGGAATATTTTGTGTTCCTCTTGGCCAGCATGTATCCCTTTAATGTTTGGATTGTTTCTGATTGCAATAGCTAGTGGTTCTAAGGCGATAGCAAACATGAGGGGAGAGAGCGAACAGCCCTGTTTTGTGCCTCTGAAGAGACTGAAGTGGGGGGAAGAGATCCCGTTGCTTAAAACAGAGGCAGTAATATTTTTTTTGTGAAGTAAATTAATCCAGGTAAGAAATGTAGGTCCGAATCCAAATTTCTTCATTTTGTATATTGGGTAGCCCCATTCAACCCTATCGAAGGCCTTTTCCGCATCTAAGAAGGCCATGACAGTGTTAGGGTCATTTTTAGATTTATGTATAATATGAAGGAGCCTTCAGAAGTTGTCTGCAGAGGACTGCCCCTTAACAAAGCCTACTTGATCTGGATGTATGATTGTAGGAAGTATTTCCAAGTGAAATAGGTTTATAGTTACCGCACTGCTGTGAATCTCTTCCCTTTTTATTTATTACTGTAATCAAATTTGTACTCAGACTCTTTTAACAAATACAGCTGGAAATATAAAGACATTTTATTGAGTCGCCAATGGCTATGGAAGTCCAGTTTATTAAACTGAGGCTTGTCTGGCTGCACACCAAAACTTTATTTGAACAACTCATATTATTAAAAATATGAATACATCTGTTTTATAGAGTGCTTCTCGCAGTAACTCAGACACTTCACAATACAAAGGACAGGACAAACAATCTCAAGTAGTGAGATAACAGTAATATTTGGGGGTTAGAGGCTATGAGGAAAAGGTGATCTTTGAGCTATTTTTTGAAGGTGGTTAGTGAGTGAGAGTTTCAGAGAGTTCCAGAGGGTTGGGCCAGCAAAGGCAAAGGCTTGGTCTCGCAAGGTCTGGTGCACTGATTTGACTGTGGAAGTGAGAAGGTTTTAGTCAGCTGATTGGAGTCTGCAGGACGAGTGGTGGGGATGGAGGAGGTCAGTGAGGTATGGAGGGGCCTAGTTTGAGGCCATAATGTGCTTATGACGAGTCATAACCAATTGACATAACAGAACAGAAGAGTCTATGATGGAGTATATGAAAATTCTTCCCAAAACGGAGACATTTTTGCTTTCTTTCTTAGAAGCTGAGGTTCATCAAATACTTCTGCTTTTCCCAGAAACACATGCTAAAATGCTGATACTGGAGATATCACTTCTGTACACATTGTATTTCCTTTGACATTTATTGCCACAGCACAGTGCTCATTTCTGTGTTTGCATACCTCTGGGGTTAAGCCTCACTTCCATGCAGCATTTAATAATCAACCACAGGGAACCCACACAACCCTTACATTTTAGGAAAACAGTCACATGGCCTCCTTAATGCTTTGGAGTCTAGAAAAAAATAATTGTTCAGCATTACAAAATTGATAACTAAGCAAATTAGACTATATGAAAGGGATTATGCAATATTTTTTATGCCAGCCTTGTTTTCATGTAGTCCATTTTGTGACATGCGCAGTTTTCAGCTCCAGTGTTAAATGAGACTTAGTTCCACATCCAGAAATATGGGGGTATATAGTGTAGCGGACCAAGTTGTAGTTGAGTAGTAGACCACGAATCTTTAGAGAAGAGGGACAAACGTGTCCCTTTTCTTTATTGAGTAAGAACAGGTCCAAAAGTCCAGGAACCAGGCCAATTTATAACATGACATGGGGTTAAGGGGCATGATCCATGCGCACAAATGTCACAGCCAATTCTGTGGCTTATGTAATCTGGCAAAGTTCCATGCATGTATCATAAAATCTAACTATTTTGGTCCTTAACAGCTCCACTAAAATGCACATATATGGCGACCATAGGCTGTATGGTGGCCACAGATGACAGCACGTTATGCAGGTTTAATTATTATAGGCTTCATTTATGTTAAGTGCTAAGCTACTTAGAGTCAGATCACAGAAACAATAACCTACTCTTTACCTTACAAACTTTATTACAATGGTAAAAAATTTATAAGTCTGAAAAAAAAAAAAAGGTTTAAACAGGGTACTTACTCTTTTATGCAGTGCATGGACTAGTGCTGTATCTCCACGAGCTCCTCTGTCTCTGCTCTTCTTAACTGAATGTGTGCAGTGTGCAAACGTTTGAAAGTACAACATTTACATGTAATATCCTCCCATTTACAGTAAAGCATTAACTAATTGTAATTTACAATAGGCTGTTGTAGAAAAAGGTCTTATTAACGTAATGATTTTCTGTCCCACAATGCATTGCAATCTACAGTTATGACATGTAATATGTGAAAGCAAGAAACTATTGTAAAAAATTACTGTAGAAACCACAGCAATTTGTTACAGTTGTTACTGTGTCCTCTCGAAGTTTTTATACCAAATACCACCAGAAAAGATTTGATTTATGAGTACCACAAGACCGAGACTAAATAGGCTAATATAACAGGACTGTTCCAGTTCTAATTAGGCTAAACCAGGTCTAATCAACTGAACATTTGTATTAGAATAGGAGTTCACTGTGATAAGCAATATTGGGGATGTTTTCAAATAAGCGCACTCATCAATCCATATGGTGCACCTTTTGAGTTTCACTTTGTCTGCCCATTGTGATCTGATTTTTACAGTTTCCCTTTACATGGCCAAAATAGCCCATGTGGTTTAATCATTAATCATTTAATCTATTTAATCATGACGACACACAAAGGAAAAAGCGGCCCAAGGTTATCATTGTTTACCATATGGAGTACCTGTGGCTTTATTTCCATGTTTTTGCAGTCACACATATTAAGATAAAAACTTACATTAAATATGCATAGGTGCACATATCGACAACTCTCACACGGAGACTACTGAGATCAGGTGCAATTGTCAAGACCATAATAACAAAGTGTACCACATAGGCTAGTATAAAAACAACTCTTTCTGTATCACCTAGCCCTACTTATAAATCTCAAACTGGGGTCAGAGTACTTTTCTCTGTTGCAACAGCACAAGAGTAACCTACTAAAACTAGCAAAAACATTTTAAGATGATAAACCTGCTTGATATTTGCTCAAACTAAAAAACTCTCAAGTTGTTAATATATGCTTGTGTTAATCTATGCTTTGGTGGGACTAGGGAGATATGGTGACGCATGCGCACAACGTGCCTGCTTCTTCAAAAAAGCGCAACTGCGGAGGGAGAGAGAGGGATTCGGTCAGCAAATTCCTCTCTGTCTTCAAGCAGCTGAAACACCTGTTGCGGTAAGGAGATATATATATATATATATATATTTTTTTTTTCGTTTTGTTTTGTTTTTAATAACTTTGTAATTTGTGCAAACTAAATGATTTTGTATTTGGGATGCACTGTTGACTTTATAATAATGATGTGAACAATGACTTCCAACTTCCAAACTTGTTTATTCTTAATTCATAGATAAATTATATTAATTTCTCGAGTCTAAGTGATGGGTACAAAAGGTTTTTGGCATACTTTGTCATTGTTGAGAAGAACAGTTGAAAAATAAGGGAACTGCTATGATCTCTGCCATCATTTACCCCAGCACTGATCATCTTTTATTTATGCTGGCATGAGAAATAAAATGTCATATTTCTTTAGGTATTTTAATCAGAATAGTGCATATTAATCAATGTGTCAGGAGATAGGTTCAGATGAAATATGAGATAGCACAATAAATACATTTCCCCAGTTGTCCTAAATTGAATTCAACTTTCAATTTCAAAAAACATACTTTATTTGACATTACAAGACAAATTGCCCAACATGAGTTTATTCTAACCTATACCACGTGTTTCCACTTTACAAAATATGTTGAAAATATTTCTTTCATTCATAATATCTAAGACTAATTATGCAAAACTACCAAATATAGTTATGTAATCTTATCAGGACTTAACAAAACAAACTCCACATTGTTTTTCTGGCAGTGACTGATCCTGCAGCAGCTGTCTTTCAACTGTTTGTGTATGAGGACAAGGACACCCAACCGCTTTGAGGATATTTAGAGGTTCAATAGTAGACATTTATCATTCTGAACAACATATTTTTGCAATAGTTAGGATTATGTCATGCTTTCTGCATTTCCATAAAACGGGAATCTTCTTATTATTTTAACCCTCATTTAATCACACTTGAAACTGTATTTCTACTTTTTAGTTATAACTGAGTAAGAACATAAAGTGTTGGTCTTCTACATGAGAATAATTATGTCTTCTCTACCAATTCTGCTAACTTCAGAGTCAGATGTGGAAGCTGCACAGATCATTAAAGGTGCACTGCACAACTTTTCTGGTGGAGGGTCCGCTATCTCTTTGTCTCCATGGAGGTGTTATTGACTTCCCTGGAATGTTCCGTGGTATGATATTAAATATACCCATCTAACATTTATTCATTACCAGTGTTTCTTTTACTCAAAAATACAATAATTTCTTCCGTGAATAGGGCGACTCTCCATAGATCTGAATTGTAATGTAGCGTAGTGCTGTAACCTACTTGTCTCCCTTGTGATAGATTGGTATATACTGTGGAATATTCTGAAAAAAGCAATAACATTTCCACGGACACATCAGGTGGTGGACCCTTCACTGGAAATGTTAAGCAGTGGACCTTTAAGTTCAACATAATGCAGTTTAATATAATATATATTATAATATATAATATAATATAAGTGTCAAAATATATAGTATATATCACTGTTCAAAGCCTCTGTGCATGTTGTAATCATGCTGCACTAAACAGTGTGATTTGGTGATTTTGAGCTTTCAGAGATTAGATTATTAGTAGCCTGTTTATAAGTGTTTATCTGTGAAAAGCTGCCAGTTGGCTGCTGACATGGCATTGTGTGACGCAGGCAGAGATTTACAACAATTACAGTGGTAAGGGTTCACACGTGTTAAAATGAATAGGCCCATATTATGCTATTTAATGATCTATGGTATAATATTTCCTCTTCAGAAACATACCCGGTGCTGTGTTTTGTTTTCTTCACTTTTAATTAACACCAAAATCCTGCATATTTAGGCTGAGTACTTCTCTCAAACAGAAAACACTTTGTTCCACCTTATGATGTCATGTGGTAATACAGGAAGTGCCTCACATTTTGAGCTTTGGAGGTGTAGACAACAATAAAGGATTACTTAAACATGTGTGAATGTAACAAAATACAACATTCTTACAAGGCTTAAAGTTCACATGACTAAAAACATAATAACTGTCTATACTATACAATGCCCTGCCCTGTAAAGGTATAATAAGAAAAAAAATAACAACAGTATAAATTATTTTTAGACATTTGCAGGCCTGTTTTACAACTGAATTAGCGTGGAGTGTAATCACATTTATGCAGTTCCCTCTTCACAAATAAAACTAAATTTCTTTCCTTTAAGCTGTTAGTAAGCCCAAATAGCCAAGAACTGATTTGGTAAAATGTGCAAATATATAGGCCCTGTATATCACCTAATAACCTAATACAAATACACATGTTTTTAGAGCCATCGCCAGACCATGGAGGAAGTATCTGTAGCTGAATCCCCCTCCTTGAGCTTTAGCCTGGGGGACTATGCAGTGTTTTCCATCATGTTGCTGGTTTCAATGGTGATCGGACTGTACCAGGCTATAAGGAAGCCAGCGGCCGGAGGTGCCAGTGCAGAGGACTTCTTCACAGGAGGTCGGAGTTTGCCTGCTGTCCCCGTTGGCCTGTCACTCTGTGCTAGCTTCATGTCTGCCATCCAGGTCCTGGGGGTCCCCTCGGAGTCCTCACGTTATGGATTTAAGTTTCTCTACATGTGCCTGGGCCAAAGCATAAACTCTCTACTCACAGCACTGCTCTTCCTGCCTGTGTTCTATCGTCTCAACATCACCAGCACCAACCAGGTCAGCTGTATTCTGATATGAAATCTTTCAATCATCATAAATGTTGAATTCAGTTAAATTAGTATGGATTGGACAAGATCTTGACAAGATCCTGCACATGTTCACACACATAAGGAAAATTATCTCATGAGATTTTTGCCTATTTGCCTTGGATTTAAAAAAGGGGTTAACTTTGCTGTAATACCAAAAAGCAGTGCTACAATGACAGCAAAACTATCCTTTTAAATGTGCATTGCGCAACTTTTCTGGTGTAGGGTCCGTCAGCTGCTTGTCTCCATGGAGATGTCATTGCTTTCCCTGGCATGTTCCACAGTATGACACTGAACAATCCAACCTTACATCTATTAAATTACAGGTGATTTTATAGCTCTGACGCATTCTGACGGTTATCGGGTTTGCCTCTCCACAGATGTGACTTGTAACTTGGTCTGGTTTGGTCTCCATGAAAATAGCAATGTTTAATACCATACTGTATATCAAACATTCCAGATAAGCAATTCCCATCTCTAAAAGTTAGCATAAACACATTTTTTTTGGCAATAAACACTACTAACTACTGATTTTATTTATTTATGTATGTATATATGTATTTATTTATTTATTGAAAATGTAGTCATGTACAAACTTGTCAATTTTCTCTCAAGATAAATAATAGATTGGTGCATTATACTTAAAGGTGCACTGTGTAACTTTTCTGGTGAAGGGCCTGTCACCCCTCTCATATATTGGATTTATCTATATCCTTCGAAACAAGCAAGTGACACCACCGCGCCAAGTTACAGGTCAAATCTGTGGAGAGATAACACTGCTCACCGTAAGAAAGCCTGCTTTCAAATGATACTAGATATGATATTTAATGCCATACTGTGGAATATTCCTCAAAGCAAAAACATCATGGAATCTTGCTGAATCTTCACCAAAAAAGTTCTATAGAGTGCCATTTAGTTTGATCATTGTCTTTGTATCATCCAAGATGTAATTAGCCAGTAATTTGTATGGACTTTTATATTTATTTATAGTATATTTATATATATTTATATAATATTAATATTATGCAAAACAAAACCTAAAATAGACAAACAATAGACAATATAACCCTCTTATACCTCACCCCTCTCTACGCACCAAAGTCAAGTCTGGTGAAGTATATTTTAGACAGATTCAGTCCTAGTTTAACCCTAACCCTGAAATAGTCCTGCCATAGTCCTGGTTACAGGTGCATTGTGTAACATTTTTGGTTAAAATACATTTCATAGTATTAAACCTTACCATCTTCATGGAGACCAAACCAGACCAAGTGACAGGTCAGGTCTGTGGAGAGGCTACCCCGCTCACAGACAGAATGCATGTTTTTCTAGGTGTTTTTAAGCTATAAAACCACTTGTAATTGAATAAATGTAATGTACTGCTGTTTAATGTCAGACAGACCCACTCCCCAACCCAAACGCTAACCCAAAGTATCTGGAGATATTTGGAAACACAAATATTTTCTTAGATGGTACTTAGATGATGTGAAGAGTTTGAGATTTACTGGAATATACAGTACATACCCCTGTAGTAGTCTTGTTATAAAAAAAAAAAAAAAAAGCCCCAACAGGAATTCTATATCTATAGTTCAGCCTGCACCTGTGTTCCACCACACTGCATAGTGATTGTGCATGAGTGATTAAAGGAGGTGAAGAAGGATGAGAGACAGATATTAACTTCACCTGTCTTTCTGTCTGTCTCAGTATCTGCTCATGAGATTTGGCCGTGGGATGCAGCTTCTGGGTAGTGTCCAATTCCTCTTGGCTACAGTAAGTCGATATTTGCTCCTCCTTTACATGCAAATTCCTATCACAGAAACAAAACAGTTGCAAATTACCCAACACAAGCCGAAACTAAATAATGATAAAGATGTTTTTTTAGGTAGTTGTTTTTGCATACATTTTCAATAAGTTTGTCTTTACAGCTGCTTTATACAGGGATTGTCATATACGCACCTGCTTTGATTCTCAATGAAGGTATGTGCTACATCTGGTCTATACAAGTATGGGTAGCATGGTTGACCAAAATGAATAATTAATATTTTGGGTGGGATTATCAATTCATTTATGCACTCTTTCAAAAATGAGCTATAGGCCTATTGATACTTTTAAATCTTTTTAGACATAATTTGCTAATGTGTTCATGTATGTTTCTGTGGCTGCTGAACATTCCACCATAGAGATGCATGTAGAACACAAAGTTTCAATATAGGGTGTGTTCATGTGACAGCAACATTCTTGAATTCCTATAGTTTAAAATGAAGCTGGGGGTCAGGTCAGAATTCTGTGGTGGAATTTGCAGTTAAAAGTTTAGATTAGATATTTGCCCAGATTTATAAATGGTTGGGGGTCTGTCACCTGCTTGTTTCTATGGAGATGTTATTGCTCTGCCTGGAAAGTTCCACAGTATGACATGAAACAGCTCTACCTTACATGTGTTTAATAACAGGTGGTTTTATAGGTCAAAAATACCTACAAAGACAGGCATTCTGACTGTGAGTGGGTTGCCTTTCCACAGATCAGACCTGCAAATTGGTCTGGTTTGGTCTCCATGAAGATTGAAAGGTTTAATACCATACTGTGAAACATTCCTGATAAAGCAATAACATCTCTATGAAGAAAACCATTTGACAAACCGTCCACCAGAAAAATCGCAGAATGCACCTTTAACCCATAAAATCAATATAAGCCCGTGCCCTCCATCTAAAACATAACTTTCTACAACATGAAAGCAATTTTTTAGTAAATGTCTCTTGATTGAAGGTCTAGTTATGCACAAAAAGTGTGCATAGTGTATATTTCATTTTGTTTTGTAAGGATTAAACATGAAATTAAATATTTGCTCCTCAATTTTAGCCACTGGCCTCAATTTGTGGTTGTCTCTGTTTTCTACTGGTATCATATGCACGGTGTACACCACGCTGGTAAATGCAGTTTTGTAGATATAGATTAACTTTCCTGGTGTGTATTAGCAATCTCAATCTCTGTCTTTGTAACAGGGGGGCATGAAGGCTGTTATTTGGACAGATGTGTTCCAGATTATAGTCATGTTGTCAGGTTTTATCGCCATTTACATCCAGGGCACTGTTCTGGTTGGTGGTCCTGGGCGCGTACTGGAGATCGCCTACAACGGATCTCGTATTAATTTCGACGAGTAGGTCTTTTTCTGTCTATAACATAAACAAAACAAAATTATTTCAAACTCTTTCATCATTGAATGTTTTGATTTAAAAGTAATTTGATGTTATTTTACAGTTTTGATGTCGACCCCCGTAAGCGCTACACTTTCTGGAGCCTGACTGTAGGGGGCGCTATGGTTTGGCTGTCTATGTATGGAGTAAACCAAGCTCAAGTTCAGCGATATATCTCCTGTCGAACAGAAAAAGATGCCCAGTGGTAAAAATAATAATAATTGGGGCTGGGAATCGTTGGTTTCCTCATGATTTGATACAACACAATGTACGACACATGGCTCGGGATAGGATATTATCACGATAGGGCAATACACATGATAATCGATATAGTGCTCTATGATACATTGCTGTTTTTTAAAGGAGCATTGTGCAATTTTTCGAGTGGAGGGTCCATTACCTGCTTGTATTCATGGAGATATTGCTTTGTCTAGAATATTCCATGGTAAAGATTAAACCTATCTATCTCAAAGGAGACAATTATATTATATTAATTACATTACAGGTGAGATCTAAGGAGAGGCAACACTGTTCACAGAGAGAATTGTTGTATTTTTACACCTGTAAGAATAAATGCTAGACTGATGTGTGTAATGTCACACCATGGAACATTTCAGGCAAAGCAATAACATCTTCATGCAGACAAGCAGGTGTCGGGGCCCCCACCAGAAAAGTTGTGAAATGTATCTTTAAGAACCAAACACATTTTAGCAACAATATTTCTTTGTTAAATCACTACCTATAGATAGTTAATATGAAATATGTCTATTTTTATCATCAAACAAGTTTCCTTCCACTAAATAAGCTACAAAATTGTAGTGTGGTCACAAAAAATTGCTGAAGAATACAAACAGTACACGATATATTGATACACTAATATTTTTGCATATAATAATACATTTTATTATAAAAGTAAGCAAAAGCATTATTATAGAACAGTAAAAACATACAGTTAAAAACTATAGAGTTCAAGCAGGACAGTGCAGCTGTGGTCTGGTGTTGTGGTGGAGTAAACAGGCAGGCTAAACAGGTGCATTTTGAATTTTTGGTGAGTGAAAATTGCTTTTTGTTGTTCTATAATATGCTTGATTCTTTCAGCAATTACTTAGGCCTATCTAGCTGTTGTGTTTTTATTAATTACATTCCAGTGATCACATATATTTACATAATCACATTTAGACTCAAACATTTATGTGGAAAAGGAAATTGAAAATAGAAATTTACTTCTGTAACATTGGTGGACTTTGATTGTTGAGCTCCATATCCTTGAGCTTCTTCAGGTCATTTGTGTATGTGTTGAATTTTGTTTGTTTGTTTTTTTTTCCTCATAATTACAGAGCTTTAAATTGTATATGAAATGATAAAACTGAGGTGTTAAAAAGCAGTTTACTAAAAGTCTGCAGGGAGTTCATATATGAACTACAAGTATAGGCTTGAATACAGTATTGTCTTTTAATAACATTCAGTGGTTTATTTTGCAGGGCCCTTTTTGTGAACCAGGTGGGCTTGTGCCTTATCGTGAGCAGTGCAGCAACTTGTGGGATTGTCATGTTTGCTTATTACATTGAGTGTGATCCTCTTCAGTCTGGGAGAATTGCCTCACCTGATCTGGTACATTTACTGTTGGAAATAGGTTCACACTGAAGGTCCTTATTCAAAATTGACTTGTGAGCTTTAAGTCATGTTATAATGTTCTTACCTTCTCAGAAACGTACCTGGAGTTGTGTTTTGTTTCATTCACATATAATCCTTTATTATTAGTCTGTCTACATCTCCAAAGCTTAAAATGCTCTGTTCCACCTTGTGATGTCATGAAGCAGTAGTTTTCAAGTTAACAGCTGCCTTTACCTTTTGTTCAGTAGAGAAATCATTTAACTTATTCTAACACACAGTGGAGCATTTCCTATATTACTGCATGACAACAGAAGGTGGAAAAGACGGTCAAATTCCACTTGAGAGAGCAACTCAGGCTAAAGGGTTTATGGGTTAAACATGTGTGAATGAAAAAACACAACTCCAGGTATGTTTGTGATGATGAAATAACATTATAACATTATAACATTAAAAAAAAAAAAAAAAGCATAATACTACTGTGGTTAATGTCTCTGTCATTACTGGGCCTAAACCCCTTAAATAGTTTTCTCTGGTCATGTTTTTTCATAATATCTCAGAAAATGGTGCCATTATTCAAAAACAAAGAAGAGATAGTAGTCATTTGAAATTGCTATATACTTTGTGGACACCATTCTTGAAAAATAAAGATAAGGTTCAACATTTGTCTAACTTTGAACAATTCTTTAAAAAAAAAACAATACTTGCTCTTGAAGGTGCATTGTGCAACTTTTCTGGTGGAGGGTCTGTCATCTGCTTGTCTTAAAGGTTATTTCTTTGCCTGGAATGTTCCATGGTATGACATTAAATACATCTATCTATCATTTATTTGTTACGTATGTTTCTATTGCTCAAAAATACAATAATCTCTCTCTGAATAGGGTGGCTTCTCCACAGATCTGACTTTTAATGTAACTTATAGTTGTCACCCTTGAGATAGAAAGGTTTAATTTCTACCATGGAACAGGCTGCAGATCCTCCACTAGAAAAGAAATAAAATGCACGCTTAAAGTGCATTTATGTGGAATGTGAAATATGACCAAATGTGACCAATATGACAGATGTCATGAACTCAGTTCAACCTAGGATGGTTCCATAATGCAGGTTATCCTGTTTCGCTAAAACCCATTAATATGTAAATTTACCAGTCTCTTTATTTACTGCAATTATATACAGTTAATTAGAATAATGCCTGGCTCTCTTCTTTTGCATATTGAAGTATATGCCAAATTTTGTGTTGGAAATCTTTGATGGCTATCCTGGTTTCCCCGGGCTTTTTTTGGCTTGCGCATACAGTGGAACACTAAGGTAATGAGTGACATAAGACTAAGAGATAAGACTATATTTTGAACTGCATTTGACTAAAAATCATAATGTTTTTTATTTTTTTTAATTTTCATTTTTTGTTTGAAGTACTGCCTCCACCAGCATCAATGCCATGGCAGCTGTCACAATGGAGGATATCTTGCGACCTCATTTACCCAATATTACACAGTCAAACCTAGTTCTAGTTTCCAAGGCTCTGTGTAAGTACCTAATCCACATTCCTTTGTTTGATTAACTCTGACACACTGCCTTGTCTGCTTAATTAATTCATTTTATTAAAGCCCTTTTGTATGGAGTTGGCTGTATTTCAGTTGCTGCTCTCTCCTCATTCTTGGACTGGGGAGTGCTTCAGGTATCACATTTTATTTGAAATAACCATATACAGTGTTTGTTAAACTGGTGGTAATTTAAAATGTCAATAACAAATGCATTAAAGTTTTTGTTTTGTTTTTTCCCACATGGTTTTGTTTTACATCCAGGGATCCTTTACAGTGATGGGGGTTGTCAGTGGTCCATTACTGGGAGTTTTCCTTTTGGGCATGTTTGTCCCAGCAGCAAATAAGTTGGTAAGAAAATTAACATATGTATATAATATAAATATATATACATTGGATATTCATCTTGTCATAAAGTATAATGCAAGGCTAACACGTTACTTACACTTGTAGGAAAATGTTCAGGACAGTTAAAGGTCCTATATTATGCAAAATTTACTTTTGTGAGCTTTAAGCCATGTTATAATGCTGTTACCTCCAAAACATACCAGGAGTTGTGTTTTATTTCATTCACACTCTTGAGTTACCCTTTTAGTCTGTCTACATCTGAAAAGCACAAAATGCTCTATTCCAACTTGTTCAATGCATGTGATGGGTCTTTTATGAATGAAACTTTTAGTCTACAATTTACATTTATTTTACTTCGATGTACACATTATATTACTATGTCTCAAATTTTTAGTTTTTTTCTTTTTTACATTCTTATGAGTACTCAGTGGTTTCCATTAATAAACTGTGCAATAAATTGGCATTAAAAATAACACTTTTTGATTGTTGTTGAAGTTGGTTTATTTAATCTTTAATCGGCCCATTGAACTGGTATTACATATTATATATATATTATATTATATTATATATATTATATATATATAAATATATAATATATATATATATATATATATATATATATATATATATATATATATATATATATATATATATATATATATATATATATATATATATAAATAATTATTTATTTCCCTGCCTGGGCCACCACAGTTTTATAAGAGGGAAACTCTCCATATTACAGTCTGGTCCTATCTTTAGCCTACTTTCTTGTGTAGTAAAACTGCCTTAAGTATAGTTTATTGGACCTATCCATTGACACTTATCTGTAAACCCTACTCTACTCAACCTGTGATGTCTTTTTATAATCTGTTACACAATTTTCAGGGAGCTCATTTAGGCATCATAGCAGGATATTGCGTCTCTGTGTGGCTGGCTGTTGGTTCTACTTTGTACCCTCCGAGTCCACAGACGATGGGAGTTTTACCAACCTACACCGACCACTGTGCATCCACCAACATCTCACTCACCCTCACCTCCAGCTCCAGCTCCACCAGGCTACAGCCCAAAGAGCACGGGTCAGATGTTCAAACTGTAACAGGAATTAAACTACTACTCTCCTCTTTACTTTTCTCCTACTTTCTCTCTTTACTTTTTATTTAATACATTTTATTATTACTATTATCTTTTAATTGCTTGGCTTTATTTCATTTTTCATAATATCTGGATTTGACATTGATTAAAGGTGCATTGTGTAACTTTTCTGGTGGAGGGTCCATCACCTGCTTGTTTCTATGGATATGTCATTGCTCTACCTGGAATGTTCCACAGTGTGACATAAAACAGCTCTACATTTATTCAATTACAGGTGGTTTTATATCTCAAATATACCTATAAAAGCAGGCATTCTGACTGTGAGTGGGGGTTGCCTCTCTACAGATCTGACCTGTATCTTGATCTGATTTGGTCTCCATGGTCTCCAAAAATTGTGATTCGTAAATTTTGTATGAATATACTGTGATTCCTCAATAAAAATATTTATTTAAAAAAAGGATTGGAACTACTAACTTGTTTTTAATTTCTCTAGGGGAATCCATAACTTCTACTCCATGTCCTACCTCTACTTTGGAGCCATGGCAACAAGTTCTGTGGTCTTAATAGGGCTGATTGTGAGTTATGCAACAGGTATGAAACTACTACTACCAAAGTTGCATCAAATTTAATATGTTTAAGTTCAATAAAACAAAACCGCTCAGTATCACAAATGAATTATGCAAAGAGGTCATAAAGATAGAAACCTAGCTAAATGCTGGCTAAGCGCTGAACTTGACTGTAAAAGTCCAGCTTGGTTGCAGGAACAACCCGTCTGTGTTTGTCTTTGACATATACTTTATCATTATTGTTGTTATCCTTTACATGGGCTTATGTCATGCTATTTAAAATCATTCCAAAGAAATGTAAATCTAGTCAAAAGGAAGCAAAGTAGATAAATTAGAAATGAAATTATCACAATGCCTTTCTTTTTATTGCATCCCCACACAAAACTATCTGCTAGTATGTTTTGCTTTTTTTCAGTTGCTTTGACACTAAACTCAAAATTTTGGCACAAATTCAAAACTTGCTACTGAAGAAGTAAATACTCATGTTTAAGTTCATGTTGGCACAACTTCATATCCACTTTCAAGCCTTAACTCTCATATCAAAACTAGAAAACACTCACAAAAGTGGATTTATAATTGCTATATCAATTTAATAGCTTCCTTTATAATTTATTACTTTGCACTGACAATGACAATCAAATTGTTTTCCCACAATATTGTATTGTAAATACTTTCTTTTTACAGGGCCTACAAAGAGAGACCAAATCAAAGAAGGTTTGTTATGGTGGGACTTGAACAAAAATAAAGCTGATGTCCTTTCAGATCCCAATGTAAGTTAAACCTGTTAAACTCAGGCCTATTATATTTATTATATTGAATTAACCCCTTCTCTCTTCAAAGACAAATGGGCAGATATTTCCTTCTTTTCTTCATAACACACGAGAAAGGCTACATCTTCCTTTAAGCAAGACAAAAAATACAACGGTAAAAACATACATAATGCTCAGATCAAATCTATTATCAATTTAATTATTCTGCTGTTATTTAATACAGAAAACATGTTTTTGTTTTTTAAAGACTGAAAAGACAACACAGTCGCAACTTTTTAAGAAGAGACTTCACCAGGGGAATAACACCAGAGATGGGGCTCAAGATTGTACAATGGTCATGTTAGAACACATTAGTTAAAATGTATTAAGCATAATGTGCACCATGTAACTTTTCTGGTGTAGGGTTCGCCACCTTCCTTTCTTCATGGCAATATTACTGTTTTGCCTTTATTATTCCACAATATGGAAATATACTTGGTAACCACAATGGACACAGGTTAATGGTCAGATCTATGGAAAAGTAAGCCTGCAAATAGTGAGATGTAATGTTTTGGGTTTTTTTTCCAATGTATTTTTTTTTTTTTTTTGGACAAATGGAAGGCAGATATGCTTAATGCCCTACTGCGGAACATTCCATGTAATTAAATAACATCTACATGGAAAAAAACAAGTAGTGGACCCATCACCTTAATGTTACATAGTGCACCATGATTCAAGGGGACCATTAAATAAAATGCAATAAATTGGTGCCAATATGCCAGTGAGGGTCTGTAATTTGTGGCCTGATGTATTTTTGAATTAATCACATTTTTAACTTTTCTTCTATATTATGTTTTCATTATTATTTTTAGTTTGTTTTTATCTGTATTCTACTGACACCTTGTGGTCAAGATATTAAATGCAGCTGACTAAACAAGGATTTTACAATTAGGCTAAAGTAATAAAAGTAGAATATTTAACTGTGTTTATTGCGTCCTTCCATACACTCCAGTTAGACAGGCTATGACACAAAAGCATTAAAAGCAACCGGGGAAAAAATGCAGCATAATCAAAGAATTCAGATGATCCAAACACAATAATCCAGTCATCCATGAACCCTCATCAGTCCCGGGCTGTTTCACCACTCGTCCGCGGCCCGGTTCGAGTCCTCGTCAGCCACAGCACAGTCCAGGTGCCGAACACCGGGAAGCGCAAGGTCCCTTTCGTTTAACTTTTCCAGGAATGAGGAGAGCAAGCGTTTGTTTAAGTGGTCGGTCAGTGTCCGTTCTTCCTCCACCCGCTGCTTGCTGACACATCTGCCCGGTTCTTGATGCTGCGGCTCTGGCTCCTCCGTAGCGGCCTCGGTGTGGTTCAAGGACAAGCCGCTCGACTGCTCCTCTACCCCGGGGTTCTGCTCAGGCGGGGGCCCGGTGTCCATCTTTGATATCAGAGTGGTTTGCAAAGCGGCATTCTCCAGCTCCTTTAAGCGTTTGCTGTGAAGGCCGCAGGCAGCTTCTCTTCCACTCGGATTGTTGTGAGAGGACTCTCCAGTCTGCTCCATCATGGCTCCATCGCACAGACAGGAAAACAAAAGAATGAAAAGGCATGTGCATAGAAGGAAAGGATCGCCCTCTACAGGACTAGAGGAGTAAAATACATTGATAGCAGTATCCAGAGACGAAGTTTACACAAACTGCAAATTTCAGATTACAAGTCACCGTTTATTATTTATACTCCTTGCCCTAACAAGGTTAAGCACAAGTTTAAGTCAAATAGTCGGCACCATTGACATATATCAACACCACTGATAGATATGTCAACACCATGGTCACTTCTTAAATTACACTGAGTTACACCCATACACTGTATAGCCTGAGATTACACCCAAGAATTAGAACAGAAAAGTGGCATTCGGAGCCCTTTAGCACAGAAAATAAGCAGTATATTGTTTAATACTGTGGTTTGTGACATGAAGCACCCGCAATCAAGCGAGTAGCAGAGCACGTATTTTGACTACTCTGGGCTTCCGTACTCAGTATTTGGTTTCCATAGATACCACTTGAGGCAGTAGCACAGACCGAAGCTGCTGTTCCGACAAAGGTAACAGCCTCTTCAACAGCTTTTGCGCTACAAAGCCGAATAAGTCACATATTTGTGTGATTTAAAAAAAACATTTTTGTTTGTTTGTCTGCAGTATCATTATATGTTCGTGGAAACAATAACGCGACATTTACCGAGTTAGCTTTGTGCTAAAGCTACTTACTCCTCAAGGTATGTTATCAAACTAGCTAGCTATATTTTTTAATACGATATTATAGTTCTTTTAGCTAACTTCTAAAATGTTTAATTCTTTCATAGAAAAATTACAACAAGATTATTGGCCTTACAGTATCCCTTAGTGATTGCGTCGCTATGTTGAAGATCATATTATTTTAATGTTGTATTCTTTACGTTATTTCAGTGCATTTCCTGTGGATCATCATGTCTTTTAGAGATTTAAGAAGTAAGACAATAACACTTGTCCAATATCATCATTCAGTTGAACACTACAGACCATGATTTACCCTTTTAGTTTAATGTAACATACATGTGACATGTCCTTCGCTTTAACGTGTTGTTTTATTCGTCAGATTTCACAGAAATGATGAGAGCGTTAGGGTACCCTCGGCTGATATCAATGGAAAATTTTCGAACACCCAACTTTACCTTAGTAGCAGAAATTCTAATTTGGCTTGTGAAAAGGTATGCTCTAACCTTAGCTCTAACACCTGCTTTATTCCTGCTAATTTGTTTTATGGTGTGTACGTCTGCTCAACAACTGTTATATTTTTGTCATTAATCTTCAGATATGAGCCTCAAATGGATATTCCCACAGATGTGGATACAGAGTCAGACAAAATATTTTTCATCAAAGCTGTGGCCCAGTTCATGGTAATTATTCTGGTATCCTATAGTTCTAGTATATTCTTTATAATTTATGTTCACTTGTATTATACCTTTTTAAAGGCGACAAAGGCTCACATTAAGTTAAACACCAAGCGCCTCTATCAAGCTGATGGATATTCAGTTAAAGAGTTATTAAAGATCACGTCTATCCTATACAATGCTATGAAGACTAAGCAGTTGACCTTGGATGATCCAGCTGAGGAAGACAATAGCAAATTCAAGTTTGACCTAAGTTCTCGAGTAGGTATTCTATGTCAATATCTCGATTTTAGCTGCTGACTTGGCTCATTGTTACATTTATAAGAGAAATTATATTACAATATCGTTTGGTTTTCTTTTTAGATTGCAGATCTTAAAGCAGCACGACTGTTGGCATCAGAAGTCACCTCAAAAGGAGCATCTTTATATGACTTATTAGGAAAGGAAGTAGAGTTAAGGGTAAGTTAAATAAGATCAATTTATATCTGCTTTGTTGACTGCAAAATAATACCTCAGCCATATCTCCTTATTGTCTAAAGGAAATGCGAACTGCAGCAATTGCAAGACCTTTAGAAATAAATGAGACGGAAAAAGCACTAAGAGCCGCCATCAAAGAGGTTTTGGTGTGTACCTAACGTTCCATTTAAAATTTATATAGTTAAATTTGTAAAGCACACTGTAAAGCAATATCTGAAGTACTTGTGGGGCTGTTTTTTTAAGGAAAATGTGGAGAAAACTAAAGAAATGCTGGGCAACGTTGTTTCTGATGAGGCGAGCCTTGATGCAAAGATCGAAAAAAAGAGACAGGAACTGGAGAGGAATCGGAAAAGGCTACAGACACTGCAGAGTGTGAGGTAAGTACCAGCCTCAAGCTTTATAAAGCACATGAAAGGTTCATCATTTCACATCTTTATATTTTTGTCTGCTAGACCGGCGTTCATGGATGAATATGAGAAGATCGAAGAAGACCTTCAGAAACAGTATAACATATATGTTGAAAAGTTCAGAAACCTTTCGTTTTTAGAGTCTCAGCTGGAAGAATACCACAGAATAGAACAAGAAAGATTCGAGGTGTGTTGAAAGCACCAAAGTTTTATTTGGGAAACCTGTATTTTATGGTGTTTCACATGAATCGCCTTGTCTTTGTCTTTGTCTATTGCTGTTTTTATAGGAAGCAGAAAACACATTAAGAATGATGCAACAGAAATTAAGGGAAGAAGAGAAAGACCTCATGAAGGGATCCTGTAAGCTCACTGTCTAAAACACTAGAATGATTATTTTGTTTACATTTGTCATGAATTAGTTTATTTTCTATGTAGTGAAGGATGAGGAGTCTGATATTGATGTTCCAGAAGATGATGGTTCTGACAGCGACATTGAGGATAGCCGTCCCTCTAAGCTGCGCCCAACTAGAAATGGCTTCTTAGCAGGTATCGTTTGTGTAATCAATCAATGTTTTGTCTATATCTAAACTGAAACTCACATTTTTGTGTTTGTTGTCTTTAGGCAGAGGAGCCAGGTACTTTGGAAACATGCATGGTGGAGACAGCGATGAGGTATTTATATTACACATATGTTGGTTTATTGAGTCAATATGTTTAATAATCTATGACTCTATGTATTATTTAATAATGTGCAATCTGTTAACCACGTCACTAATTCTTTATCACTCCAATTATATTTTTCCTCTAACATTAATCTGTTTATTCATTCTCTGTTCTATCCCTTAACTTGTATTAAAAAGCCATCTAATGCAGTTTCCAGAAGTACTCTTTCTTTCTCCAAGAAACAATGGAAAATGAAGGTTTGTGAAGGACTCAGATGTAGTGAACTCTTCGGTCCTTTAGTGTGTTCAAAGTTAAAATCCATCCTCACCTTTGGCACAAACAGAACTGCATGCAGAGCACGCAGTGGATATGAGTCCAAGTGTGAAATGTGATGGAAGGATTTTCCTTTTAATATCAGTAAGAAGGTCTTTGTAGATTGTACAGAATTTAAATGTGCGTGTTCAGTCAGACTAGAGATTAGTTTTCTCCACCCCACATAAATTTACACTCGCATTGCCATACATGTTTTTCTTTCATCAGTCAATTTATATTCTAATTGTTGCAGTGAATGGTACAATGGCATGTTCACACTGTCTCACTGTTTAACTAGTCTTTGCCCAGATTTAACCTTTTCCAGACAGTGTGAACTGCTCAGTGGAGCTCAACAGTCCTGCCCACTTCAAGTCCGCTCTGGTCCCAAAAGTAAATTTCCCATTTATTTTTCCTATACATTTTTCCAAAAATTCTAAGAGTTCAAAGGTGCAGGCTAACTAGCTATGTGGTACTACTATCCATATCTTGGTTGTTTTAAATTAAGTAATGTAAAATTATAGGTTTTGTAGTCTTAGTTATCACATAGCTGATTAGCCCTGAACAAGCTTTCAAACTTATTATTATTATTATTTTATTTTATTTTTCGCCTATGGGACAAAAATATAAGGGGAAATTTACTTCCGCGATTCAGCTGGGCTGTCACTGTTGAGCTCCATTACATGGAATCTGATCTTTTTTGAATCAGACTTTATATGCGTACTAATATCTGATTCAGAGATTGTTGATCCTAAATTTGGAGGATCAACAAAACCACATCTATAAATTGTATTGTAATACATCCTATAAGTCCTCCAACATAATGCTCTATAAAATAGTGTTATTGTAAAGCAGCAAAAGTAAGTGAAACATGTCTAGGTAATAAACGTACTTTTGGATTCACATTTGTGACACAAAATGTTTTCTTTGCTTTTAAAGTTTGATCAAGTCTCATATTTCCCTGTGTGACTTCTGTTTCAGACTGAAGGCAGTGAGATTGATGTGGAGGAGGATGAAGAAGATGAAGAGGAAGAGGAGGAAGAGAGCAGGGATTTGGAGGATGACAGTTTGGATGGACCACGTGGTGGTGCACGATCAACCAAAGGGGGCATGAACCCTCCTTTGCTCGAAGAAAGTGACAATGATTTCTGAAAAACAACAAAACACATAAACCAAACAAAACATATACATATTTAAATTTTCTGTATATTCACAATATCACTGTTCAGGAATATTACTGTTACAATATTAAGTTCAAGAAGAAATATTGTATATACATTGTTTTTTGTACATTTTGTTGTAGTTATATTTTTTATATTTAACCTGTTTGTCTTAATAAAAAAAAAAAAAAAGTTTATTTGCTTATTGCTTTTTGTGTCATGTGTTTACATATTCACACCCAGTCAAACTAGTAAATCAAATCTAATGTATTCCCTTTACTATGCCACTGATACAATACACTTGAATCAGGAATGTGTCTTGCCAAGGCTTAAGAAAACTTTGTGGTTTCATCATAGAACTATAATAAAATAAAAGCTTTTATTAAAGATCCATGGGTTTCATAAAACTACAATGAAAAAAATGCCAGTATGTCGTCATCAAAGCGCGCGGTGACAGCGGGAAGGGAAGGGGGTGGTACTGGTAGCTGTTGTCTGATCCACATTATTACAGATTTATCCCATTAATTTGGTATGTTCTGCATTTCTTACTTTGTGCATGACTTTTTATAGTCTAACCAAACTTCTGTTTGAGCCACGGATTTAGGCGTGTTCATTTATCACGAATGATAAGACAAGTTGCCATCTGCTGCTGCTAGCTTGTAGCTACTTCGGTGCTTATGACAAAAAACAAACAAAAAACTTATCAAATGATTACGCGTTAGCTTAAAATATTCGATTTAAAATGTTAGACACTCGTCAATGTCCGACTTCTGATTTCCAAACATATACACGAACTGGTGTTTTAGTTACCAGTAAGTGTTTTAACATATTCTGATCAGTCTGTAGCTTTAGCCTTACATGCTTATCAATCATATACCCACTGTTACACCAGTAGTCCTACCTTTAATTTGTGACACATAAGACTCTTAAAATTATTTGACTGTGAGCTGTGTAAAACCGGTTGTTTGTCTTGTCTCAGCTGACAGGAGGCCCTTGGGATGCCAAAGAAGTTCCAGGGCGAGAACTCAAAAGCAGCCACCGCCAAAGCCCGCAAAGCTGAGGCCAAAGCAGTGGCAGATGCACGCAAGAAACGAGCGGAGGAGGATGCTCTGTGGCAGGAAACAGACAAACATGTGCTAAAGAAGGAGCAGAGGAAGGTAAGATGTAGTGCACACCATAGCTTTCCCTCTCACTTAAAATTATGAAAGGTTCTGTATTACACAAGACTGACTCTCGTGAACTTTTAACTGTTAGAATGCTGTTACCTCATCAAAAACATACCTGGAGTGGTGTTTTGTATTCCTTATTAGGCTCTCTACATATCCAAAGCTGAAAATGCTTTGTTCCACGTTGTGATATCATGAAGCAGAAATTTCCAAATTAACAGCTACCTTTTACCCTTTTACCGTTAGTTTATTAGAACTTGGAAATTGCAGGACTGGAATCATCCACATCATTCTAGTGAAGGTGTATGGGGTTTAAAAACACAGTAGAGCACTTCCTGTATTACAACATGACATCATAAGGTTGGATTTTCTGTTTGCAAGAAGAACTAACATTATACAACAGCATTATAACATATATCAGGCTCTTTAACTAACCCAGTGCTATTGAACTGACAACAATATGCAATACAGGATGATAAAGAGAAAAAGAGACTGGAACTTTTGGAGAGAAAAAAGGAAAACCAGCGACTCCTGGATGAGGAAGCGTCTAAAATCAAAGGAAAATCCACAAAAGAGGCCGGAACCGGAGGAAAAGTGACCCGGGCCCAGATTGAACAGACGCTACAGAATGAGCAGCAGAAACAACAGCAGCAGGAGCAACCCAAAGGTAATTAAGAAATGCCATATACATCTTTTTGGTAGAACATAAGATTTTATTTCTATCTGAAGTTCATAGCCCTTAAAAGTCTTAATTTTAGCAAAAAAAAATATTATTATTTACATTCTCATTTCTGAACCTATCAAAATTCTTGAGTAGCCAAGCCATCCTCACCAAAACATTGTTCCAGTCAACCCTTCAAATACAGACTAGTTTATTTATGCATTATTATCAACTGATTATTTTCTTACTCCAGAAAAGACTCATTTGGAAACCCCTCTGGAGGAGAATGTGAACAGAATAATCCCAGAGGAAGGAAGTGTGGAAGCTAGAACCATAGAAGATGCCATTGCTGTTCTCAGGTATTTACTTCGTCATCATTTCAATGTGTATTTACAAAAGGTGGTTAAATGAGATAGCACAACAGCAAAAATTAACTAATTAGAATATTGTCTTCTTTGTAGTACCGGACCAGAGGATCTTGACCGACACCCTGAGCGCAGAATGAAAGCCGCGTTTGCCTCCTATGAGGAAACCAACATGCCTCGTTTAAAACAGGAGAACCCAAACATGAGGTTGTCCCAGCTCAAGCAGCTGCTGAAAAAGGAGTGGACAAAAGCCCCTGAGAACCCCCTGAACCAGCAGTTTGCTACCTACAATTCAAAGTGAACTCACAGTTTTCTTACCCACCAGGAGTAACCTCAACACTTACTGATATATGGAAAGCCCAAATTACTAAGGCTTAAAAAAGATACTCACGTGTTTATCAAAATGAATTAGGGTTTAGCCCCTGTGATAACTGCATCAGCTATGTATGTGTGGTTTGTCATAACAGACCAGTCGCATGCTTTTAGCACTCAATGAGCAAGCAGTTGGGAACATGTCAGTAATTTATTAAAGTAAATCACTCATTCATCACCACATCTTTTTGGCCTGATATCTTGTTCTTTCTCAACACATGATTGAGATTTGCCAATATATTTTGTTGCCAAACCTACTGGTGCATTTTCATTTTTTATCAATAACTGCCTAAAATAACTTGATGTACACTGTATCTATATCATTATATAATGTAGGTAAAGCATGAACTGAACCAGATCTGGATCCCCAGCTAGTGTTTATGCCGTCACACTCACATCTACTATAGAAGAAGTCACCATGTGCATAAAGTAAGAGTGTGGACAGTCAACTAGTTTTCATTTAAATAATCTGATAATGAACCTTTACTTTTGGAATTGAACATTTGAAAAGTACTGTGACTGCAGTGTTGAGTGCTCTGTTGAATCACAAAAGGTTTTCTCTGGCACAGCAACATTCATGCACTGACTGCTGAGGTGGCAACAGTTCTTGTACACACGGTGACAGCAGACAGCATGTAGAAATTAAACTTTTCTTCATGCAGCACTATGAGGCAAATTATAACAATATTGTTTACATGGACTTAAAAACGGGGCTTGTTAGATTATTAAAATGACGTGTTAGTAGTAAAATGTGATGCGAGTATTCTGAGGTACTAAAATTAGAAAGAAATTGCTGTTTACACACCATTTTAATAATCTCCAGAAATAATATAATAATCAGATTGATATGAATGAAAAACATGTTAAGGTCTTAATTGTTGGAATATGCAATAAAGCAGCTACTCAATAGGCTTGTAATTCTTATATTGCAGCCATTTTCTTCTTGGAAAATCAGTCTAAATCATGTTTTCTATATAGGCCTGTGTTACAGAAAACTGACTCTCTGAGTTCTGAGTTCATGTTATGATGTTACCTCAACAGCAATATACGTGGAGTTGTGGTTTGTTTCATTCACACATTTGAGTAATCCTTTATTACTGATCTGTCTACATCTCCAAAGCTCAAAATGCCCTGCCCCACCTTGTGGTGTCATGAAATGGTTGTTTTCAAGTTAACAGTTAACTTTTACTTTTAGTTCAATAGAGATTGGCAATTCCAGGACTGCAACCATTTAAAGATGGAAACTTTTTTCAGTTTGAAAGAACATCCTAAATAGGCAGGATTTGTGAGTTAAACGTGTGAATGAAACAAAACAAAACAATACTCAATGTATGTTTTTACTGAGGACACAACATTATAACATGGAGCCCTTAAAAGATACACTTGAAATTTACAGTGACTGTTCCATTTATAGACAGATTTAAAAATGGCCTCTTTTGTTCAGACGTCTCTTGTGGTGCTGCAGATAAGAGACATTATAAAGCCCTTTGAACCACAGACTTCAGATGACCCTTTGTTTCCTACTTAAAGCACAGCAATTATTCAATTTCCTTAGCAACCAATAGGTCCACTCCCAAATTAGCGTGATGTCTTTGAGGTGGTTTGTGTGATGTGCTTCATTAATGCGGTGCCTTGATTTTCTTGTTTTTGTTTATTCTCTCTAACCTGTTACTGTACCCTCCCACTCCGCTCTTATTTGCATGGCAACCTTTGCAGGGCCAGTTGTTTTCTGTGCTTCTCTTTCTTCATGTTGAATCTAATCATTACTTTCAAAGGAAGCCATCTTTGCAGCCCCTGTGTTAAATGTGCATGCACCATGTTTAAACAAGCCACTCAGAGCCTGTATCTTTTCTACAAGTGTGGTCCTCCTATCACAAGCTCACAACAAGTGTGAGCCTCCTATAACAAGCCCTGTCAGCTTTAAGAAAACGACTAAGAGAAGACATAGTAAGGTAAGCAATACTTTTTCATTATTTTATTACTTTTAAGTGCCTCAAGTTCAGAATTTCTACAGCAAATAAAACTACTGACCCACAAGGAACATTTTTTGGACACAGTAGCCCACTGAATATTATTGCAGCAAAGAGAAACATATAAATGATACAATAAATTCTAAATAAGTAGCAGAAATAGCTATAATAGAAATGTGTATGTAAGTAAAAATAAAATATAGAAATATAGTAATAAAATATATATCTCAGTTATATACAATAGAAAATAAAGTGGTTTTAATGGTTCTGAGTATGTTTCCACTCATTCAAAAGGTGTTTCAAAGTAGCCTTGAAAAGAGCTGTGTTACATTCTCTGAGATGAACAACCGAGGCATTGCATTAACAAATTCATTGTTATAAAGTAGTTGTGAAATATGTGTATTGTCTAAAACTTTGTCATTTCTATAGTTAGTTGAAATGGTTTCTGTTGAAACTTTAAAATGAAAATATTCAGTTAATAGTTAAAGATGAATGGAATCAGTGTGTCAGATCACTACATACCCTTACTTTTATACAGGTTTACAGTTTCTCTTTCTCTGCCATTTTTTTTTTTTTTTTAACATAGAGTAACTGAGGGCCTGAGGGACAGTTCAGATTTCACAAAATTTGTCAGGTGTGAATGAAAAAACAAAAGTTACAGTGATTACAACATTACAGTTTGAATATAATCACCTTCTGTTCTTGCAGCACTGTGCCAACGCCATGAGGCTGATCCTGGTTAAGCCCACGAATGCCACACGTCGCCTGGACTCTTCAGGGGAGGTCTTTCATGAACCAGATGATGAGCACTTCAACGCAGGGGGTCCATCTTCACCTGCCAAAGCCACAGAGGGCATGTGCGATGGCTACTCTGGTACCCCCATTCAAGTGGCTCCATCCCCTCAACAGTCCAGTCTCCGCTGTGGTCCATCAATGCCCCGAAAAAGACCCAAGAGTGTGTCAAATCACATGGCACCTCTTAAAACTGGTAGTTTGAGATTTTCACCTCTAAGTGATCAGGATTGGCTGTTGCTATGCGGCCGTGTGGAAGATGATATAACTACAGGAGACTTACCAGGAGCAAGTTCAGAGTGTTCAAAACAAAGTGATCCATGGGAGTGCCCTTGTCAAGAAGTATGTTCTCAAAAAGTCCACTCAAAACCTCAAATTCAAGACTGCCTTCCCAGAGTGAGAACTGATAAACATTCGTCATTAGAGACTTCATCACAGTCAGCAAACAGACATGATATTTTGCAGCCAGGAGTTCAAAATGAAGTTGGTATGCAGTGCAGTGTAATGCATCATGAAGGCTGGAAAGGACTTTTGCCTCCCTGTAGTCACTCAAAATCCAAGGATCCAAGTCAAAACTTATTTAACATTCCAATAGATGACACAGAAATGTTAATTTGTCATGATAAACCTGCAGAAAAGTGGAGAGATGTTTTTGGAGCAGGGCCATTGTTAGTTCAGCAATGTCCAAAACAGGATTTGCATTGTTCAAGTGGTAGAGAGGAAATATTTAACAGATCTGATGATCCAACCACTATTTCCAAGTATCATCATGTTCAAGGAAGCTGTAAGGAAAAACGATCCTCTACTCCAGCCATTAACAAAAGTCTCCAGTCCCTGCTCACCAGCCAGTTCAGTTCGATGGAAAACCAAGATTTGATGGTGGAAGAGGAGAGACAGAGGCAAGCGCAGGTAAATGCTGCAAGAAACACATACTCCAAACATAAGTATGTAACTGCATTTGACATATACCACTTTTGTAATTGCAATATAAACAAATTATTGTTTGTTTTTAGTATTCTTACACTTATAAGTATTCAAAAACAGTACTGTAATACAGTCCCTGACAAAAGTCTTGTCGCTTATCCATTTTGTAGAAACAAAAGCTTATAACCTGACTTTAAATGAATCGACTGGTTTTAGAAATGTCTCATATGAAAGCTAAAACCCTCCCAAATTATGCTCAATATACTAAAATAAATTTGCTTCACTGAAGAAAGATTGATCATTTAATGAACACAGAAAGGTCAGATTTTGGCAAGACAAAAGTTCAAAAAAAGTTTTGTCGCCTACAGAAAATTAAACAAATAATTTACTTCAAATACAAAAATATGTTGCATAACGTCAGTGAATTAAGTAGTGGTGCTGTGAGATCCATATTTAATATCTTGTATGACTTCCATGAGCTTGAAGGACGCGTCCATGCGGTTCGACAACGATTCATACAATTGGTTGATGAAGTCATCAGGAATAGCAAAGAAAGCAGTTTTACATGCCTCCCAGAGTTCATCAAGATTCTTTGGTTTTGCCTTCAATGCTTCCTCTTTCATTCTACCCCAGACATGCTCACTGATGTTCATGTCTGGTGACTGGGCTGGCCAGTCCTGGAGCACCTTGATCTTCTTCACCCTGAGAAACTTTGATGTAGAGATAGAAGTATGCGATGGAGCACCATCCTGCTGCAAAATATGACCCCTTTTATGGTTGGGAATGTAAGAGGTAGCTAATACTTCTTGATATTTTTGGCTATTGATATTGCCTTCCACGCACACCCCCATACTGGATGGAACCCCAGACCAGGATTTTTCCACCACCAAACTTAACTGTTTTCTGGGTGAATCTTGGATCCATGTGGGCTCCAGTAGGTCTCCTGCAATATTTGCGGCGGCTGTGATGTAATTCAACCGAGGATTCATCTGAGAAATCCACCTTCTGCCACTTTTCCAGTGTCCATCCTTTTAGCAGGCTGTGGGCCTTGGCAAATGCCACACGGTTTTTTAATTGCCTTTTGTTTAGTGCTGGTTTCTGTGCAGTGATTCGACCATGGAGGCCATTTCGAGACAGAATTCTACAAACTGTTGTGGTTGACACATGGACTTGAGGTGACCAGGTCTGGTGGAGCTCTGCTGCAGTAGAAAAGGGGCTGGCCTTGGATTTTCAAATCAACAAACGGTCCTCCCGAGCAGTTGTCTTGCAGCGTCTGCCGGACCTGGGCTTGTCAAAAACATCTCCAGTCATTTCAGATCTTTTTCTTATTCTTTGTACTTGACGCTGAGACACATTGAAGGTGTCAACCACCTCAGCAGTGGATCTGGTCTTCAGCCTCTTGATAATTAACGCTTTGGTCTCAGGGTGGATCTTAGTCATGTTGTCAGAGGTCAAGTTGCAGTTGATGTGAAGGTCTGGTGTGCTGGGGTTCTTTTTATACACACCCACTAATTGACTGATCAGTAACTGATCACAGGTGAGGCTGTAATCTAGGATTGGGTGCATCATATGACAAGGCGACAAAACTTTTGTCTTGCCAAAATCTGACCTTTCTGTGTTCATTAAATGATCAATCTTTCTTCAGTGAAGCAAATTTATTTTAGTATATTGAGCATAATTTGTGAGGGTTTTAGCTTTCATATGACACATTTCTAAAACCAATCGATTAATTTAAAGTCAGGTTATAAGCTTTTGTTTCTACAAAATGGATAAGCGACAAGACTTTTGTCAGGGACTGTATAATGCCTGTCAAGATATCCATAGTGCTTTATAATGTATCATTCATTCATTCTCTGCATTGGGTGCCCAGGGGCAGACTAATAGAAGTGAGACTGCCAATCTGCCCCATTGGTCCCTTCCACCAACTCACACACACACACACACACACACACACACACACACACACACACACACACACACACACACACACACACACACACACTCCCACACACTCCCACACACTTTCATACTAGGCAAGGGGTCAAGTGTCTTGCCTAAGGATACAATAACAGATTTTTTTGGCCACTATGGCACTTGATACTCCCAGTGGTCTCCCATCCAAGTACTAACCAGGTCCAGCCAGCTCAAATCTTTTTTTTACGTATATATCTTATCTCAGTAGAAAATTGTTAACTTTATAATACTATTTTTTTATAGCTATTTATAGCTGCACTATTTAAGTTTTCTGGTGGAATGTCCACTTCTGCTTTTCTTTATTGAAATGTTATTACTTTACCTACTTTAATTACTTGTAATATTCCTCATTATAACATTGAACATTGCACCAGCATATTAAACCTTATCTCATTCATGCTCACATTTTATAGGTAAATCCTCATCATCCCTCTGGTTCCAAACTGTCCCTGCCTAAGCACAGCCCTCCTCCCTCAGACACAGACATCAGTGAGATCGTAAACGGTGACGCGGTTAGGTCCAGTCTAGCAGATTTCTACTCATCTCAGCCTCTTCAGCTCCTGGAGGACGCCTTCTCCAAAGTGATCCATGAAGACTCCAGTAAAGACCGCAGTGAAAGCCAGACAAGAGACGAGACCAGCAACATCCCTCAAAAGAAGCCCAGAGACATTAGCTACAGACTGGGCCAGAGGAGAGCTCTGTTTGGGAAGCGCAAGCAGCTGAGTGATTATGCTTTAGTTTGTGGGATGTTGGAATTATCATCATGGTGATTGAAACAGAGCTCTCCAGAGGGGTGTACACAAAGGTAAGAGAGTCATGTCATGTGGGCATTGAAATACTGATATCATAAATGTTGTCATCATTTATAATAATACAAAAAATCCTGCTGAAGGAGCTCTTTAAGTTAAAATAATAATAATAATAATATTTTTTTTTTTATCCAAATAAGGGTAGGACTATCAACTGTAAAATTATCCACAAATGTCCAGAACTATGAAATATGGGATATATCAAAAGATAAACAGGAGTCTTATTCATTGTATATTTCACATAGTGTCTTGCTGATTTTGTCATTATTATTCTAACTATATTGAAAATGCATTTTACATTACATTCATGCTCTATTTAGGATTCTGCCTACTCTTTTGCCCTGAAAGGCCTAATCAGCGTTTCTACAGCTATTCTTCTGGTCCTCATTGTGATGTACCACGCAAGAGAAATTCAGGTAAAAGCAACTAGACCAGGGAACTAAGGGCTCTGTAGCTTTATTAATTCATTCCACACTCAGAAGTGGTAAGATACTTGCAATGTACTGTGGGACAGACAAAGTTTGGACTTTTTTCTACTCCCTTTCAGAAACATGTAAATTACTTAACTATATTCCTTAATTACTATGTTCAAAATAAAAGTTATTTAGAAAAGGTATCTGCAACTAGTAAAACAACCATACATCCACATAATGAATTTTACAGGAAATAGTTTTAAATTAAACACATTTGAATAAAAACTCATAAAAACTGTGCTGTGTGACCAGCTCTTCATGGTTGATAATGGAGCAGATGACTGGAGGATTGCGATGACCGTGGAGAGGGTCCTATTTGTTGCATTGGAGCTCCTTGTGTGCGCGGTCCACCCCATCCCGGGTCAGTACGTCTTCACCTGGACCACTCGATTAGCCTTTAGCCATACCTCCTCTGTGGCGGATGCAGATGTGGACATTATACTCTCTGTGCCAATGTTCCTACGCTTGTATTTGATTGGACGAGTCATGCTCCTTCACAGTAAACTGTTCACAGACGCGTCCTCACGCAGCATCGGGGCGCTCAATAAAATAAGTTTCGACACCAGATTTGTGATGAAGACTCTGATGACCATCTGTCCAGGGACAGTCCTGCTGGTCTTCAGTGTGTCCTGTTGGATAATAGCAGCGTGGACAGTCAGAGTATGTGAGAGGTATCTGATGCAATGTATCGCTTATGGACAGTATTTTTCCTCTATATAATACATAATATTTCAAGTTGACATAGATGTCATGCTGTAGAACATTCCAGGTAGAGCAATGACATATTCATAGAAATAAGAAAATTTCAGATCCCCAACCAAAAAGTTATATAGTGTACCTTTAATAGTTTTTAAAAGTGATAGGTACGTTTTGCCACACTGTGGAACATGCCAGGCAAAGCAATAACATCTTCATGAAGACAGGTATCACACACATGCACCACCACCAGAAGGGTGCAGCTTTAGCTTACTTTTTGATTGGGAATTATTTAATATGCTTAAGGAAAAATTATGTTTTATCATAGACTGTATAAAGAAGTGGACTAAGGGAGTGTGACATCACCCATAGCGTTTGGCTCCAGTCAAATGAAGCTCACAATGCTAGCAATTACAGGGGCGAATTTGGAGGCAAGCTTCATATTAGGAATGAGAATGTACTGAGGGACAAAACAGCAAAATAAAAACACCAGAATCATTTAGAGCGGGTTAATACAAACATTTTAAGACCAAAATGACGAGAGAGGGGTAACAATTTCTCAATGTAAAGTCAATGGGAAACAGTGCTGGTTTATGGTTTTAACACAATACTAGTATATTTTTGGATGTTTCAGGGTGGCGTGTATTAGTATTTTGTAGTAACATCATTGATAGCATTAGCATAAATTATTTTAGTGTCACTTTTAAGCCCCAGTGTTGTGGAAATGGTAGTGGTAGGAAATTAGAAGTGGTATCAAAAATATTCAGCTGTAGTAACAGTAGCAGGTAGTAGCAAGTAGGTGTAGAAATAGAAGACTTGTTGATGTAGTGGTTACACCTGTATAGAGTTTTCTGATAACATTCTTCCTCCAGTGTATAATTATTTATCTGTTGCTGCAGGTACCACGATGCTCAGGAGGTCACCAGTACTTTTCTTGGAGCAATGTGGTTGATCTCAATAACCTTCTTGTCTATTGGCTATGGAGACATGGTCCCTCACACCTACTGCGGTAAAGGGGTTTGCCTTTTGACTGGGATCATGGTAAGTGGTCTGGGGGTATTGTTTAGTTCTGAGAGATTTATAACGCTATTTTCTATGTTCACAGGGAGCTGGATGCACTGCCTTGGTTGTTGCTGTTGTTGCAAGGAAATCTGAATTGACGAGGGCTGAAAAACATGTTCATAATTTTATGATGGACACTCAGCTTTACAAAAAGGTATCTTTATTATATGCTATTATAAAGAAATAACTCAGTCATACCTTTATCAACATAGGTGCACTATGTAACTTTTCTGCTGGAAGAATTGCCACCTGTTCATCTCCATGTCATTATCTTCATGGACACAAACAGGTTGTGCCACCATGCCAAGTTACAGATTGTGGAGAAATAAACCTGTTCACAGTAATAAGATATAGTCAATGTATTATTTGTCATCATTAAAACACTTGAATTGAATAAATATAAAATAAGATAGATAAGTTTAATGTAATATTGTGGAACATTCCAAACAAAGCAACACTTTAAACTCATACTTCACTCAAAAATATATTCCTATGGGCGAACACAGAAAAACTGTCACATAATAGGTTTGTTTCACAGATAAAAAACACAGCAGCCAATGTGTTGAGAGAAACTTGGCTCATCTATAAAAACACCAAACTGGTGAAGAAAATAGACCATTCAAAAGTCCGGCACCATCAGCGAAAATTCCTCCAAGCTATTCACCAGTAAGCCAAAGTCTTTGCTCTGTAATTTTATGTTTTGTTCTCACTCTTTATAAGGGGTTGTTTTAATATTTTAGATTACGAAGAGTCAAAATGGAACAGCGAAAACTAACAGATCAAGCAAACACTGTAGCAGATCTGGCTAAGGTTTTGTAAAAGCAGGTTTTGTGGTATCAGTGTCAGTATAAAACATAGCTGAAATGTTCTTGTCTTGCAGACTCAAAACATGATGTACGATTTAGTATCAGAGCTGCAGCACAGAAGTGAAGAGCTGGACCAAAGGATCGCGGCACTAGAAGAAAAACTGGACACTATTCTCCTCTCAGTGCAGTCACTTCCAACAGCTCTCTCCCAGGCAATAACGAAGTTACAAAAGGATTTCCTGGATGATCTCGCTTGTCGGGTCCACTTCCTCTCATCCTCTCTGAGCTCCGAGTGTTGCTCCATCCCTGTGAGACAGCTCTGCCCAGGCCCAACCACAGCAGACACACAACACAGCCAATAAGAAAAACTGTACAACTTTGATCACTTACAGCAGCAGTTATAATGGGAACTTTATGCATAGATGATTTATTTGTCTGTCATTTTTGTTATCATTATCTGTTAAGTTTTTTTGTGCACTTGATGTTATGATACTTGAGTTTTACAGAAAGATTGGGACTGTGCTGCTTCAGCTATAGTTTTAGTCAACAACATTGTTACGCAATTATGGTCTTCATGAACAGCAGTGTTTATATAGCCTATACACCATTCACTAATCAAAATTGGCCAAGCTATAAGCACATTGACACAAAGGCCTACGCATCCTGATAGGCATGTCACTTTCGTTTTGGGGATAAGCACATTTTACATTTACGCCATTAGTTAACCAAAAACAAACCAGAAACAGGGTGCATTATAATTCGGAGGAATAAGATAAAGTGTAACAAGACTACGTGTTGGATAAAGTACTCTGGGCTAGTCACAAAGGGCTCATGAGCTCAGTTGTTTACAAGAACACCATGCTCTCTAGTTACTAGTTCCGTAATCTCGCGATAGTCGTAACTAGCGCTGCGCCCACGAGAGTGCCATTTCGCGCGCTGGGGCGAAGCGCCATCCTCTCCTGTGACAGGCACGTGTTTGGCCCAATTGGATGGATACGCACAGGCAGAGCTGACCAATGGGGACGGTAATCCTGTACAGCAGGCGGGATGTCAAAGTCTTGAAGAATTACTCATTGATCAGTCTCCAACAAGCAGCAGAGTTCTCCTACAAGCTACGATAAGGAGTTACTTTGGGACAAACACACACCATTTCACAATAACCTGAATATTTTCTTTGTATTGGACCAAACTGCAGGTAAACGTGATTCTCTCTATTGATCCTCTTACTTCGCAGATTGCATTCATTGATTAAATGTAGCCTTTTGCTAGCTCACTGATGTTAGCCAACTTGACAAAGTCATCTACTTTCTGTTGAACTTTTGCGTTTCGTCATATAATTTCAACTACACACCCAACTCAGTCGACTTGATTTTACTGCTGGCTGTTTTGTTTGTAATGTGTATAGACCTTTTATACAGATTATATTTTCATAGCCCAACTAAGTTAACTGGGGACTTGAAACAATAAGTTGTAACGTGGTGATGCACTTTTGGAGGAGATATGAAGACTGGGCTCCATTATAAACTCCTGTGGCTGTTTATACTGCGCCCTTATTCACAAATAATGGCACTTTGCTTCATTAGTTTGCTTCTTCCCTGAATTAAACCAAACAAAATAAATTGCATTGTCTTTATCTATAAATCATTTTGCAAATGATAAACAAAAATGGGACTTGTAAGTTTACTGGTGTGTGTGAGGAAATCCAGTTTGGCGTTTGGCTTATGGTGTTTTGTTCTGGTAAAGGGCTCGTGTGGTGGAGACAGCGGATCTCAGCTGAGTGCTGCGGTACAGAGAGAGGCGCCCGATGAACACTCTTTGCCCCATTTCTACTGTAATAACCAGTCTGTTGACTCACTGCACTGCTGTATTTGTAGTTTTCGTTTTAAAACACAAAAGCGGATGTTTTTATTGTGTGAGTGCGATGGCACATTGTTTGCTAGCGCTGCCTCTTCTCCGGATGTGTGCTCGCTTTAAAAGAAAGGGGAGTGGCCTAAACTCAGTTTCCCGCACTGTATTCAAATGAGCTCCTTCCCTCTCTCACTGACACCCAGCCCAAATGACAGGGGCAGGCACAATACTTTCCGCGAGGAGGGGGGAGGGGCCCGATGTGTGCTGTGAGATTACTACACACTTGTTGTGATACTTCTGTCTGTAATTTGAAGTTCCTTTTAGGTTTTTGACATGTCTAATTGATCAAACCTATTGGAGTGAAGTTCATGATTTCCAGCTGACATTGTTTTTGGGTGCTGATACAGGGCAGGCACAATGTGGATCCAGGTGCGGACAATGGATGGGAAACAAACCCACCGGGTTGATTCCCTCTCCAAACTCACTAAAGTGGATGAGCTGAGAGTTAAAATAATGGAGCTGTTTGATGTGGAGCCAGAGAGGCAGAGACTGTTTTACCGGGGCAAACAGGTGAGGCTGCGTGACGTGAAGTATAACATAACATAATCTTTGTGGTCCTACAGTTTAATCTGACGTCACGTGTCTCTTACACTTTAGATGGAGGATGGTCACACTATATTTGACTACAATGTAGGCCTCAATGATATAGTGCAGCTGATGGTTCGCCAGAGTCCTCCAGCTCAAGTCGTCAAAGACAAAGAAGCTGAGCTCTCAGACTCAGATTCTGGCTGTGGCTCCACTCCCAGTGAGTCTGACAAGAACTCTACTCACGGGGAGGAAGTACAGGCAGCTGGTACTTCGGCAGAGGTGACTGCCCCCGAGCTTATTGACCCTGGGTTTGGACATTACAAGGTACAGAGATCTTAACTGAAGTTCCTTAGTTGTGTTGCGTTTGTATGTATACTTAAACTTTTTACTTTGTATTGTTTATAGATTAATGAATTTGTTGATGCAAGGGACCTCAACATGGGTGCCTGGTTTGAGGCTCAGGTTGTAAATGTTACGAAGACTGCAAAGACTCCCGCTGAGGGTGAAATGGAGGCACCACTAGATGAGATCTTGTACCACGTCAAATATGAGGAGTAAGTGTGTGAGAAGTACTAGGCATGATTTGTTTGCAGGAGTTGAGTTTAAACTTGGATTGAAACAAAATTAAATAACTCTGATTGCAGTTACCCAGAAAATGGTGTGGTGCAATTGACGGCTAAAGATATCCGTCCACGGGCTCGCACAGTTTACCAGTGGCACCAATTGGAACCCGGAATGGTCGTCATGGTAAACTACAATCCTGATGACCCTAAGGAACGAGGCTACTGGTATGATGCTGAAATCCAGAGGAAAAGGGAGACTCGTACCATCCGTGAGATTTATGCTAAAATCCTTCTTGGGTGAGTACCAAACAAAGTGTGGATTTGAATCTTAGTTTTTGATTTTACAGAGAAGATAACTATAACTGATAACTTCTATCTTCTATCTTCTAGTGATGCAGGTGACTCTCTGAATGATTGCCGCATTGTGTTTATCACTGAAATCTACAAAATTGAAGAACCTGGTTGTCAGAGTAATGCCCCATCAGGAAGTGAGAGTCCGCTGAAAAGTAAGTTACGTTAAGTCTTTTGAAAAGTAGCTTATAAAGAGTTTAATAGCAAAAACGGTTAAGTGTTTTGAAAAATTGCCAGAAGTTTTCTTTTGTCACCATCTTCCACTATGCATTATTTCCATTGATAATACCTGCAGATATTATCAAGAAGGGTTGCAATAAAATTGTATACTAATAGTTTTAAAAGCCAAATAGGAGTAACCTGCAAGCCTCCATTTGCAAAAAAAAGATAAGCGCCATTTGAAAAAGTCTTTGAACTCTTCTTATTAAGCCATATACGTCAAACCTCTTCCAGGCTATGTCAGTTAAAACAATGCATATTTATTGTATAGGATCTAACGGACCTGAGTGCAAACACTGCAAAGATGATCTCAAGAAGAACTGTCGCTGGTGTAACTGCCATCTGTGTGGGATCAAACAAGATCCTGATAAACAGCTTCTGTGTGACGAATGTGATATGGCCTATCACACGTACTGCCTGAATCCGCCCCTCACCTCGATCCCTGAAGATGAAGACTGGTATGTGCAGCTTTGTTTATAAACGCACCGAACCAAGTAGTCAGGCTTTCTACAGGTAATCCATGTTTGATTTATTGTAGGTATTGTCCAAATTGCCGTAATGACTCAAGTGAGGTGGTGCGTGCTGGAGAAAAGCTAAAAGAGAGCAAGAAGAAATCAAAGATGGCCTCTGCAAACTCTTCCACCCAGAGAGATTGGGGCAAAGTGAGTGTGGAGTGTTAAAATAGAAAGACTAATTATTTACCATTAATTAACTGAGTATTTGTTATCATGCTGTCCTTTAGGGAATGGCTTGTGTTGGTCGAACCAAAGAGTGTACCATCGTCCCTTCTAACCATTATGGACCTATTCCTGGTGTTCCTGTTGGTTCTCTTTGGAAATTTAGAGTACAGGTATGTGTTTTTTGCTTTTTGTTTTTCTAATTGTATTTTTTGTGTGTATGTGTTGGCAATTTTTTATATTTTCTTTTTTGTAGGTGAGTGAGGCTGGTGTACATCGGCCTCACGTGGCTGGAATTCACGGTCGAAGCAATGATGGGGCTTATTCTCTTGTGTTAGCTGGAGGATATGAAGATGATGTGGTATGTAGAGAAACTTTCAAAAAAACAGCCTAAACAAGTTTTTTTTTTTTTTATCAACACCATTTTAAAAATTAGAACTTTGAATTTTAGGATGATGGAAATGAATTTACATATACTGGGTCTGGTGGGCGAGACTTGTCTGGTAACAAGAGAACTGCAGAGCAATCCTGTGATCAGACTCTTACACATATGAACAGGTATAAAATTTTAAATATTTAAAATGGTAACATTAATAGCCCTATTTGTGTTATTTTAATTATGGATTTTTTTTTTTCTAACTAGGGCTCTTGCTCTTAACTGCAATGTGCCATTCAATGCCAAAAATGGTGCGGAAGCGAAAAACTGGAAAGACGGGAAGCCTGTTCGGGTTGTGCGAAACTCCAAGGGTGCCAAACACAGTAAATTCTCCCCAGAAGAAGGAAATCGCTATGATGGCATTTACAAGGTATGTAATCAGAAGTTTTACCTTTTGTGTTGATTCTTCGTGGTTACATTTAGTAAACATGAAGTTATTGTATCATGTTTATTACAGGTTGTAAAGTACTGGCCAGAGAAGGGAAAGTCTGGTTTCTTAGTTTGGAGGTATCTGTTACGGCGGGATGACAGTGAACCTGCACCATGGACAAAAGAGGGCAAGGACCGGATTAAAAAGCTGGGTCTCACCTTGCAGGTAATTTTGCAGATTACAAACATTTTAATTTCGAGGTTTAGAATTCTAATTGAAACGGACCATTTATGTAATATATTGCCAATTTGCAGTATCCTGCAGGTTATCAGAAGGAAAAGGAGAATAAGAATGAAGTTGAAGATGGAACTCCAGAAGGAACCCCAAACAAGTCAAAAAGAAAACGAAAATCTCAGGGAAATGGTAAATTGATTTACACCGTACTTTTATGGCATTGGTATAAACTCTCAGTCATTGTATGCTAAAGGATATGTCTTGTTGCTAGAATCTGCAAAGAACTCACCAGCTAAGTCACCCAAGAAAACAAAGGTAGAGGCGTATAAACTTACCAAGGAACAGAAAACACTTATCAAAAGTGATGAGCAAAACAAGAAACTGTGGGATGAAGCCATGGGGTCACTGTCACTTGGACCGGTGAGTGAAAAATAACAATCCCACTATTGTCCTTTTTACACTGCCAATTTTTGGGGTTGGTATACAGTAATGATGGGTGGCTAGAACTGCAATTACAAATACAGTATTATCATGTTTACATTCTCCGCAGAAATTCTTGACTAAAGTTGAAGAAGTGTTCCTCTGCATATGCTGTCAGGAAGTGGTCTTTCAGCCCATCACCACTGAGTGTCAACATAATGTGTGCAGGGTGAGTGAATGTTTGGTCTTGACCTATTTGTATCTGATAGTCTTAAAAGTGACAAATCATTTAATGATCCAGTCAGAGTTGAGGTTTTGGATCAACAGTTTTGGCCTGAGGGTGAATTACTTTGTATTTAATCCCAGACACTGAGTGGGAGTTCTTTACACTTGTGTCAAAGATGGTCGGTCTGCCCCAGTCAGTAGTAACAACAACAGTTGCTAACCACCGGCTAAGTGTGTGGAATTGTGTTTACTTCTTATAAAATGCTTATTCATACATCCAAGTCTCTTTACATTTGTATTGTTTTGATCAATCATTTTAACATCACAACTGATTTTGTATTCTACTTGTAATCTTGCTAAATGAAGGCACTAGTTGCAATTCTGACTTTCAAATTTTTATTTTCCACACAGGAATGTCTCCAGCGCTCCTTCAGAGCAGATGTGTTTACCTGTCCAGCTTGCAGGCATGACTTGGGCAAAAACTACTCCATGGCAATCAACCAGTCTCTGCAGGAGATTCTTAATCAGTTTTTCCCCGGCTACAGCAGCGGGCGATGATCTTTGGTTATTCTGCCATCAGCTGAAGATACGCAAAGTAAACTGTAAGGAATTTAGTAATGGCAATAAAGAATCCCTTTCTTAATATATTTTAATGAATATAAACTACATTTTGTGGACTTAAATGCAACTCGATGTCATTGTTCATATGTGGTTAATGAGTTCTTCGTTATAATACAGCCATTAATTTTAATTTCAGTATTTTGTTTGCTTGTATTAACAACATTATTGACTTGTTTTTGTTCTGTTTAAGCCGTTATCTCGACCAAACTTCTTTTCCGTTGGCTCAAACTTGTGTGTGCCTTAAATATGATAATCATGAAGCTGGGCTCTCAAGGCATTTTCTAAGCACAAAGTTGAACTGTTGCCCCACAAATTATATGCATGTTAATATTGGATTAGAACCAAGTGTTCTTCCTACTTGGCACCAAGCACTGAAGTTGTCATTTATCTGACCATTGAGTATCTGGTCTTAGTTTTATTGTTTAAATTTTTTTAATGTAGAACCAGCAAAATCAAATGGGTATGTCAAAAATTGTAGCCTTCCAAATAGATTTATTAAGGCCACCAGTATTTGGCAATTTAACATTAAACAAGTCCAAAGAAGTGCTGACCGTTTATATAGAACCCCTGTATTTTAGCATATTTTCAGAAAACTTGACTTAATGAAATTTTGAGAATGTATACTCAATTTGTAATCCTTTTCTGCCATTTATTTTTGGCTCCCTTATTATACATTGATTAATTTCATGCACTGCTCCTGTAATGTTTATACCTTTTTGTTTCTGAATGGTGTGTGACAGGATTTCATCCAAGTGTCAGCACTTTTGAGTGATAAAATTGGCATATTCTGAAAAAATGTATTATATTTTCACAATTTGTACACGTTTTTAGTCGTGTTTTAGATTTTATATGTAGTTTTAGAAATGTTGCACATGTTTTGTGCAAGAATTTTCTATTTTCAATGTTATTCAATAAAAAAAAGGTAAAAATTTTAAGAAATGTCTTTTTTTTTTTTTTTTTTTTTTTTTTTGTAAAATTAATGGACCAGAGGAAAAGAACCCTTGTGCAAATTGATCACAGAAGTTAGAGTTGTTCTAATGACAAAAATAATTAACTGCTAAACACTTTTTTTTTTTTTTTTTTTTAATCAAACGGATTTTTGCATATTGCAAAGCGGAGCCTACGTGCACGACGACCACGTCCGTAAAGTTTGACCGCAGTGCACGAGCTGTCAGTGGGTGCTTGTTTTACTGGTTTAGCCATGTGTCAATCACAAATGAACCAATCAGAACTCTAGATCTCTGGTAGTATTTGCGTCACCTTGTACACATAGCCAATCAGAAAAAGAGCTTCACGAGGAGGCGTTACTCCTTGCAAAAAAAAAAAAAAAAAAAAAAAAAAGATTAGCCTCAGCTGTGGCTAATGCTAGAGGAAAATTGATCCAAGGAATTTTGAAAACGAAACCAAATCGGCGGATCTGACAAGGAGTTTGTCCTTTATTTGGTGCAGGAGGTATGTTTTAAGGAAAAGTGCCTAATTCACTCCGATTGTATATTTTCTGTAGCAGTGCTGTGCTAATCGTCGCGGCGTTGTTTTTTTCTGAATGCAGATACGGTAGTAGCGAGAAGCTAAGCAGCTGTGTGTGATATATATACACGGCCATGTTACTAGTTACGGTCACCAACAATAACTTTAGAGAAATAAACATTACGTGTTCGACATAGAATTATAGCCGTGTTATTTCCTTCCTGCTTGAAAGCTACATTGCTTTTTAATCTGGGTCCTTTACCTGCAATTAAAGCTAGCTTCTCTGTTGCTTTTGCCGTACCCTACCGTCTCCATTAGCAGCTGCTGCAACACTGTAAGTGCACACATGAGCATGTATTCTGCTGAAGTCAAATATGCACATTAACCCAAAGTGGATATTTCAGTGCAGAACGTAAAAGACGACATGTGATTTATTGTACGATGCAGCAGTGCTAAAGTTTCGGATCAGGCAAAGTTAAATGGTCTGTAGGCCCTTTGTTATGGTGGGTCAGGTGAGATTGCGTGGACCTACTAACACAGTAGCAAATGCATATAATCTGTTATCACTAATTTGGTCTAATGCAAAATACATTTTTATTATTTTTACCATATTATTACTAATTGCAAAAAATATTAGTGGATGCATATACTTTCCACAAATCATATTTGCATTACCTATTCGTGTAATATAAAATAGTGTGTGGACTCTTTGAGGTGTGACACTAGTAAATGCCCTCGTTTGACTTCCTTCCTTATAATCAGTCATGTATTCGTGGTTATTGTAACAGAAGGTTTAAATTTTATTCTAATCCAATGTTTTCATTTATTGAAATAACAGGTTTGTTTAATTTAAACTAGAAGACTTTGAGGGGCATTGGGCACTGTGATTTACCCCCACTGATCTCATCTCTATTTTATTATTATTGTACTGTTAGACTTAAATAGGGATGGGCTATATTTAAATACAAATACCTCTTTATAATGTTTTTATTATTATTGTAATGATAATAAGATGATAAGATTGATATATATTGAATAAGAACAGCACAAGAACAGCAGCACTTGAATTAACTCACTAGAATAAATATAGTGAATAATAAAAAAAAAAATCAACATTTGACATAAAAAATTTAACTAGAATATTTACCTATACTTTCAATAAAATTATACTAAATAGAATAAAATAATTATAAGAATAAAAATGACCTGAGGAATTCAGTTGATGAGTCTGGAGTGCTCAGAGGAAACACCGAAAAGTTGATCCTTGAACCTTCTTGCTGTGAGGTGCAAGTGCTATTTACCAAGCTGCCAAATTAAGCCATAAGATGTCTACCATTATTTGATGCCTCATTCAAACTACTCTTGCTGCACCTCTGCTATAATTTTTAGTTTAACAAATTTCTTTAAGTTCAGAAAAGGCTTTGGCACATTTCAGGACATATTTTGTGTGGTACTACAGGAAATACAGCCAAATGAGTTTTAGAGAGAGAAAAATATCACTGATGTGTAGCCATACATGTATATGCCACATGCTGATCTCCAAGGAGATATTTTTGCTTTGACTGGAATTTTTCATAGCATGACATTATACCTCTCGATGTTGTATTTAGAGTGTAGTGTATTGACAGGTGTTATGGAAAATGTGTGAAGATGGTTTCTGTAGTTATCTGGACACTGTTTTTGTGATCAAAAACACAAATAAAACCTTCTCTATATTGAACTACTCTTGAATGAATGAAGAATTACACAGTGTCTTCAAATATGTACATGTTGTAGTGCAAGAAAATCACTTTTCAACAGACCTTTTCTGACCTGTAAATTGGCCAGACAAGCCCTTCTCTCTGTAGATGCTTGAGTTTACTGTGGAGATTTCCAGGGAAAACATATAGGGAAAAGCAAGTGGCAAACCAGAAATGTTACATCAGATACAAAGTTCATTTGAATCCAGATTTGTTTGTCTTATTTTATTTTATTTTTTTTAGTTGATTGAAGCTCATAATGTATTCATAAGACAAAGGTCATTGATGAGGAGGGGAAATAACAAAAAATGTGAATATAAACTAAAACGCTGTTGCAGTTTGAAAATGATGTTTCTCTCTGGTCTGCGTTTCAGATTGACCTGCAGGTCTGTGAGGTATTGCAATGGCTACTGAGGCGCCCATGGAACAGGGCCCTACCCCTGTTTTACCTCCTGCTCCTGACTCTCGTCTTCCCAAAGAAGAGATGGTAACCCTGGGTCTACCGATAGCCCCAACTCCTGAGCCTTCTCAAACCTTCGAGCAAGTTACTTCCCTGGGAGAAGCTGCACCCCCTCCACAATGTGACCCACAGCCCACCCTAGTCCAGCTTCTTGCCTCAATTCCTGTCCCTACACCTGCCCCTGTTCCTGTTTCAGCTCCTGTCTCTGCTCCTGCCACATCTCCTGTCTCCGCCCCTGTCGCAGGCCACAATGCAGCTCTTGTCTTGGGCCCTGATTCGGCCCTTGTCTCTGGTGCTGTTCCTGGCTCACAGGTGCCACCGGCTCCTCTGCAGCCTCTGGTTCCTCCAGCCAGCACCAAGAACCCCAGCTGCAAAATCATGACATTCAGACCCACGATGGAGGAGTTCAAGGACTTTTCCAAATACATTGCCTATATGGAAACTCAAGGAGCTCATCGTGCTGGTCTGGCAAAGGTGGGAGTCACTCACACACTAAAACTCGCTTCCACACATGATGCCTAAATATTTTTTAAAAAGGGTGCACATCATGGTACCATTTCATAGCACTATTGTCACTTCTACCTTTTCATTAGACAAATTTGATGACTGTATGGTGTCTGGTGTGACCTGATTGGCTTGTCTATTTAATGCGGTGTACCATAATCTTCAGTGAAATTGCGTTCAACAACTGAAAAGTAATATAGTCAAATTTGGAAATTGTCTTTTTATTTTCTCAGGTAATTCCTCCTGAGGGATGGAAACCCAGAAAGAACTATGAAACTATTGAGGACATGGTGATCCCAGCTCCCATTACTCAAGTCGTAACTGGCCAATCTGGTCTGTTTACACAATACAACATTCAGAAGAAGTCCATGACAGTTGGTGAATATCGCAAACTGGCCAATAGCAAGAAGTGAGTTTAATGGAACCTTTTTGACCTTTGACAGCTTGTAAGAATGTCATTGATATTAAGATTCTGTATTGTTTTCAGATACTGCACTCCTCGCCATAAAGACTTTGATGACCTTGAGAGGAAATACTGGAAAAACCTGACTTTTGTATCACCAATCTATGGGGCTGATGTTAGTGGCTCCATTTATGATGAGGTTAGTTTGGTAATACTCATTGTCACTCTCATACCAAATGTTCAACTATATGGGAGGCAGATTGAGACATTATGTGACTTTTGCTTATCAAATCTGTACTCATAGGTAAGCCCTAAATGTAAATGTAGTTGTATCTTTTTTTATTTTATTACTTATTGGAAATCAAATATAAATTTTATTACTTCTCATATATTATCAGAAATGTAAAAAAAAAAAAAATCCCTCAAATTTTCGCTATGGTGGCCTCAGTAATCCTTATTTAAAAAAAAAAAAAAAAAAAAAATATATATATATATATATATATATATATATATATATATATATATATATATATATATATATATATATATATATATATACAGTCCCTGACAAAAGTCTTGTCACTTATCCATTTTGTAGAAAGAAAAGCTTATAACCTGACTTTAAATTAATCGATTGGTTTTAGAAATGTCTCATATGAAAGCTAAAACCCTCCCAAATTATGCTCAATATACTAAAATAAATTTGCTTCACTGAAGAAAGATTGATCATTTAATGAACACAGAAAGGTCAGATTTTGGCAAGACAGAAGTTTTGTCGCCTACAGAAAATTGAACAAATAATTTACTTCAAATACAAAAATATGTTGCATAACGTCAATGAATTAAGTAGTGGTGCTGTGAGATCCATATTTAATATCTTGTATGACTTCCATGAGCTTGAAGGACGCATCCATGCGGTTCAACAATGATTCATACAATTGGTTGATGAAGTCATCAGGAATAGCAAAGAAAGCAGTTTTACATGCCTCCCAGAGTTCATCAAGATTCTTTGGTTTTGCCTTCCATGCTTCCTCTTTCATTCTACCCCAGACATGCTCAATGATGTTCATGTCTGGTGACTGGGCTGGCCAGTCCTGGAGCACCTTGATCTTCTTCGCCTTGAGAAACTTTGATGTAGAGATAGAAGTATGCGATGGAGCACCATCCTGCTGCAAAATTTGACCCCTTTTATGGTTGGGAATGTAAGCGGTAGCTAATACTTCTTGATATTTTAGGCTATTGATATTGCCTTCCACCCTGCAAATGTCTCGCACACCCCCATACTGGATGTAACCCCAGACCATGATTTTTCCGCCACCAAACTTAACTGTTTTCTGGGTGAATCTTGGATCCATGCGGGCTCCAGTAGGTCTCCTGCAATATTTGCGGCGGCTGTGATGTAATTCAACCGAGGATTCATCTGAGAAATCCACCTTCTGCCACTTTTCCAGTGTCCATCCTTTTAGCAGGCTGTGGGCCTTGGCAAATGCCACACGTTTTTTTAATTGCCTTTTGTTTAGTGCTGGTTTCTGTGCACTGATTCGACCATGGAGGCCATTTCAAGACAGAATTCTACAAACTGTTCTGGTTGACACATGGACTTGAGGTGACCAGGCCTGGTGGAGCTCTGCTGCAGTGGAAAAGGGTCTGGCCTTGGATTTTCAAATCAACAAACGGTCCTCCCGAGCATTTGTCTCGCGGGGTCTGCCAGACCTGGGCTTGTCAAAAACATCTCCAGTCATTTCAGATCTTTTTCTTATTTTTTGTACTTGACGCTGAGACACATTGAAGGTGTCAGCCACCACAGCAGTGGATCTGGTCTTCAGCCTCTTGATAATTAACGCTTTGGTCTCAGAGTGGATCTTAGGCATGTTGTCAGAGGTCAAGTGGCAGTTGATGTGAAGGTCTGGTGTGCTGGGGTTCTTTTTATACACACCCACTAATTGATTGATCAGTAACTGATCACAGATGAGGCTGTAATCTAGGATTGGGTGCATCATATGACAAGACGACAAGACTTTTGTCTTGCCAAAATCTGACCTTTCTGTGTTCATTAAATGATCAATCTTTCTTCAGTGAAGCAAATTTATTTTAGTATATTGAGCATAATTTGGGAGGTTTTAGCTTTCATATGAGACATTTCTAAAACCAATCGATTAATTTAAAGTCAGGTTATAAGCTTTTGTTTCTACAAAATGGATAAGCGACAAGACTTTTGTCAGGGACTGTATGTATATATATATATATATATATATATACACACACACACACACACACACACACACACACGACACACACACACACACACACACACACACACACACACACACACACATACATATATATATATATATATACACACACACACACACATACATATATATATATATATATACACACACACACACACATACATATATATACACATATATATACATACACACACTAATTTTGGAGTAAATGTCACTTGCCTCTATTAATCAATAACAGACTGATTAAATATGTATACCAATTTGTTGCTCAATTTCATTTAGAGTATGGGAGCCACCATAGACTCTGAATAGAAAACACTTAATCGCTGATGCTGAAGTTGCTGCTTATCTAAGATCTGTATTGCATGGGACAACAGCTCCATCTTCTGGCATTTGGGACATAATGCAGTAGATTTCAACATTTTTCCTTGGATTATGTGCCGTGCTGATGGTGCCGACAATATATTTGTTAGTATAAATTTAGTCTTGTTTCTGATTGATTCATGTTTAAACCTTTTTATTTGTAGGATGTCCATGAGTGGAACATCGGCCATCTAAACACACTACTGGACATGGTGGAGCAGGAGTGTGGCATTGTCATTGAAGGGGTCAACACTCCGTACCTGTATTTTGGGATGTGGAAAACAACATTTGCCTGGCACACAGAGGACATGGATCTCTACAGCATCAACTATCTGCACTTCGGACAGCCTAAGTCCTGGTAAGTCAAACCTCCTACCTTGTTTTTCCTACTTTGTTTTTAAAGCAGGTTGCTCTGGTTACAGCCCCAGAGAAAAGCAATGAACCGAACACTGCTGTTAATCTGCTCTTATAAAGACTTTGCCATTTTAATGTTATATCACTCAGAATTGACTTAATGTGCTATCTAACAGAATGGGAACCACAAAGCTTCACAGGAGGTCCAAATTATTTAAAAGAATAATCATGAAGGGATGATATTTTAGAGTTTCTGTTTTTTTAAATAATGGTTGCAGTTATAATATATCTACTGATATATTTCTTATATATAAAAGATTATAGGTATAGATATAGAGGAGAAAGTTGCATACAAAAAGCAAAACAAACAGATAAGTTACATCTGCTCTAGATGTGTCACCAAGTTTAAAAAATTGTTCCCCCCAAAAATTGTTCCAGTTATCATGTAGCCTTGAGTAATAAGTCCATATAGTAATTATTTTGACAGGCTTGTCTTGTTACAGCTCATGTAATGCCTTTTGTTTTCTGGTGCAGTTCATTTAAATTCTTATAACCCTAACAAAATAATTATTCTATTAATAAAATGTTCATTGACTAAAATGCCTTCCAATGCACTACTCAGTTTCCAGCATAAAAGATTTTTACATCAGTTTTAACAGTGCTAGTGAAATAACTGTAATTAGATTTTTGTTCTTTCTTGATATCATCAGCATCACTTCACTGGGGCACATGCCCCAGTATTGATCCGTAGTGCCCCAGTATAAATTTCACGAATTAAAAAAAAAAAACACTAGAGTTTTAAGTCTACATGGCATAATTTACAGAATGCAAACATGGCTACTTAATATGGTAACTCATTGCCACTTTATTCACTCCATACACAATGCGCACATGGCTACTTAACATGGTAATTTATTCACGTGACTTGGGCTGTGATTGCAGTCCTATGCTCACTTCAGAAACAATTTCAACACATAACATTTAACAGCGGTGTCTGAGCGCTATTTCTTTCCACCTGTCTTACAGGTTAGTACTAGGTAAACTGCCCATCATTGTTTGTTTTCACCTCTGTGTCTCCATTTCCATGTGGATTTAAATGTTACAACTTTACTTTTTACTTTAATGAATGAGGCAGTGAACTGAGGTAAACTTTCAGCTGCGTCTTGCAAGCAGTTCTAGCTGTAAATTAAAGTAGCTTCTGCAGATGTTAGCTGCTGTCTTTTAGCTAACTGGCTCATAGGCAGATCATTGTTGATTCATGTGCAGTGGTGTTAAATATGTTGATCTTTATGTCTACCAGACCATCACCAAGGTAGCGTGGGTAAACTTCTATCCACGTTCAGGGGTGTGCGGAAGCGTGCGGGGGCGTCTCTCTGCAACCTGTGCTTCATTTAGAATCCACAGATAATGTGCAAGCACATCACAAACACACACTCTCACTGCACACGGCTTGTCCGCAATGGCGTGTGTCCTCATGTACCAGCATGTATCACAGCACAGGTTAAACTTTTTAAAACATCCTACCTGTTCATCTGCCTCATGTCGGCGCGCTGCTCCTCACCTTTTCACGCTCTCGCTCCTCCCTGCGTACAATCGCACACAAGCTCATCCTCAATGCACTGATCAGAAGAGCAAGACAAAATGCTAAGCAAAAACTAATCTAAATTTATGTTGCAGTGCAGGCACAGAGGAGCCTACAGCACAGAACAGACCTACCGCGACATGTGACTGAAGTTTGCCTAATAAAAGTGCACAAATGCATCTATATTTGTCACGATATGCATTTGATTTGATAATGTGCAGAGGTAAATACCACTGCAGAAGCAGTAAGAAAATGTAAATCCAGTTAGAAACGGGAAAAACAGGTTTAAAAATCCTACACACTTTCTTCACATTTTTCATAGTTTTGTGTAAAGTGCCAGTGGAAGTTCTCTTAAAGAAGAGCTTCTCAAACTTTGGGTGAGGGTCGAAAAAAGAGGAGCAGAGTGTTTAAGTGCAGAACAGTTTGTTTGGCTAAATAGATCGATAATTTTGACTTGGCCATTTTATAAGTAGCTCGCATGCTGAAAAAGTGTGGGCTCCCCTGATGTAATAGTTAGCCTAGCACTGTGAGCTCCCACACTCGGTTTCTGGAGATTGCTATCTTGCATCTACCATATTTGATGTGCATATTTAAGGTTTAAAAAATGGGTTTTGTAGCACTCTTGTAGCTGGATATCAGAAAATGTTTCCTTTTTTTTCAAGTAGGCCAAATGCATCAGTTCATTTCAGCTGGTTAGGACATAATCTGATATGATTGTATGTATGTGTTTGAAGTATTTTTAATGTTTTTTTATGATAAATAAGTACTTAAAAAATGTTTTGCGTACTGGCTTCATGCGCTCACATTTATTATCTGTGCCCCTGCTGTGCTCCAGTACACTAAGAGGTCTAGTGACGCCCCTGCTTGATATCTGCATCTTTTTCAAATTTTAGCAATGCCAAATCCATTCTGTGACCCAGAAATTCTCACATTAAATTTATAATGTAATTTTGTTTCTTACAGCTCTGTTTCATGCCAGTTGTAATTTCTCTCACTTTCCATCACACTTTCTCTCACCCACAGAGCTCTCCAAGCTTCTGACTTCCATTTTTGTTGAATTGAATCATTTTCAGGTTTTCCACTTGTGTACGGTGGGGTAATTACAGGCTGTTAAACAGAGCATGCCCCCTTAAAACACACTCCCCTCTCAGGGTGCAGCCATTTGTGAAATTAACTCCCCCTGCAACTGTGCGCCCATCAAAGTCAAAACTTCTCTCTGCTCTTTGTGGTTTCCAAACTGCTGCTTGTGTCAAACTTCTGTCTGTCACCTCCCTCTGCCTCCATCCCTCCATCTTTCCTCTGTCTTTTGTTTCAATCACACTTTTCACAAACACACTCCAGCAGATCCATGTGCTGTCAGACGAAAGTTGTGCTCAGATTTTGTGGGCGAGGAGGAGAAAAGAGGAGGAGTAATGAAGGGAGGAGGAGGAAGGTGAGAAGGTGGAACATAGGAGGAAGGCAAAAGGTTTGAAGTAGGAAGAGAGGAGGAAGGGGGTAGGAGGAAGAGAGGAGGAAGAGAAGGAGAGGGATACAGGAGGGTGAACAAGGAGAACGAGAGCAGAAAGAGAACAGAGAAGGAGGAGTGAGGAAGGGTGGGAAGATACAAGGAGAAGGATGCTAGAGAGGGAGAAAGAGGGGGGAAAAAGAGAGGAGGAGGTCTGACAGAACAGACAAGAACAGGAGACTTTCTGAAGTGAATCTGTGCTGCTTCTATCCAAGAAGGAAAACTAGGAATTTCTATTGTATGTTTGGAAGTGTATATTTAAAAAAAAAAATAATAATAATAATGTACAATCGTTTCACAAGTTGATTAATTGAAAAAATAATCACTGACAGTTTTGCAACACTACTAACTAACACATTGATTTGGAAGTGTTCATGATCTAAGTAGAAAAGTCCTCTGAAAACTACTCTAAGCCCTGATCCCCTCCCACTGAAGCTAAATCATACTCCATTTCTGTTGGATGGAAGTCCAAGCATTTATTTGCTGCATGTTGTTTTATTTGTGTTTTTCTCACACTGCCACACTCAGACGTGTTGCTGCCATGGCAACAGTGGCCTCAGGACGGGTAACGGGAGACGCGCCGATCTGCTGATTTGTTTAGTTTGATGCTGTGCTCCTCTAAAGAGATGTACTCAAATCAGGCTTACACACAAATCAAACTAATGCATTATTCTGCATTATTTATTCAGTAGAGCTGAGGGAGAGGGCTGTGGGGGCAATAATTCAGTTCAAATGATGTATTCACCAACATGAGCACAATGCCACAATTAAAGTTATGGGCCACACCATTCAGAACAACCCTTTTGTGTTTAGCCTTTTGTAGACAAGTTCTGCTAGTCTTTGGATATCTTGTGTAAAACACATTCATGAATCATTTAAAGTGAAACTTTGAGTAAAATAATGATGAGTGAACACTTGTTATAACAGATTTAAAAGCTCTTAAAAGTAGATTTTGAATTCTGAGCCCCATTTAAAAAAATCTAAATTTATTAAACCCCGCTGTTTCATATATGGTTAAAGTGCATCCATATCCAGTCTATGCTTTTTAATACATAAATATCAGTTGTAATGGTCAGCTTCTGTAGGCTGATGTCTTTGTGGTCAGATGTTTCTCACATTCTAACTCAAGGTGGCAGTGTTGCACCGTGAGTGCCCTGCACCGACTCATAACAACTTTTTTCCTCAGGTTTAGTGCCCCAGCAGCACATATGCTTTCACTGTCTCTCTGAGTGCTTCTCACACTCACCTTTGTTTCTTCTTTGATCGTTATCTTCTGCTTTGAGCATCCATGTTACTGCCTCAAAGTGCAACTTTGTATTGTTATACACCAGTATATAGGTGCTGATCATGTGGCATGGGAGAAGAAAATTAAATATTTTTACCTACTTTGTACATTCATTCATTCATTCAATTAATTATTAATCTATTTATTTAACCTTTCAGAGCCATCCCTCAATTTATAGAATAACAGAATAACAATGTTTGAAATTACCACACAATGTTTAACATAATGCACTTCAGCACAAAATACAGACTGTAAATAAAGATGCTGTTCTTTGTGAAATAAGGCTTAATGAAGGATGGCTTGGTGTAGGATACAACTGGTGGCATTTGGATGATTTTTGTGCTGGTGACTGGCTTTGGTACATAGCCCCTCACAAGTGTTTATAATCCTGTTGGACGCTGATTGAACCACAATGTTTCTCTTTGTTTTGTAATAACAATAACAGTATAATTATCGACTGCATTTTTATTTATTTTTTTCCAGGTACTCCGTTCCTCCTGAGCATGGCAAGAGGCTTGAGAGACTGGCACAAGGTGAGAATATGACCCCATGTCTGTTTTAATACATTTTAGATGTGTGGGTTTTGAATTCGATGTAATTTATTCAGATATAATAAGACTTGATAATTGACTTGCTTTCAATAGGATGACGTAAAAGCCTTGTCCTTCACTATTCTTTTGTTATGTTTATGAAATTATGTAAGATTTTTTTCAGGCATAGACCATTGCAGTCTGCAGCACTGTATCTAACCATCTTCAGCCTTGCCTTTAACTTTGCTCTCCTCTTTGCTTTCCTTCTTCACCCTTTAACAACAATAAAAATCTTCATAGAAAGAACTACTAAAAAACCAAATGCCTTTCTGTAAGGCTTGTCACAATAACACATGACGTAATGCTATAGAAATTATAAGAAACAAATTCACACTACTGTACTGACTATAGTTGTTAAAATGATCGAAGATACTAATCAATACTAAAACTATTTTCAAAACTAGATACTAATATGAGCAAGTATTGATCTAAAAAAGTCACATTTAAAGGACAAAAATGAACCTTTTCTGACACCCCTGTAGCAGTGTAGAACATACCTGGATGACTGAGACAGACATACATACATACATACATACATACATACATACATACATACATACATACATATACATATATATATACACATACATACATATATACACATACATATATATATACACATATATACATACATACATATATATATACACATACATACATATATATATATATACACATACATATATATATATATATACACATACATACATATATATATACACATACATACATATATATATACATACATACATATATATATACATACATACATACATACATATATATATACATACATACATATACATACATACATATAAGGCTGCATTGTAATATAAAAGAAAGTACTAAGATTTAAGCACATTCTGTTGATATGACAATTCACCATTTAATTACATTCAGCTCTCTACAGCTCAAATCTTATTGTATTATATAACAAATTCCTTTAATGGCAAAGAATATTGACCCCCAAAATATATTGTTTCATCATCCATTCATGTCATAATATAGAAATTATGATCTATGTTCCATAACTGTCCATGAACCTCCAATAGAGCCCTTATTGTAGTTGACACGTTTTTGTCCTTCCTCTTACATGCCTTTTCTTCTCCACGTTTTCCTGCTCCTCCTTTCCGCATCCAGATCAATGAGGATTATCTTGTGTATTGTACAAGATGGAAGCTGCTGAAATGATGAGGGAGAGTTGGCCCCATCCAAACTACATTCAATAGACACACCATTTGTCCTTGTTGTTGTGGAGAGTGGAGAACAAATCAATAATCACCAGCACAGAGCCTCTGTCGTCCTGTTGTACCTGAGAGCTGGGCAAATGTCAGGCACAATATGTGGCATAAGAGAGACAAGAGAGAAAGGCTCATGACATTTCATTGGTAGTCTACTGTAAGGCCTATGTTCAGTAGAGGACAATCAATATTATGCTCAGTTATTAAGATTTAAATTTAATGTCACATGAGTGGAGATAATAGAAGTCCAGTCCACAGAAGTATGATTTTTGTTAGTTTGTTTTTTCTGACCCCCATGGGGAAATTCTTCTGCATTTTTATTTATTTATTTATTTATTTGATAGGGACAGTGCATATTAATGAACATCTGTAATTATGGTGTAAATATGACAGATTGTCGCAAAAAAGATAATTTCCTTCTGTTGGCTCTAGGCAGCTGACACAGAATACAATATAAAATACAAAATACATTTCAAATACATTTGACCTCTCCTTCAGTGCCTATCAGGGACTGTTGGCCGCAGCTGTACATCTCTTGAAAATCATAGCCTGCATAAATGAACATACCTAACTAGCTAGCCGCCATGTTCCAAATAGGAAGTGAACATGAGTGTGCTTCCAGCTCCATCGATTTCTGATGATTTGAGCTACCTAGTGTTACTGCGTATGTGCACGCGCACAACCCCAAAGTGCTGTCACAGTTCAAATGCCCGTCGATTTGAGCTACCCAAGGCAGAAGTGGAGTGACAAGTAACGTTTTAAAAGTATATCAGTTTTATTGTATGTTTTCACCAATTAAGCATGTAAGCAACGACATGTCAATGTTAGATTATTTAATAGTTTGGGTTTAATATTTGATTTTATTGTTATCATTTTCATTACATTGTATTTTATTTTATTTATGTGTATAGAAAACGTAATTTTGGTTAGAAAGGTGCTGTATTAATAAAATATCACCATATTATAGTGGGAAATTCATAATGCAGCCTATGATATTAGCGTTATTATATATTTGCACTATTTAATATAAAGATTTCAGTGTTTCCAGTCATTTCTTTCTCTCATATAGTGGGAGCCTTACTTGATAGAAGATATAGGCCTGTCGAAATGAGCTACCTCTACCCAAATTCATATAAATGAGTGAATAATGGTGATTCAACAGTGGGAGCATTATTCGATGGTTAAATTGGCCTGTCGATATGTGCTACCTGTCAAAATGAACTATGCATATTCATGTAAATGTGATGAAATTTGACATAACTAAGGTATAAAGTATAATCACCCTACGCAAACAGCATAAAACCTGCTGTCTCTTATCCAAAGAAATATGCAGTAAAACTGGGGAGGTTAGCTTTATTGGATCTGTACAACTGTAAATGGAAAAGGTAGCTTATTTCAACAGGGTAGCGTGAATTGATAGATGTCACTGCCAGTTTTGGCTATGGGTAGCTCATTTCGATTGGGCAGCGCATTTCAACAGAACACCGGCTCCAATTCACTTTGTACTGAAAAAAACTTAATCCCTTTCGCTAACTGCCACAGTGAGCTTTGTCATTTTGGTCTTAAAATATTCATAATAACCTTCTCTACATGGTTCAGGTGTTTTTATTTCACTATTTTGTCCAGAAATCAGTTCCTACATATTACTAATATGTAACTCTCCTCTTAATTTGGCCCATAAGTGCTAGCCTCTGTGACCTTCATTTGACTGTAGCTGAACACTATGGGTTATACAGTTTATGCTTGGGACCCTTCTCCAGATTTTGTTATTTGCAGAGAACATTCACTATCTAAAGTAATTGCAGCCTTTCATTATACAATAAGTCAAATTATGATATTGGTTTGATTGCGATATTTTGTACAGCTGTAATCCAAACCAATCTAAATGATTGTGTTGTTGTCAGTAGGTGATAAATCCAGTTATACTTTGCAACTTCAATGTATAACTCCTTTTAGAGCTGAGCTCAAACTGTCATGATCCAGTAGATGCTGTCACTGTCTGCATGCTTTCAGTCAGTGAGCCTCCTGCAGCCTTCTTCTGAAGCAGCTGGCAGTGGGAGGAAATCCATGCCAACGTCTCTTAACAAGCACCCGCTGACCTATGAAAGCCGTCGTCAGCAGCAGCAGCCAACTGTTTACGAGCTCCTAAAAGACAGTTATGAGTGTAGCAGAATGCCCAACAGGCTCCCCCAGTCCTATTCAAACTCCAGAGCAGTTAAATGGCAGACAGACATAGAGAATAACCACAACTATTCTTCCTTCCCTTCTTCATCTACGCATTAATTTCCATCTTGTTCTCAGACTTTTTGGCTGGAGAAAGCGGTCGGTATAAGAGGCTGTGGTGGTGGTGGCGTGAACTTAATTTCCAAACTCAAAAGGACAGAATGAAGCCTTTAAGTTAATATTACCCTGTGGAGAGCTCCCAGAGCCAGCTGCATTTTAATGGGGATTAATACCAAGGCTCTGTCGGCACATTATTCACCTTTATCAGCTCCAACAAGCAGGCAGGCGATGGGAGAATGGCGGCCTGTCTCCCTCTCTGGCTTTGTAGCCTGGAACAGAGGCTGAAACAATCCAGTGAAAATGAAGGATGAAATGGCTACGATTATACTGTCAGTCACATTAAAGTTTAACTGGGCGGCGGCTCGGATGGACCCCCCTTTGAGGCTCTGGCGGGCGCGCTCAGAAAGGGGAGAGTGACGAGTGATGGAGGAGAAATTCTTGCTTTTGATTATGCACAGGCTGTTGGAGTCTTTCCAATGCTGAGGGAAAAAAGTTGGCTTTTGTTTTCACAGAGAAAGTTGAGTCTTTGAAACCCAAAATGTCACAAGGCGATATGCTCTCAAGACAAACTGTTTTAGAAAGGTCAGGTTCATTGTTAAAGGCAAAGCTGATTTCAAACACTGTGTGACAATAACTACCATATTAAGTAATGGGTGTAGGATAAGAGACTTTTACTCTTGTGGTAATTAATCATCTGTAAAGAATTTAAATAATTTCCAGAAGACCTTAATATCTTACTTTAAACCACAAATGTGAAGCATTTTAATTGCATTTGTGCATTGTTTGTTTCAGGTTTTTTCCCAGGCAGCTCACAAGGCTGTGACGCCTTTCTTCGCCATAAGATGACTCTGATCTCACCATCCATCCTGAAAAAATACAGTATCCCCTTTGACAGGGTGAGTTCACTTTGCTTTAACAGATCTTCTCCATATTGTGTATTAGATCATCCAATTGAGTAATTGTATCATTTTTAGAGGGAAAGTAACATTAGATAGGGTAAAATATCATTTTTAAATTTTTAAATTTAATCAAATACTTTGTTTTCAAACAGATAACTCAGAATGAGGGAGAGTTCATGATCACTTTCCCTTATGGTTATCACGCTGGCTTCAACCACGGCTTCAACTGCGCAGAGTCCACTAACTTTGCCACTCTGCGTTGGGTGGATTATGGCAAGATGGCTACACAGGTAAATGATAATCATATATTGGACTTTTTTTGTCTTTTCTAGTTACAAATATTCAGAAGCAGTTCTTCTCTGGAGTGTCTGTCACCTGCTTGTTTCTATGGATATGTCATTGCTCTGCCTGAAATGTTCCACTGTATGATATGAACTGGCTCTAATATTACATTTATTCAATTACAGTGTTTTTTTAGCTCAAAAATGCTGAGAAAAATGGGCATTCTGACTGTGAGCTTTGTTGTCTCCACAGATCTGACCTGTAACTTGGTCTGGTTTGGTCTCTATGATCATAAAGGTTTAATAACATTGTGAAATATTTCAGACAAAGTGACCACATTTTTATTGAGAAGAGCATTTGACGGACCCTCCTCCAGAAAAGTTACATAGTGCACCTTTAACAAAGTATTTTACCAACACTGTCCATAAACCTACATTTCCTTATGGACATTAAATTGCTGTGAGCTACTAAGCAAGAAATTGACAAGGCATATGTGGTTATGGAAAGGAGCCCCTACTACAGTGTCTTCTGGTAGCCCCTGTTCTCTTAAGATTTGACTTCACTCTCCCACACAGAGAGAACGGTGGAAGAAAAATGAACATGGGTGCGTTGGGGTGTCCTCTTCCTCTCCACTTGACTGAATGCCAGATTTATGAGGTGCCAGTGCGGCTCTTTTGCCTCCTTTTTCTCATTTTCGCCCTTTTCCACTTTGCCCATGCGACCACTTGTAATTTAAGAACCAGTAGTGCCTCCATCCAAGCTGCTGCTCAGGGGACCATCTCCTCTGCACTTGTCTCAGCCTGATAGAGAAGAGGAGTCAACTCTGCTCCACTAATCCAAGTTGACAAAGTGACATTGCAGCCCCACACATAGGCTTTGGGAATAGCCGATTTGAACAAGTTGTCTTTCTTACTTTAATACTATTTCTGTTTTGTAAATTCTGAGTTTTACTTAAAACTGATTTTCAATTGTACAGTAAATGCAACATTTTGAGAAACAGTGAGACTTTGGTGGAAGGCGTAACTGGTGGAGGATATGCCATTAAACTTACAAACTTAAACTTAATCTTTTTTTTATTTCATTACAGTTGATTTTTATAGCTCAAAACCTGTCTCCATGTAGATGTTATTGTGCTACCTGGAATGTTCCACAGTATTCCCATGGAGACAAGGGTAATGAAATTAATGTAATGTAGATAAGTTTGATGCCGGACTCAACATAGTAACATTTAATTGGATTCTACAGTTATGGCTGTGGCTTGGTGACAGCCTTACAAAACAGCAAATGTAGTATTATGCACAATGAATTCAAAACACTCAAGAGAGGAACAGTTGCTATGGAAACTCCAGGAGATATACAAACCTTATATTTTTGTCTCGGGTCCCAGTTATGGCCGCTGCCCCCACCTGTTCTGTCAGCACCAAACGGGACAGTGAAGGATGGAGCCAGCGATCAAATTTGTCACCGTTTGGGGGCTGCCAGCACACAGCTTATGTCTCACTCTTCTGAAATACAAGCTCCTTAACTGCTGCCCCATCTGTCTGACTTACTAAGAGAATTCACACCTGCAGTCATGGCAAGCGCACTGACAATGTGCTCTGTCCTCTGTGAGCTCTTTGGGAAACTTTGAACACAAAACATCTGAAGTAATACATTGAATGGTCTAGTGCTGGGAATCATTGGTCCTTTTTGATACACAGTACATGGCACAGGATACGATATAATCACGATATGGTGGTAATAGATTGATGATAGATTATATTATGTATGATACACTTCTTAAGGGTTGGGCTATTTTGACAAAAAATAAAAATCCAAATTAACTTTTATGGTTATCAATACACCACAAAATCCAGGCATGTCAATTCTAGCAGTGTCTGTGTGAGTTAGGAAATAATTTCATATAATATACCTTTTTAAATCTAAACTTTTTTTTCTGATGGATGTCTTGCCTGATTGTCTCCATGAAGAAGGCTGTGTTTATTACCATACTGTACAACATCCCAGGCAAAGCAATTACATCTCTAATTCTCCATGGAGATAAGCTAGGCAGACCGTTACCTGGAAAGCTGCATAGTACCGCTTTAAACAAAATGTGCAGATAACAGCCAAGTGATTCTGTTTACCCTGTTAAGAAACCTGTTGAACTATTGTCTCTCTCTAGTAATGGAGGATAAATAATACTATACTATGGGTCATGCAGGTCCGACTCAGACCCTGTTTTGTTATTAGTAGTTGGCACTTCCACTGAATGCACTGATCCATGGTACATCCCCAGGCCGGAGGTTTGCAGAGGCTTCATTAGCACCCAAAGTATACTTCAGGGCTCATTGACTGTTAGCCTCGGGGTGAGCTTTTGTTTTGCTGGATTTTGTACTTTGCAAGTCTGTTTCCCTTTTCTAATTAAGTATTTATGTGATAATAAAGTGGAGGCAGCCTGGGCCCTCGAGACGACTACAATATCCATCCATAACACTCTAATGATTTCAAAAAGTGAAATAAGTGCTTACAGATGCAGATAACACATACAATTACTGTACAAGAAACAAATCTACTGTCATCATATTTTGTTTGTGCTTGCCATGTTTTCCCACTGATATCAATCCGAATGAAGGCATGTCCCCTCTGCCCTCCGCTCCACCGCCCCCCAACCAACACCATATTTTAATGTCTCCGTCTGTCAAGTGGTGTCTAGATGAGATGTAGGCTGGATATTGTTTTTCTTGGGGCCGGCGAGCTGCTGTGTTTCCAGTAATTGAACATAGGCTCTCAGTACAACTCAGGAAATAATATAGACAGAAAGTAATACAACAAGTAAGGCACAAAAATAAAGTATTTTCATCTTTCTACTCAACCTTCTAAGTTTTTCATTTCCCCCTTTTCCCCACAGAATGTAGACATGGCCTTTTGAGTACAGTAATGCACTGTAGATTTGTACTTTTCTCAGTGTATTATGGTAATTTATAATATCATCAGAATAGATGGCATAGTTTGTTTGAAGGACCCATTGTAGACAGAAATATCTGTCAACTTGTCACATTGTCTCTTCTCTTCAGTGCACCTGCCGCAAGGACATGGTGAAGATCTCCATGGATGTGTTTGTGCGCTGCCTTCAGCCTGAACGCTATGAGCTGTGGAAACAGGGCAAAGACACCACCATGTTGGACCACCTGAAGCCCACCGAGCTGAGCAGCCCTGAATTGGAGCGATGGAAGAAGAGCCGTGTGGAGTACAGAGCCAGTGCCCTTCGCAAGTGAGCAGTCTCTCCACTCTGAGCGATCACCGACAGTATGTTCTGGTCTAGACTCCGGTCTAACACTTGTTGTATGGGTTTCAGGGCCATGCAGAAGATGAAGCAGTTCAGACGCCTCAAACTGGATGAGGTGAAGCTGCTGGCGGAGGAGGGTGTGGAGCTGGATGCGGTCAGTTACCAGCGGCAGGTGGAGGAGCGTGAGGCCCAGCGCAGACAGGAGAGGGCTGAGCGTCTCGCCAGAGAGGCCATGCTCACGTTGGAGGCCATAGAGCTCAAGGAGCAGGAGGCTGCAGCCAAAGCAGCAGAGGAAGCTCTTTACAATGGTGAGGAATGTCCCATAGCATTATTTTAGGTTCTCAACATTATTTCATGCGCTTAATAAATAATTTTATATTTGTAGATGAAATGGAGGAGAAGAACCAACTAAAGCAGCAGAGAAAAATGGCACATCTCCATAGCGCCATCACTGGGTTTGAGGAAGAATTTGCGGCGTTTGCCAAATCAGGTGTTACAGGTATCCAGGTGGGGAACACGTTGAAAGAAGAAAATCGTGACCTAAACAGTACTCAGGTAACACACTCTCCTCACAGTTTGTAGGTTGAAATAATTGTCACAAAACTCGTCTAAATCGTCTTTGCCTCTCACAGCCAAGTTTCTCCAAAATAAAAATGCCTGCAGAAGTGATGAAGAGCCGTCGCCACCCACTGAGCAAGCCGCCAATGCGATCGCCACTGTCCATCGTCAAACAAGAAACCACCAATGACAAAGGTAGGATTGTTATATTCTTCAAATTAAGCTTAAAAACAATATGCTCTTTAGTCGGTTGGTTGGTTGTAATTAATCAAGTCTGCATCATATGACTGACATGTAATGCACAGGTCATGACTTCAATTATCTGTTTTTCAAAGTCATTCAGATTGATGACCTGAGACTCCCTTGGTTCTGTGTGGTCCATTGTTAGTATTCAAATGCATGAATTGAACTCTTTTTCAGATGACAATGTAGCTTTAAGTTTAATTTATATAAACTCTTTGTTTCAACTGTTGCTGTTGCAAATTACCATACAAATACATTTAATGCATATTTAATGACTTTGTTATTTTTCTGTTTCCACAGATCTTCCCTCTCGCTCTTCACCGGACAATGAGGCGAAGAAGCAGGAACCCATTTGGCAGAACATCTCACAGAAAGGCTTCAATGCTGCAGTGGCAGGACTCAGCCCACACTGTGCCATCTGTGCCATGTTCTGTCCCTATGTCAAGGTAGACCACCCACAAACATGCTTTTGACCACAGAATGTAGCTATTGTTCTTTGTTTTATTTAGTTTACTTTTGCTTTTATTTCCAGAATGGAAAAGAGCTTTCAAAAGAGCCTCCAAAAACCAAGGGAAGCAGAACTCGCCCTCTTGTTCCTGAAATGTGCTTTAGTGCTGGAGCCGGAAATACTGAACCTCTTCCCACCAACACTTACATCGGAGAAGATGGCACTAGTGTTCTCATCAGCTGCTCAACCTGCCTTGTGCAGGTTCATGCCAGTAAGTTTAGATTTCAAGCTTATGCTTGAAGAATGCACTGCTCTTCGTTACCAGAAATATTATACAGTGCTACAGTGTTAACAAAGAAAATAATCCTCAAAATATCTCAGGAGCTTTCAGGTTTGTTTTCCTTTCAACAGAAGCTGCCAATAGTTAAGAGAGTCACAACTTTAAAACACTTTTTAAAAATATGTTGAACCAGCATGTTTTACATTCAGTGTTGCATGGCTGTATCCATCCACACAAACTGTCAGAAACACTCACACTCACTCTCCCTCCTGGGCTCTTATTATCCCTAAAGCTCAAGTGCACCTTCAAAAGGCCAGTTCATTAGTCATCTAGGACTCAGGAGCAGGGCTCAGCTGTGGAAGAAGCAGCACTACTATTGATACGAGCACATGAAGCAGAAACAGCCTCCTCTCCACTTCTTTGTTTCGGAGTAAACATCCAGATGAGAATCGGTCAAACCTGTCCAGTTGTTAAAATGTTCAATTCTTCAGATTGGCCTCATACTGTACAGACTGTTATGTACATCACTTTATGTTATGTAGGGATGAATGGATGAAGGCATGTTATAGTGCTTTAACTTTATCTGTGAAGCTTGAAGGTCACAAAGTCTTCCTCTTTGCAGGTTGTTATGGTGTGAAGCCAGACTCTGTGAGTGATAACTGGACCTGTTCCATGTGTGCAGCAGGTGCTTTCACTGTGGTAAGTGACTGCTGTGTCATATGGCAAAAATATCCAATTAAAAACACAGTGTAAGGACCCAGTAATGTAGGCTATAATTAACACATTTTAAAACTTCATTAGTGACTTTAAAAGAGATCAACAAATAATCTGTAGACTGTATTTCATCTAAATATTAACTGTATGGTTTCCAGGAGTGCTGTCTCTGCAACCTGCGCGGAGGAGCTTTGAAGACTACTACTGACAAACGGTTAGTGCAAACTTAGTTGTCCTTGTCAAAAACAAATGGAAAATACATGGATTTTATAACGTACTACATTGGTGTATTTTGTTATTTTATTTTGCAATTTTGGAACACTTTTCTTCACATGTTTATAATGAGAAGATAGAAAACATGAAATTTTTTTAAGACTCCATTTTGAAGAGTCCCTTTTGGCTTCTCTCCAGGTGGGTCCATGTGATCTGTGCCATAGGCGTGGCCGAGGCTCGCTTCGTCAATGCTCTTGAACGAGAACCAGTGGATGTCAGCGGCGTTCCTGAGACGCGCAAGAATCTGGTGAGTGTAGCGTTTTCAAATCACACTGTGCCCTACAATTCACCATAACTTTATCACTCAACTTATTATTCTTCTAGTTTGGGTACCACACTGCGCAAAAGGTGTATCTAACATCACTTAAAAAAGTGATTGCAGATTTTCCTCCCTCCCTTTTTCAGTATTGTCAGTTTGCATTGCCCTGGTTGTTAGTTGGACAGTTGGTGCTTTTGTATGACTGAGCAGTAGGGAACATGTGGTAAAGTGAATTGTGCTTGAGGGAAACTGCAGAATAATCCTCTGACATTTCACTGCATCAAATGAACTGCGTCGATCTCATGGACAAGACGCGATTTACCCATTTGTGCCAAGCTTTGAAATGCTCCTCATCTTCTCTTTTCTCGACAACAGCCTGTTCACCACGTTCACAAACAGCTTCCATCCTCGCGTTGCATTTTCACAAATCTACGAATAAATGAAAATCACCTCTCTCTCTCAGTTCCCTTCGCTCTCAATAATCCATCAAAGGCACCAGAGGATGGCATTATCCAAGAGCCTGTTCCTGTTTTAAAAGGCCCGAAGAAGCAACTCTGTGGTCTCATGATTCCTGGTGGCTGGGCTGATCAGATGTGAAAGCTTTGATACTGGTTTATACAGCAGCATCCGAACATGTACAGATATAGATTGGTCACAATAACTAATTTTGAAGTACAATATGTTGATACAGAAAAATATCCTGATTAATAATATTGAAACTACTTGATACCACTGATACAGTAACCCCAAAGCAGAATCATCTCGGTGATTTTTTAAGTGAAATTTATTGTAAAAATGTGGCCAGCAATAGATTACTTTAGTAGTTAATTCTAGTATCTATAAATAATATTATTTATTTTAATAATTCAGCCAACTACAGCTCAAATGTTATCATAGAGGCTCGATAATGCTGTAGAAAAGTAATAAAAGTGCACATGATAATTACTGATCCTAAAAAAATATAGTTTGATATAGTAATTATTATGAAAAACCTATACAGACATACAAGACTTCTGTGTGGTGTCGGCATCTAAGTATACTGCAGCAACAGAACATTTGAGTTGTTTTTAATTGATACAAGAGTATTTAGAGGAATGATCAGTTATATATATTTTTTTGTTTTTAACAAATGAATACACCTACTCCATAAACCTGCATGTCATGTATGGGTGTTAATTTACATGCCCTCTGAACGTCACGTATTAAAATTCAACGAAGACAAAGTGAGATATGAGGGAGAATGGAGGATGCAGTCTATTCCTGCCCTGATTGTCTGTACAATACAAGTCAGCGAAAACAATAAACCCACCACCACATGACATATCACCCTACGGAGTCCTTTTGAAAACCGTTGTACATTTCTCCAGCACCAGCTCAAAAATGAAGTATTGACACTTTAATAAAGAATTTTTATTTTTTATTGATCGGCCACCGCTACAGGTCTAGTGATTTGTCAAAAGCAGGAGGCGCACAGAGGGAGGATGAGTGAGGGTGTGTGTGGAGATGGATCATAACGATAAACCAATGCTGCAGCACAATTCAGATGAGAATTGACAGGCCACAATACAATGGAGATGGATGGGAGCATTCTGTCATGGACTGAAAGTAATGGGTATTATCTAATATACACAAAAAATTCTCATTTGTGCAACACATTTTCAGGAGTGTGTGATCAATATGAGCGTTCATGGTCCTGTTTAGGTGTTTTGATTTTCAACAAAAATGCAAGAGTGACTAACTGAAACTGTTGGCTAATGCTACCAAGCTTGTGATTGCAATGTTATTTGAGAGGGACTTGTTGAACAGTACAAAATCAGATCACCTGTTTATTGTCGGACCGTGTTAAAATAAGGCTCAGATAGAGGAATGCTTACAGTTAGCTTCACACCCCCAGGGAATGGTGAGGACATCTGCTGCAGTTATCAATAGCCGGTGTTACTGTGGAGTTTGAGTTAAAGGATAAAAAGGTTTTGCTTTTATTATGAAATGCAAAGTTGGAGTTGAAGAAAAAGTTGACATTTTTTGCAAACCGGGAGTCGAATTTCACAATAACTTTGACACTTATGACTGCACAGGCTTGTTTTGTGCCAGACTGAAAACACCCCTTCTATTTTTAATGAGTAGAAACATCGGGAGCACAAACAGAATCGCAGATCTGAGAAAGGAGAAAATGGTTCCACTGCTGATCCGTACACCATTTTTTGCTTCAGAAGATTCCTCACTATTCCTTCTCTTCCTCCTCTTCCTCCTCTTCATCTCACTGGAACAACCACATAGCTCCTGCAGAGTGGTGAACACTGGCTGGGTGTTTTTTTGTGGTTTTATTTAAAAATGTCCAATTTCTTAAAAGGTGAAAGCATTTTCTAAGAGCATGGGACATTTTAAGATAAAATACCAATCGCACACTAGAAGGGTTCAGTGGTGGGGAGAGAGCTGTGGTGGAGCACTGGTTGGTTAGACTTGTTTTCAACTGTTGAGTTTTTTTTTTTTTTTTAATCTTTGCTTTGTCTCTTTATTCCTCACTGTTTTTGTATTTTATTTTTTTTACTCGGTATATTTTCTTCTATATATCAAGTTATTTCGATTTTAATAAGAAATTAAATGCTTTTTACCATGTTATAACCCTCATCAAAAACATGCCTGACATGGTTTTATATGTCAGTGCTCAACCCACAAGCCCCCAATTTTCCATAATTATACAAAAGCATGATACAAAACAGTACACTTCAACTTCACAAATCTGATGTAATGTGTAGTTTCATTAGCGAAATGCGAGGTGATGATGTTGTGATAGTGCTCTGAAGGGGGAATGATTTAGTGTGGGGAAAAAAGTGAGGGGGGACTAAGAGCATCAAAAAATTATGTTTTTTTTTATACCCTGTTAATACGTTGTTTTCAGTGAATATAGCATTTTCAAAACAATAGAAGGTAACATGATGATCTAAATATGTTATGTTAGCCATTTATAATACCCCATACACCTCTCTTTAAATTAAATAGGTAAACACTACACCAACCACAGTCTTTTGCTTGTGTGTTTGCAGAAATGCGTTTACTGCCTGGGTCAGAATTTCCATCAGAACCGAGGAGCTTGTATCCAGTGTTCCCATGAGAACTGTGCCACCTCATTCCACGTCACCTGTGCCCAGATCGCTGGAGTCGTCATGAAGCCCGCCGACTGGCCCTACGTCGTCTCTGTCACCTGCCACAAGCATAAAAAGCCAATGCCAAAGGTAATCATAAGCATAGGGTTTGGTCAGTGCACCCATTTTGTAGACTATATTATTTCAGTTTTCATCATTGTTGAATGTGATAGTAATAGAATAAGTAATAAGTAATAGAAATGGAATAAAATGTTATCTGTGACTAAAGGGGGCATATTACACAGAATCCGCTTTTAAGAGCTTTTACAGTAACTGTGTTCCCTTGTCTTACTCAAAGTTGCATTTCAGATGATTCATTCATGTTTGAGTAATCTTGTATTGAATTGTATCAAAAAAATTGCTGTTGTCATTACTTCACCTGCTGCTCTGTAGTTACTGACAGTTATTTTAAAAATTTAGAGTGCAGGTTATTACTATGGTGAAATGCCACCATGGAGAGGTATATCAATTCTGCAGTTTAATTTGAAATGCCCATTAGAATTACATTTTATTTTACGTTTGGGTATTATTTAGCTCAATTCTTAAAATCAATCAATCAAAAGACTTAAAACGAAAAAACAAACTAAAAGTTGTTTAAATTAACATGGTAAATGTTAGGTCAGGGGTATCCAAACATTTTTCACAAAGGGCCACATATTGAAACATATTTGAGGAGGAGGGCCATAAACAGTTGGTCAATATAGTGAGTTATTCAGATTAATTAAGTAATTGAGTTTATAATGGTAGAATTACTTAAATTTGCATCAATTTGCAGTCAAAAGTTCTACTCAAGTTCATTTGGGCCAAAGCAAGAGACTTGGGAGCTGACAAAAAAATGCTAAAAAAAAAATGCCCCAGAGCCATAGTTTAGTTTTAAATAAACATTATTTTTTTCAGTATTTTCATTTGATCTGTTTTGCTCATTCAACAGCCTCGAGTAGCACCCAAAGGGCCACAGGGTCCATCTCTGGGACAGCGGGTGATTGGGCGGAACGCTGATGGCTGGTACTACCACTGTACCATCATCGGTATGGCAACGCAAACACTGTATGAGGTCAACTTTGACGATGCTTCATACTGTGACAACCTGTACCCTGAAAGCATTCTGGTGAGATTTTTAAGTCTAATTAAATCTACCTGCATGCACCACGTATCCTAGCAACTGTTTGTCCTTTGTAGTTTGACATTTTACAGAAAGATAAATAAATGAGTCACTGCTTTACTAATCAGTTTTACTTTTGAGGCGTATTGTAACAAATAATTTAATGAGTTTGAATTGGTATTTTTCTCTCTAGAGTCACGACTGTCTGCATAATGGTCCTCCAGAGAAGGGAGAGTTGATTGTGGTCAGCACTACCGAAGGTCAAGTTTTGAACGCCGCATTTATCAGAGAACACATTCACAAGTTTTATCAGGTGAGTGAGTTGCTGGTGTACAAGAGTTACAATAGCAATACTGTCTATAATATCTAAAGATTATAATGGTCACTAAGGGATTGATTCTAGCCAGGGCAATGACATATCCATAGAAACAAGAAGGTGATGGACCTCCAACCAAAAAGTTACACAGTGCACCTTTTAAGCCCAAGTTTATGTTGCTAGCTTGCTACTTTCTGGGTAAAATTCAGTTTTGCACAGACTTACCCACTGTTATTTATCAATATGTTTAAAGCTTGGTTTCCTATGCAGATCACATCTAAGTGGATAATTTAACATACTGTCAAAAGTAGAGATTTGGCATCACTGAGAATTTATGTTGATAATGTGCAGAAAGCTTACCAAGTGTAAAAAGCCTAAATTAAAATGATTTTGTAACAGGTCTCAAAGCAACACAACTTTCCACAGTGCATCAGCAACCCGGGTTCAGTTCTTAATCATAGCTGTAGTTTGCAGAAACTTTGAAACTCTTTACATAAGCATTAACTAAACACAGCCAACCATCTTCAGTTTTCCATCCTTTTCATAGGCAAAGCTCCATAACCCCTGATCTGTTAGAGTGTGTGCAAAGTCTGGCGGTAGTCTTTTTTTTTTTTAGTCCATCAATAAAGGAGCATTTTGTAATTTTTCTGTTGGAGGGTCCATCAACTGCTTTTGACCATGGAGATGTTATTGCTTTGTCTACAGTCACAGTATGATATTAAAACTTGCTATCTACATGGAGACCAAACCAGATCAAGTTACAGGTCAGATCTGTGGTGGCAACCCCACTCAGTCAGAATGTCTGTTTTTCTAGGTATTTTTGAGCAGCTGTTATTGAATAAATGTGAAGTAGAGCTGTGTAATATTATACAGTGAAACATTCCAGGCAGAGCAATGACATATTCATAGAAACAAGTAGGTGACGGACCATCCACCAGAAATGTTACCTTTAAGGTTTGTTAAAGCAGACCTATTACGCAAAATAATGTGAAAAAAATTTGCTTTTCTATTGTTTACAATGTGTATGTAGTATATGATTATTGTTTCTCTCTTGGCACAAACTCAAAATAAAAACGAATTAATCAATCAATCAAAATAAACGTTTCAGAGCTTTTAACCAAATTATAATTGTTCCCCCTTCTCATTTATTCACCTTCTGTAAGTTGTATTTGGAGTGATTTGTGCATGTTTGAACAATCTTTATGGATAAACAGTAACATCTCCTTAGACAACAAGCAGCTAGTTACATAGTGCAGCTTTAATTTGATAAGAAACATTATGCAAAATGTACTTTTTGGAGCTTTTAACCATGTTATAGCTATTTCCGTTCTCATTAACTCATCTCATTTATTTAGAGTGATTCCGATCTATCCCCATTTTCACCACCATCATATGGCCACTTACTAGTTCTCTGTATACATAGTTGTTTTTACGTGGTACGTTATTTGATGCACAGTGCATGTCTTTAGTGGATCATAATTCACGCCTCTCTTTTGCACAACAGTTTGTTTTTATTTACCTAGTATTCACACAGTTCCTTCTTTTCAGGTGGAGTTTCAGGACCAGAGTCAGTTGATGCTCAAACACCATGAGCTCTACAGCCTGGAGCAAGACCTGCCTAAACGCGTCAGAGCTCGACTTGTGAGTTTATCTTACTGCTTTAGAGGAGAACCTGCTCAACCTAACCTAGCTACATAGTCATAAAAATGAAATATCCTTTTCAGATATGTGAAAATGACATGACTCTCAAAAGATGACAACATTTTCTTAAAAATACAAGCCACATTCTCTCTCCCACATGAAAACCAAAACTTGGATTGGTCTAGATTACGTAGGCAGTCATGCGAATAAATACCTCTATTAGTAAATGACATAAAAACCTTCCATATCTTTCTATAACATTTTGACATTGTGAGTCTGTGCTTTAGGACCAAGCTTAAAGACTCCGGCAGAACTCTGTCAACATCAAAGATTACTTCACAGGAATTGTCCAAGTTAAAACTGCCCACACGAGTTTCACAGGATCGTTAGAGCAATCCAGCATAAATCTGTGTTCATTTGCACACTAATCAGCAAAGCGAACCACATCCAGCAAAACTAAGTTACAGCAGTGTGTCTATTGAAATCCACCTACTTTATTGCAACACATCTTTACCGACAGATGCTTGGCACTTTTGAATTGGGCCTTTTACTTCTTTGCTTCTGTGTCTAGGATCTGAGTATCTGACCAAAATTAAAAAATTTAAATGTCTCAAATCATTTATGTAGTTTCACACTCGCTGTCACCTTGAATTTTAAACTATATTTGATTTCCTCTTCAGGCTATACTTTCAACAGAGGCTCCCTCTGCACAGGATGGCAGCACTGCAGCGAAGCGCCGCTGTCTGCCCTCTGGTACCACCTCTGCACCTCCTGCCGCAAACGCCGCCCCTATGGCCCCCATGGCAACTACACAAACGTCCTCTCCTCCAACGGTAGCCTCCACTGCAGTCCCTAATAGTATTAACTCATCAACAGTGACCTCACCCCCCCTGAGGCAGGTTAGCCCTGTGCTGTCCCAGGGCGTCCCAGCTCCGTTGCCCCCAGCCATGTCTGCTCAAACCAATGGTCTACACATGAACAGTATTGGTGCAATGGACACGAGCGCAGCACTTTCACACCATCTCACAGTGTCGCCCCTCGCGGCAGACCCCACCCTGGGACTGCAGGCCACGCCCTTTCAGTCCACGTTGAACTCTGACCCTCTCCTGTCCACGCCGTCACCCCCTATGCCCCCTCAGCATATGGCCCACAGCTACACGGCCAGTGGTAACTACGTGACCTACATGGAGAGCCTCCTCAATGCAAATTTCCCTCAGGAAGACCCCGCGGGGCCCCTGTATTAAACTAATGTGAGCTTTTGGAGGATGAAGAATTAAGTTGGACAGTGTGACGTGCGCACTGGAGCTGGTACAGACACATGAGCGCTCTTACTGCATGGACTTCTGTGTTTAAGTTAATATATTTGAGTGGTGCTTTAACCTGCACTTATAGGACAGTGCTTTTTTTAAGTTCTTCTGTTTTCTTGTTATTTTTATATATTTTGTTTCCTTCATGTGTCATGACAGGGAGCAAACATGTCTTCACCATCATAAACTCTGGGTGGAATACCTCTGCATTTCCTGAACTGCACACTCTGACTTTGTGATTTAGAAAACTTATTATTTGTTAATATTTAATTTTTTGTTTGTTTGTTTGTTTTTGAGGTGGGAATCAAATAACCAGCAGCAATGAACATTTTCTGATTCCTGCCACTTCTGAGCTTCTGAGTCATCTTCAGTTTATCTTGTCATGACGATGTATTTTCTTGTTGAGGGTATAAAATGGGAAATGGGAATTAAAATGTATTGTATAGGAAGCTCAGTATTTCAATGTCCTAGTCATATATTGATATAATTATTTGTACTAGAAGAACATGTTGGATGCAAACACTAGTCTATTGTCTGCAGAATGCATTACAATTGTGAAAATGTCACAGTAGTTGAGCTATGAGAGGTTATGTATTGAACTAAAAGGCGGCTTCACTTTTTATATCAACATTAGTCTCAGGGTTCCTACATCAGAGTAATAATACAACATTTTCTAATACTACTGCCCATATGAAAGCACTGTTTGACTCTCTCATTTGGTCTCAGCACATAATGATTATCTCTTGCAACTTGTAAAAATGGCTTATTGGCGAAACTATGTAGGAGCCCTTACTCAACATTTTGTACCAAACTTGTATGTTGAAACATAATTGTACAATATCTGTGTCTTATTTCTATGACTCTGTTCTTACCTATACTCATGTTCACTTTACTACAATGCTGGCCTGAAATACTACAGCTGACAGTTACAGGTTCATGAATGTTTTGAACATAACTTTCACTTGCCCTACAGAATAAACCTGCTATTGAAAGCCCAATACTGTGTAAATACCACAGGCCATAACTATTGTGAATCAGATTCTCTTTGTTTTCTTTCTGTCCTTTCAGCTAAATCTTTCAATCTGTTATTATTACTATTATTATGTATCAAATTAATGACCCACCATGATGTCATACACATTAAAACTTGCTAGTCGCCATTTCAATTGTGTTGCAAGTTTTTTTAATTCAACTAGAAAATTTTCCAAAGATATTCTTGTGTGGCTTTAAGCTTCTCTATCTCCATGTTGGTACAAGGACATGTTAATGATCAGCTCTGTGGAGAGGCGAGCTTATAAGTGTAATGTGTGTTTCCAAGGTTTTGTCGAGTTCCATCTTGAGTTCCTTCTTTTTATCATGTGAAATCCGTAATGTTACCTGAAATGTGCCTGAAGAGGTTTTAGATTGCCCTTACGATTAGCTGAAAGATTCTGTGCAATGCTCAGCCCGCAAGCCTACATCATCTGCATTTCCACATGACAATTCTCTGTAAATATACAAAAACATGATACAAAATTACACCGCAACCTGACAAACCTGGGGCAATGTGCAGTACCATAGTTTCATTAGTGGGATGCTGTCCTATTGTGTTGCGATAGCGCTCTGAAAGTGGAGTGACTTAACATTTGAAGCAAAGGGAGGGGAAACTCGGCATCAAATACAAATGTGAAACTTATCAAACATGTTAATACAGTGTTTTTGTTGAATTTAACATTTTCAAAACAATAAAAGCTAGCATGGAGATCTAAATATGTTATGTGTTAGCAGTTAATACCCTGTAGAAATAAAATAACCCCTCTTTAATGCCGCATTGTGGAACATTCCAGGCAAAGCAATAACAACCTTCCCATGACAGCAACAAGCCACAGCTCTTCTGTTGCTGATTCCCTCTGGTTAATGGTTTTTAAATTCGGGCTGAATGGTGCACAGATGTGGCCAATCTCATTACAGACCATCTCTTTGTTACACAGTGGTACAATCTGTGTGACCCATGTAGTAGTTGTGTTGTCACAACTGTATTTTTCACACAAAATAATAGACAATTCTCCAGTAGTTCAATGTGGTCTTAGACCAGTTTTGATAAAGACTTTTCTATTCTAGTCCAATGTTACTTGTAATACTTGTACTTTGCCCTGAAATATCTAAAAGGTAAATGCACAAATGTGGAACCTGTGCGTTTCTAATAGTGACTACAACCAAGAACTCACTGTATTACAACAGAAAGCATTTTAATAATGATTTTAGCTATATATGGCTTATAGAATGTTGTGATGTCATCTGAAATAACTTAACAACTTAAGTATAATAAGATCTCCTGTTATAGATCCACTGATTACCACCGTATTAGCCTATAGATTTGGTACAATTACCATGGTGACCCTGCCAAGCGTCAGTCACGTGAGCGTAGGTGACGTATGGGTACCTCTAAATATGGGCGTGCCCCAGTCGGCTCCTCAGGTGAGTCAAGAGAGCTGCCACCGGGAGTTAACGGTTTTGCGTATTTGTTTGAAGCAGCATCGCTTCTACATCTTCAAAACTCAATGCTGTGTTTCACCTTGTATCATCATGTAGTAGTGGTTTTAGAGTTGCTACTTAAAAAAATAAAAATAAAAATCTTTAGCTTAGTAGAGATTGGCAGTTCCAGAAAATATCCAAATGATTTTTGTGGAGGTGTATGGGGTTTAAAAACACAGTGGAGTAATCCGTATTATCACATGATATCACAAGAATTTTCTGTTTGAGAAAAGAAATCAACCTAAATATGATTGTTTTAATGTGTGAATAAAATAACTTCAAAAAACAAACAAAACAAAAACTTCCAGGTATGTTTTTGATGAGGAAATGTGATTACAGCGTAGATCAGAAAATGGCCTAATATGGGCCCTTTAAATGGTACAGGAATTAGAAGCATTCATTTAAAAAGTCTGCCTTTATCTTTGTCCAAGAACATTGCTTACAACCTTTTACATTTGTAGATTTGAGACCATATTGAACAGTAAAGTTACAGTAGCTGATTCCAATAGTGTAATGTAGAGAATATACACACTGAGGTCCTTCTCGTCTAGCTCTCCCTTCTGTTTCTTTTTGGCTCAGCGCTTGTAAAATCTGCTCAGGAGGATGTACAGGTGACTGAGGATGATGAAGGGAGGAGGAAGAATGGAGTGGTCGTGGAATGTCATGATGAGCTGGTATCTCTGGAACTTCCACACCTGGTTTGAGTTGGACTTCACCTCAAAGAATGTATTGCTGTGGGAAATGGAGAGTTTACAATTAATAAAACAGAACTCTAAATATCAAATTTACTGTAAATATCCATATATGTTCCTAGAGGTCAACAAACACTTGTTTTTAAGTGCCTTTCATTGATAATGACTTTGCAATGGATGATCAATCAAAAAGAGTGGTTAAACATATGTATGTGTGTGCCTGTGTGCCTTTCCTGGGTACCAAGGGACATTTAAACCGGGCTTTTACCAACATTAGGTCACAAAGTAGTTTCCAGTGCTGTTGGAATAAGGAATACCTTTACACAGAGGTTAGTATTTCCCAATATCAATAAAATGTTATCTATGTTTTTATTTGGTTTAGGTAACAGAAGGCTTAAACAGCGATGAGCAGGTTGACCAGCAGGATTTTGGCCACCAACAGGTAAAAGGCCATGATGGCTGGAGTGAGCCAGGCCCCAGAGATTCAAGAAGGCAGACTCTTTTCATCCTCTTCACACAGGTGCCCACCACAAGGGGCTACAAGAGGACAGTACGTCTTTGTGTTAGTCACGTGTTTGTTTAAATAGTCTAACGTTTAAATCTAATTAACAAACACTCACGGTTGATTTCCATGGCCCAGACTTGTACGAATCCCCAAGTAAAACAAAAAAGCATAGAGGAAAAATTAAAAAGCATTAAATTCACATACAATAACTCTTTACACTTAAAATAAGAAGCAAACTATTAAGTTGCTTGAATTAAGAAAAAAAAAAAAACACTTAGTCCATTGGTAGATCATTTTACTTGTCAAATTGAATCTATTCAAAGAAAAAAAAATGTTTTAAGTAATTTTAACTAACTTACACAACTCCCCATTCTTAAATACATGCAGCGTTATCATGTTGTTTACAAATACTGTATCTGGATGACCACTTGTGCCATTCAGGAATAAGTGAAAGCAGATGTCTTTAATTGGACAAACCTATTGGGACAAATTTACCTCAATCATTGCTGTGTAACTATGTAATCTCCCTATTCATCGCTGTATTCTTGAGACCTCCTGGATGTTTTTTGCAGTAATTGGCCGAGCAAACACTGTTGTTTATTCCTCAGTGCAGCGGCTCCTGGCACAGACTCTACCTGAGCAGTTAACTCACAGAGAAAGACCGTCTAGTCACAGATGTTGTTGTTTTCAGATGGTATAATTGGAATAAGTACATAGACAGTGTAGTGGAGATGTAGTTATGAGGTGGGGTGTGTGCGCCCTTCTGCGAAACTTGAAATTAACTTCTCTGAGCAGGTACAATCCTTTTCAAATTCAGAAATCTTAGAAATAGTTATAGAATCTTAGAAATAGTTAGAAATATTTAAACATGCACAACATAACTTTCCTTGTGGAGGACGTGTCATCTATTTGTCTCCATGGATATTATGGTTATTCTTTACCTTGAATGTTCCACAGTATGGCAAGAAACATTTGGTCTTTATATTAAAATAGGAGGGACCCCCCAGGTTAAGTGTCAAGTTTAATTTCTTCTGATAAGAAAAGAAAAAAAAACAAACAGATATTGCTACCAAAACTACTGACGGCAAAATATGAATAAAAAATATGACATGAATTCCTGGACTAAGAAGCACCCATTCATAGTAATAATGGGTGATAAGATAAAGGACTGGAGTGAGGATCCTTCACATGATTATTCGCTTTGTCTGGAATGTTCCACAGTATGGTATTACACTTATCGTTTTTCATGGAGACAAACAGGTGGCAAATCCCCCACCAGAAAAGTTCCATTAAACTTTTAAGTCATTCTACCTCAATTTTACCTGCAATTCTTCCCTCTGTAGTGATTATCCAAACATCTGAAATAGTGATCTTAAACATGACACTGTTTTTAGACTCAACCTTTGTGTCCCTGTGTAGGTTTATTTATAGCACAAACACATAAGTAAATGGGATTACACACGGCTGGTGTATCTTCTCTCATTCACTAACAGGATTCTCTTTGGCTGCACAATGCCTTTAACTGCACCCACCAAACTGGAGGAAGAGAGAAGGTCATGGAAGAACAAGGCGCCTAAGTCGTACAGACAAATCAGACACACAAAAACTCTCTCTCTCACACACGCATGCACGCTCGCACACACGCGCACACACACACACTGCTGCTGGCTGTGCATATGGCAAGACTAGAGCCCTCTCTGGATCAAGGCGGACATTAAAATTCTGCGGAGCCCACTGCGTCTTTGCGAGAGGAACTGGGGATGTGCCAGCTCGGCAATTACTTTAACAACTCTGAGTTTGATTTCTTTATTCTGTTGAACTCCACCAGAGGTAACATCGAGGAGAAAAGGACGCGCAAGGACAAAGCAGGCCCCCGTCAGCTGTTAAGTTTGGGAGAGGGGGTAGTTATAGCAAAGATTTTGGCATATTATTAGATGACAGCTTTTTAGTTGCATTTGCTGAGTGATGATGTCTAGACTTGAAATATCCTTAGCTGAACCATAAAAGAATCTTCAACTGCAGTGTCTTACAATCTGATAGTGGTTCTCAACTTGTAGAACTTCTGGAGTCTGCACCCACCTTACTACTATCATGGCCCTTAATCCATACAAATCTTAATTTCTAAATATTACATATTAAACACATTTTGCAGGTTAACCATGATATTTGTCAAAATACTGTATTTGCTCAGCTGTTGATGGAACCATTGGTCATCATGAGACAATAATTTTTGTAAGTGACATGAGTGACTGAAATAGTGTTGGCTGTGACCCAATTTTCAGTCCTAAACCATCAGTTGATTCACAGAAACATGTGCTTCCAGTCCAGACCAGTCTCAGATTGTTGTTCCATGCTCCACATCAACTGAACTAGCCTGTTAGGATAAATGGTTATACATTTATATATAGCACTCTTCTACCTTCGCACCACCAATCCTTGGGTCAGTGGA